TTCTCTTCTGACAGGAAACTGTACTAAACTAATGTTGAAAAGAATTTGTCTACATATTTATGCTTATATTCTGTAGAGACAGATATATTGTACTGAGGGCTAACATTTTTGTATCCAACTTTTATAGATACCATGCGTAATAACGGATCTAAAAATTCACCCTGTATATACTGTGCTTTTCAAAAAGAACCAAACATTTTTTTTGGACGAGTGAAATTTGAGGTGATGAAATTGGTGCATGAATACGATACTCTAACGAAAAAGTGGCGGTTGAAGATTTCAAGATTGCGGCTGAGCGAAATTTTAGATTGTTTTAAGTGGAATGGGAGTCATGTTTTTGTCTCGTTTTAAAGCTTTTTATCCTCAATTTATGACCCTAGAGTATGAAATTGCTATCTTTCAAAACGACGGCTGTCAAATTAAGAGTTTTTGTACATCGATTCGCATACTACTCAGTAACTAATATCTGAACCACCAGACGTAAAAATTTGTATACTTACTAATTGAAACTCGAGGAAGGTTATGGGCGTGGTTTTATCCGCAAAAATCTACAGTATGAATAATCAAAATATCTCGAAAAATACGTTTCTCAGAGAAAAATGTTGTGTGGTTTCAAAAAATTCGGCCACTGTAGCTTTTAGTATTGAGCAATGGTATGTATAAGAAAACAACAACAATTTTCGAACAATGGTTGTCGTATTGGGAAATCTTTCAAGCACTAAAAGTCAACGACAAGCTAGTTTTACAAAACTTGCGTTATGCATAGTGGATTCCACTTTTTTCATAATGGTTACTGTCCAAGTTACATAGATGGGTCGTGCATCACTAAGAAGTTTGACGCAAATTAATTCTAGGTTCGCTATTTGCGCAGTATGTTTAAGATATAATGTGATTTAACAAAACATAAATAACGAAAAATTATATGAAAAATGACATGCAGCGTTAATCGATCCTAGAATTCGTTAAAATAAAGCACGTCATGTGTACGAAAAAACAGTTTTTTAAAGGTAATCAAATCATTCATTTGCCTCCTGAACTAAAGTGAGTTGAGAGGTCAAGGCCTACCCACAGGATTTTCTTGGATGAAATCTGTGTTTCGGTCATGGTTAGTCGTCTTGAAAGACTGTAATTTTATATTTGATTTTAAACTACTCATAAGGGGCTTTGGTTCTATTTAATTTAAAACATTCCAAGGTGGCGCTCAGCCGCCATTTTCAAATTTTTGGTTGTCAATTTTGCTTATAATATAATATAAATGCATCAATTTGATTACCCAAATGAGAAACGTTTCACCGACCTTCCTTATGGAAGAAATACGGCAATAGAATTTATTCTTTAAAAACTGCTTAATGTCTAGTTAGATTTAGATTTGATTCATTTAGTAATGGTTAAGCTTTGCTAGCTTTGTATTAACATATTTTACCCCAAATTACACTGCGTGGCAGAACGTATCAATGCTACTTTATGCATCGTGATGATCATTCCGTAAAATGAAGAGAAAATAGTCCTCCGTATGTCCGTAGGGGCCGCTTATAGTTTTTACTGTCATGCCTACCAGGGGAAAAAATATAATAATAATAAAAATAATGTTGGATGTTATATAACATGTACGTCACGAAAAACCATTTTGAGGGGTCACATGTCTATCCAATCCATGTCTGTCATTTCCGTTAGCCGTTCTGTCTGTCAACGTCTTTGTCAGCGCACAATGACCGAGGCAAATCTTTTTTACTCTATGCCACTGAAAGTATTGCAATCGCGAAAAACTTCGACAATCAGATATTATTTTTTGGATGTACATCACGAAGAACCATGCCACTCTTTTCAATCGGTCTGTCCGCTATTTCCTGACCTCTTATTTATTTTGATGCACAAGGTTACTACTATACCAAAGACGAAAAAGCTTTGTAGTTTTTGAAAACCGGTCCAGTAGCGGGGCAGAAAAAACCAAAAACGAAAAAAAAAAAAAGGATCCTGATCATTTTTGAGAATACCTTTAGAGGTAAAAATTTGGGGGTGGCGACGGTATATCTAATTTTTGTAAAACTAAAATTATTTTAAAATGTCCTGAACCAATAATCATTCGTTTCGTATCATCAGCCTAGCATTCCTTCAGTTTTTATAAACTGGGCATAGGTAAACACTTCATATTTTCTATTTTAACGATGTAATATTGTATGTGTCATTAATTCAAATGTCTAAAAAAGTAATCTTTCCATTGTTTTATTAACGAATAAACAACAAGATAATGCTAACTTGTTCATATTATTTAAAGACATCAATAAAAATATTGGAAAATAAATTCAAGAAACTAATAGAAACATTTTATATTAAGAAGCTTCGACTATGTTGCAGGCTGCTGAACACTTTTCATATCCATAGTATCTAAATCGATGAATACATCTTGCATTTAAATAACATTAACCTACGACTGAGGAGTGGTTCCATCGTGCAAAATAACGCTTTTTATAATCGATAGTTGTATCTATACTTTAAACATGCTTCTTAAAAACCGAAGCAATCTTAATTCGTCATCCAATCGAATAACATTTGAAGAGTTGCCAACTATAAAGAAATTGTTTTCGAAATAACTAAGCTGTGACAATGTCAATCTATGACATGAATCTTTAAATACTCTATTCGCCTGTGCAAAGATCCAGTATGGCGTCCATAAGAAAAGATGAATTTTATGATTGAGGACAAGATACAAAATATCATATTGACATTCTGATTATTCCTCATTATTGATGAGAAAATGCGACAAAGTTACGTAGCAATTTATTTTGAAATCCCAGCTCAAATAAAGTCGAGAAAAATCAAAAACGATTTTGAGTAAATTCGTGGAATGAATGTTGGAATCTTGGAGTATGGCATAACAGCTAAAGCTGATTAACACGAGCTTCCCTCGAACAGGATTTTTGGCTATACTACTAGTAATGTTTCAAGGTTGGTTTGTTGATGGGATTATGCGTGCTTACTGTCTATAGAATAGGCCTTTTCCTCTGCCAATAAATTCTTCCCGTCGTATTGGCGGCTTGGCAGAGGAGGCCCTATTTTATGGTTAGTGAGATACCCAGAGCTAACACCTGTTTAACTTCTACTTTGAATAACATTGTAGCAAAAACTTGGTTGAGGAGTAGACTTTGTGCTTATAGCAATTTTCCATTCTCCATCAGAATTCTGCAGCAATTAATGTTCTCGTGATATAAGATTACGTGTTGTCATTAACATAACGATCTCTACAAAATTTTGAGTATATGCAGATGGATCGAGTTTTATTAATTATCGTTATTTGGAACGTCTATTGATTCTCAAAAAATTTTGTTACGGCTACTTTGTTTAAATTAATTGTTTGAGTTGTTAATACCACCTTTTTACAAAAATGGAAACCTCAAGCAAGTCGAAAACTGCACTTGATATGTTGTCTAGTATCTACAAATTTCCAAATCTGCAAAAATTGTTTCCGTTTCTTTTTCATCGCCAATTACGTTACAAATAGTAGTTCGTAGTCGCTAAGTATCTTCGAATCCGGAAAAATGTCCTGATTCAGTGTTTTGCATAATCTTATTCATAAAGGACCGCTTTAAACGAATCAGCAGGTCCAAAATTGCAGCAAATTTGCTTAAATATTTTTTACACATTTTCCAAGAATTGTTTTTTCGCTGCGGATTAAGTTTTTCGGAACAAAATTTAACTCGCTTGAAATGGTGCGAAATATGCCACAATACGAAAAAGCTGAAATTTTAATGTTGCCAAAGTTCCTAAATATTCTTCAACAATTTATTAACAAAATGCCAAAGCATTTTAGGGGGTATTGTTATTGTGAACTTATACATCTTTGTTTACGTACTATTAAAGTGATCCAGAACTTATGAACAGTCAAAAAAAACCTTTGTTAAATTTAGATATTTCGATCACAATTTGGCCCCTCTACGAACATGTATAACGAAAAAATTAAATAGATCAAGTTAAACATCGGCAAGATCGCGAAACGTATGACCGATACGCGAGGTTCGGAAATATGTCTCAGTTTTAAGGATAAATGTACAGGGAAATCTGTGATGAGTGGAATTAAAATTACCTCAGCTGGAGGCGTATACCGACAAAAAAATAGCTTCCCAATTTTTTACCGCTAAAATTTCTCAAAAATGATCACGATCCTTTGAAACGTCAAAAAGGGAAGATTGAGCGATTTTTATTTTTACACCTTCTTGTCCCTAGCTCCGCCGCCACTGAAGCGATTTTCAAAAACTATAAGTTTTTTCGTCTTGCTTGTGCTTGTATGAAAATTTCATCAAAATCCTACCCGTACTTTCCAAGTTCCAGCGATGTAATACTGTAACATCCAAAAAATAACTAATTTTCAAAATTTCGATTACAATACTTCCACGCCAGTGGCATAAAAAGTAAAAAGAGAAGTAGCGAGGTTTCAGTATATTTTTGGACTTGCCTCGGGAGACGTTGACAGGTAGAACGACTGACGGGCGTGACAGACGTGGATTTCTTTTAGCTGTAGACCCCGAAAAATGTTTCTTATGTGTAAAAAGCAAAGACATCCTTCAAAGTATTTTGTGATGAAATTTAGATGCAGTTTATTTAGCCGTAAAACAAGATCTAATCATAAAGCTGATACTTGTCAAAAATATCACTATAGTTGTAACATGTAAAAAATTGTTTACTTTTAGTTTTAGAGTACGGTTAAGCTGGCTGTTAGCGTTAAGAAAAAAAATGGTATTTGTAATTGTATCAAATGCATTTTTGCAACGTTTTGTGGATCCAGCATTAGAAGGAAATGTTCGATGCCAGACCTGAATATACAACCCAACAACTCATTTAGATATTCTCGTAACGAATCAACCAAAGATGCTTTCAAAACTATCTGCTGTTTATCAGGATTAAAACAATTTATTTATAGGACATTATGTATTAATTGTATAACATAGATTTTAAAATACTGTTATTGTTTTGTATAATCCTGAAATGTTCGCATTTTTTTACAGAATTTGGCGGATCCAAACGTACTTCAGCAGTTACAGCAGCTTCAGCGTTTGTTGACGAAAAGTACAGACGCGTCAAGGGCTGAGAGTCAAGTTCATTTCGACAAGAAGTTGCTCGATTTTGATTATGGCGACGACGAGGATGAAAACAATTCGCCGCGTCAACCGAATCCCAATGATTCCGTTTCAAGGTAAAATATTTTAGGAAATGTGGCGGAAATATCGTCTCTATAACTCGATCCGTATATTTCAAATTACAAAAGTAGATTGTCGGATTTACAATATCTGGGGGTAATCAAAATGAAAGCTTCAGAATTTCAGCCAAATATAATGTTTACAATAGCGAAAATGACCTTCAGATATTTTTTCAAGTGCATGCATTACTGTATTTCCGTTTCCACGTGCTTCGTAAAATTGACAAACAAATTTTAGTGTTTAATATGGCTATTCGAGGTTTGTCCGGAAAATACGTATAAAAAATTCGGGGCGTCGCGGCGGTTTCAATTCCTGCACTAGTTGAAGTTTATATGGGTCCAATTTAAGGTCTTTTACCAAAATATGCCTTGCATATGTTCTTGATACGGTGAGCTCAAACACTTACTCCACTCGTTTGCTGGCAGATCCAAAACGGCATTTTTGAATGCGTCAACTGCTTCTTCTGGTGACTGGAACCTTTGACCACTCAGTCTGCTTTTAATTTTCGGGAAAGTAAAGAAATCGTTAGGACTTAGATCGGGACTATATGGAGGATGGTCCAATAATTCCACGTTTTCTTCTGCTAAATACTGCCTTGATTTTTGGCTGTGTGCGAGCTTGCATTGTCTTGGTGGAGGATGATTCTTCTTTCGTGGTTGATTTTTCGAAGCTCGATGATGACTTTTGGCAAACAAATGGTGGTATACCAATCCGCAGTAACAGTTCTTTGCTCGTTAAGAGGAATTGTTGCAATATGACCCACTATATATATGACGACTTTTGTTGGCTTTTCTTCACCTTGGAACACCCAAACAGCCGACTGTCGTTTATTTTCTGGTTCATAACAGTAAATCTACGATTCGTCACCACTAACAATGCTGTACACATTTTTTGAGTTTCCGGAATTGAAACGGTCAAGCGTTTTTTGACACCAATTAACCCTGGCTACTTTCTGCTCTTCAGTCAACAGGTGGGGTATCCAACAATTGTCTCTGAAAGTTGTAATAAATTATGGCGCGAAAATGTTCTCGGTTGAGTTCCATTTTTCTAATGACTTGGTGACACTTAAAAATTCACTGCAGTGAGAACACTGCACGTATCGTTGTGAAACTTTGAATTTAAGTTTACTAAAGAGTGAGGTTAAGATTCAGTACTGACGTTCGATCCGCGCTGCCTACTATGTTTCTATATGCAAAACTTAAAAGACATTATTATTATTATTATTATTCAGAACAGGTTCTAAAAAAATAATTTGTTCAAAAAAATGATGTACTAAATGCTACCCTTAATTTTGTACGAAAATTTCGTATCGTGACAGACGGCCTTTACACGTAAGCATAATTTTTACAGTCTTTTGACCAACCCCGAGGTATTGAGACAGTTGCAAACACTCCAGCAAACAATGGCTAGTGCACAACATGCAGACATGGATGTGGAGAAAATGCGACGGATGCAAGAAATGAAGCAGCAGGAGGAGGAATTTGATAAACATCTTGCTCAGACAGTTCCTGTAAGTATCCACTAGGAATTAATTTACGACAGAAGGGATATAAATTGGAAAGTTATCTACTTTCTATAACTTTTGGACTTTCTATGTTTGAAGTATATGATTAACGCGATGGTATCTTCTTCAGTTGTTTATAAAGCGCCTTTTTGTCTATTTAATATTGTTTTATTTGCATATAAAGGGTGCGTCATCTATTACTTTTTTCTATTTGAAAAATTAACACGCTTTTTATGAGGTGAAATCGAATTTTTTTATTGATAAATGAAGGTTGGCTTATGCCATTTATGTATGAAAAATAACATCAGTCATGTGACCACCGCGGCTTCGTTTACAGGCCAACATCCGAACATCAAAATTTTCGATGAATTTTCCCAGAATAATCGGGTCTATGGTCGCAATTTCAGTCCGAATATTGCGCTTTAGGTCTTGAATTGTCCGGGGACCATTCGCATACACTTTTCCTTTCGAAAATCCCCAAAGAAAATAGTCAAGAGGTGTTAAATCGCACGATCTCGGGGGCCAACTGACATCTGAATTTCGTGAAATTATGCGGTCTTGAAATTTCGTGTGCAATAAGGCGATTGTTTGGCGAGATGTGTGAGCCGTTGCTCTGTCTTGATGAAACCAAAGATCGTCGGCACCAATACGAACCAATTGCGGCCACAAAAAGTCTGTTAACATGCCGCGATAACGTTCCCCGTTGACGGTAATGGCCTTTTCTTCGGCATCTTCAAAGAGGAATGGTCCAACGATGCCACCAGCCCATAATCCGCACCAAACAGTCACTTTTTCAGGATGGAGAGGTTCTTCGTGATATTGGTGTGGATTTTCAGCCCCCAGAATCTGCAATTTTGCTTATTTACGTACCCATTGAGGTGAAAATGAGACTTGTCAGAAAAGAGCACTTTGGCCGAAAATCCGTCTTCTCTTTCCAGCATCCAGTTAACAAAAACACGCCGCTGTTGATGGTCTGCCGGCTTCAGTTCTTGTGTTAGTTGGATTTTGTATGGATGGAGGAGTAAATCCATGTGTAAAATCCGGCGTAAAGTGGTCTCACTATTGTCTCCCAATTGTTGCGAACGGTGCCTAGTCCAAAACGGGTTGTTGTGTTGTAAACGAATCCATGACTATAAATGGCATACTTTTGACAGTTCGTTTATGCATACCACATGACTCGCATGGTAACATAAACTTATAGGTAAAAAAAAAGTAATAAATGGCGCACCCAGTAGAAGTCTCAATAACGGGACTTGACTAATTAGAATTTCGTTTCAGAATCTTCCGTTTGCATCTGAATGTGATTTTAAAGCGATGAGTGTCCAAATGAACAGTGGAAGCTACTATACCGACCTATCGGCCAATCCTCCAATGCCGCACGATATGGGCGGATATGAACCTCAGCCACCGCCACCGCTTCCTCAATCAAAGAACAACGAGATTGAAGTCATCACTTTGGATCATGATGATTCAAGATCCGGTAAGTACTGGTATCTATATGTACTTATAATTTTGAAACTCTCTCAATATTATTTGGACTATGTTTTCTATTTATTTTGCTATAAACTTATCGGTCTATAATGTTTTGGTAAATCGTTTGGTCCGTCTATAACTATTGATGTTGTTAAAAATTCTTCGTAAACACCTGTGTAAAGACAAAAGTTTGGAAACATTATTAGTGATTTTTAAAAAGTGCGCTTTTTATTCTTTATTATTATTTATTATTTTCTTATATAGTTTGCTTATAGTATTGAGGATACAAATGAGAATTAGTGTTTGCTGTGCTCCTACATACTAGCATTAAAATACCTTCATATTATTTTATGACAAAAGTATGGAAACATATTTTTTATTACAAAATTAAATACAATAACTCTACAAAAAGATTTAAACAATACTTTTTAGCTAATATTTGGTAGCATAGCCTTTAGCATTCCACACTGCCTGACAGCTGCTGCTTATAGAAGACACCAATTTTTAACAAACGTTTTTACATGATCAATTAGAACGTTTCCATTTTTAAATGTTTTTCTTGTCAATTGTCTTTTAACATGCTCCCAGACATCTTCTATAGGGTGTAGGTCCGGGGATTGCGGAGGCCATGTAGGAAGATTAAAATTTTTTAGTCTTAACCAGTCCTTTACAAATTTTCAGGTATGCTTGGGGTCATTATCTTGCTGGAATGTCCATCGTTAACGTATGTCGTCTTCAGCAAAAGGCAGCATGCGTTCACTAAGGATATCTTTGTAAAGTTTTTTCCCAACAATTTTAACAGTTAGACTCGATCCAGAACTAGAAAAATATCCCCAAACCATGTTGCCTCCACCGTGCTTAACTGTTGGCCCCTGATACTTATTGTCGAATCTTTTTCGTGTTGGACGTTTCACATATAAAGGTGGTCCCAGAAGTACCCGACCCAACGAAGAAAACACAAAAATTTTGTAAAAAAATGTATTTATTTTTCAACATAATCTCCTTTGAGTTCTATACACTTTTCCCAGCGATGTTCAATAAGTTCGATACCCTTTTTATAATAAGAACTGTCTTGCTCCTCAAAATAACCATTAACTGCCGACATCACTTCTTCATCGTTGGAAAATCCTTGACCTCTGAGCCATTTTTTCAAGTTTGGAAACGGAAAATTATCCGATGGGGCTAAATCTGGTGAATGAGGTAGCAATTCAAACTTTAATTCGTAAATTTTGGCCATTGCGATAACGGATTTTTGAGCTGGTGGGACAAACGTTTAATATAGCGATCCAAAACGTAATCGGTTTTTTTTTCGATTTTCCGCACCTGGGCCACGTTGCTGTTGATCCGTATTCTTGATATTTACTAATAATTTTTGAAATCGTCCCTTTTTTCATTTTTAATCTTTGAGAAATCTCAACATTTCTGACACAACTAATAAATAATTGTCTCTTAAATCTTCTGAAAATCCTTTTACTTTTGCCTTCCTCACTGATGTTAATATCAGAGTATCGCAGAACGAATAAATACGACAAAACTGAAATGTTTCCATACTTTTGCCGCTACATAAACTGTCGTATTTAAAAAGAAACCGTGTTTTTATTTTCAGAGAATTTGAATTTTAATAAGATAAAGTAGTACGGGTGCCAAAGGTAAACTTTAATATTTATATTATCTGTTCCTTCACAATTTTAATCTGGGTATATGAAATAGTTCATAATAATGTTAATATTTGTTTCCAAACTTTTCCCCGCACTTTCTCATTTATAATACACTGGACAACAAATTTTAGTTTTTTAATTGTATCTTGTGGAAAAAGTGCACTTCTTTGTTAATTTTGGGGCGCTGAATCCAAAAATGACAATGAAATAAAAAAAATAGTTGCGGTTTAGAAAAAAAACTTTTTATTTTTAAGGATATATTAAAAAAGTAACAAGATTCATATACTTATAAGAATCACTATATGCGCTGTCTTTTTGCTGTTCTTTTGTGCTCATCACTTACGGCTCCGCAATTGTCAGGAAAAAAGTTCAGGTGTGAGTGTAGGAAATGTATCTTAAGAGACATATTACAGCCCATCTTTTGATACGATGACAGCATATTTTTGACAAGGGTTTTATAGTTGTCAGCTTTTCTATTTCCCAAGAAATTAGTGACCACCAGACGGGAATCATTCCAAGCAGTTGTTTCAATACCTGTTTTCAAACTGTGTATCTTTCAAAATATTTCGAATCTGTGGCCCAACAAAAATACCTTCTTTAACCTTTGCCTCACTTAGTCTTGGAAATTTCTGACGCAGGTATTGAAAAGCTGACCCATCTCTATCTAATGCCTTGACAAAGTTTTTCATTAGGCCCAACTTGATATGCAGTGGTGGTAATAAATTTTTTTCGAATCTACTAATGGCATATGCTGTACATTTTTTTGACCTGGCTCTAGGAAGTGACGAACAGGCCAGTTTTGTCTGGTGTAGTGAAGTGCCTTTGCCCGACTGTCCCATTCACACAAAAAACAGCAAAACTTTGTGTAGCCTAGCTGCAGCCCAAGTAAAAGTGCAACAACTTTCAAATCGCCACAAATATGCCATTGGTGCTCATCGTATTTTATGCATGTCAATAGGTACTTCATATTGTCATATGATTCTTTCATGTGAACTGCATACCCTACAGGAAGAGATGGTAAAATATTTCCAATATGCAGTAACACTGCCTTTAAACTCAATGTTGAATATTTTTTGGCTGTTGATCAGTGATATTAGTAGGAATTTCGAACCTTGTTTCCCATTTTTATACCATGTATTCAGAACGTTCCAATAAACGGCGTTTGACATTTTTTTCTTCCGATCCATAGGAACTCCAACCGAGGACCGCTACTTGAGCAAACGAAAGCGTAGCAGGTCCCCTTCGCGCGATCGACGCGGCAGAGACAGGGACAGAGACAGAGATCGTAAGCGCTCGAGATCCAGATCCAAAGGTAGACGCCACAGGTCCAGGTCGAGATCACGAGACAGAGACAGGGACAGGGATCGTAGGAAAGATAAAGAGAAGGAGAAGGACAAAGAGAAGAAAGAAGAGACCGAGAGGGATCGAGAAAGGAAGAAGCGTGGATTGCCTGCCATCAAGAAGGATCATCTGAGCATCTGCAGCACTACGTTGTGGGTAGGGCACCTGTCCAGGTTGGTCCATCAGGACGATCTGTCGAACACGTTTGGAGAGTTCGGCGATGTTGTCAGCATCGATTTGATCCCGCCTAGAGGATGCGCGTTCATCGTTATGCTGCGCAGGCAAGATGCTGCGAGGTAAGTTGAACTTATATCGCGCTGAATCAGGTTCCTTGAAGAACTCAAACAAGCCCGGTAAACGACGTGTTTTGAATTATTCCAGGTGTCTAGCGAAGCTGAAGGGGCACGTGCTGCATGCTAAAGCGATCACTCTTGCATGGGCGCCCGGCAAAGGTGTCAAAGGCAAGGACTTGAAAGATTACTGGGAAGGCGATTTGGGCGTTTCTTACGTACCGTACAGCAAACTCAAGGAGGACATGGACATAGATATGCTGGAAGAAGGTGGTATGATTGACGAAGATACGATGCCGCAATGGATGAAAGACAAGGTAGGTCTGGTACAACTTTTTTACTGGTACACGCTCACGATTTTTGTCTGTGTTTCCTGCGTTATTTATTAGAGGGAATTGTAATATTGGAGCATGCCTAGTTTTTGCGCTTATAATGTTTGAAAAATGGCCTTGCTTTTTATTGTTCAGAGTCTGATACTCGGTGCGTCATCTATTACTTTTTTTTGCCTTTAAGTTTATGTATTACCATGTGATTCAAAAGTCATGTGGTATGCATAAATGAACTGTCAAATGTATGTCATTTACAACACAACAACGCATTTTGGTTATCCAAACTTATTACGAAAACGGACGAAATATAAACAATTCTTTTCGCAAACTTCGCACTAGTTTTGGCCGACATGGACGCGCTACAGAGCCCGGAATTCGTTGGATTGTTAATCGTTTTGAGGAAACTGGTTCAGCAGAAGGTCGTAGACCATACCAACATGCTCGTCCAGGTCGTATTCGTGAAAACATAGCCGCAGTGAGTGAAAGTGTGCGCGAAGATCCAACCGCCTCGACTAGGCACCGTTCGCAACAATTGGGAATTAGTGAGACCACTTTACGCCGGATTTTACACATTGATTTACGCCTCCACCCATACAAAATCCAACTAACGCAAGAATTGAAGCCGGCAGACCATCAAGAGCGGCGTTTTTGTTAACTGAATGCTGGAAAGAGACGACGGAGTTTCGGCCAAAGTGCTCTTTTCTGATGAGGCTCATTGTCACCTCAATGGGTACGTAAATAAGCTAAATTGCAGATTCTGGGGGGCTGAAAATCCACACCAATATCATGAACAACATCTCCATCCTGAAAAAGTGACTGTTTGGTGCGGATTATGGGCTGGTGGCATCGTTGGACCATTCTTCTTTGAAGATGCCGAAGAAAAGGCCATTACCGTCAACGGGGAACGTTATCGCGGCATGTTAACAGACTTTTTGTGTCCGCAATTGGATCGTTTTGGTGCCGACGATCTATGGTTTCGTCAAGACGGAGCAACGGCTCACACATCTCGCCAAACAATCGCCTTATTGCACACGAAATTTCCAGACCGCATGACTTCACGAAATTCAGATGTCAGTTGGCCCCCGAGATCGGGCGATTTAACACCTCTTGATTATTTTCTTTGGGGATTTTTGAAAGGAAAAGTGTATGCGAATGGTCACCGGACAATTCAAGACCTAAAGCGCAATATTCGGACTGAAATTGCGGCCATAGGCCCGATTATTCTGGTTATGTTGGCCTGTAAACGAAGCCGCGGTGGTCACATGACTGACGTTATTTTTCATACATAAATGGCATAAACCAACCTTCATTTATCAATAAAAAATTCGATTTCACCTCGTAAAAAGCGTGTTGATTTTTCACATAGGAAAAAAGGTAATAGATGATGCACTCTGTATTTTTGAAATTTTTATAAACGGTATTTTTGCCATGTGGGGTAAAGAATACCGAATGTTTATTAGGTTGTATGATATTTAGAAAACGGGTCGATTGTAAACTTTCTGTATTGTGCCTAACCTTCTGAATATTATGATGTTACCAGTTAATGTATCTTTAAGGTTGAGAAGATGGGAAGAAAGCCGTCTAAACAGGAAATGCCTGGATTCTTGTTGGCAGCTGACTTGTCGAATGCTGCTGTAGACACAAGTCAGCCGCCGCCAATGCCTCCTGCTGCTGCTGCTGGATTGCTGCAACCACCGATGATGCCTCTGGTCAACCCGTTCCAGTTTGGTAATAGATTATTGGGTAATTTTGTTTTTCATCATATCCTCCTATATGTAGCAAGTTCCAGATGTAAATCAGAACCCTCGAACTATGAGGGTTCACAGAAATGCGGGACTGCGCTCCTCACAGACGTGAGTCCTACTTAAAGATCACCTCGGAGTATCAATGCAGACAGTTCCCCTCAACTCGATCGTTTAGTGTAACTGTGATAACGGCTAAATCCCCAAAAGGGTGAAAAAAGAGTTTCGACAACCAAGGGAGGCCGATTTCCTTCAAAGTCTCCACAACCGGAAACGGCCCAGCACGGGGTGTGAAATTAATTCACTAACGAAGGTTGTGGACCGCTGAACTCCTACACGAGAGCACCGGGAATAGCACCAAGTCATCTTCAGCTCTCGTATACACCTTAGGAAAAACCATTGTTATACATGGGAAATCATTTCTTGGCAACAGCGCATCGGCTCGTCTACTTTCATCGCTATTCGTACATATTTCCTACCGTTAACGCGCGTGCCGTTGTCAAGTGCGATAAGGGATTCATGACTCACTCTGCGGTTGGGTAAAGGTGCGTCTTTATTTAATCCAAAATATCTTAAAAATGTACTCGCAAGAAGAAAAGTTTCAAGTGATAGAATGGTACATCCAGAATAATTCAGCACGCGCGGTTGTTGAATTATTTGCGGTACGCTTCCCAGATCGGCCAATTCCGTCTCACGCAACGGTTATAAATACCTTCGAAAAATTCAAGAGGGTGGGCTGCTTACATAAGTGCCATAGCTGCATGCACCCTGAAGGTTGTAAACCAAAAATTAGCGAGAAAAGGGAGGAGATCGAAACTGCTGTTTGTGCCGCTGCAGAAGTATCTGAGCCATGCTCAAGCAGAAAAATTGCTGAAATGGTACCAATAGCCGATCTCACACCCAGAACAACAAGAAATATTTTGCATCGCAACGGCTATCATAGCTTCAAGGTTGGAACGGTTCAAGAAATATTTCCTTTAGACAAATACCGTCGAATGGAGTTTTGTGAAACGGTCATGGAGGAGGCGAACAGGGATGGAAGTTTTATTGGTGACATTTTGTTTACTGATGAATCCACATTCCCTCTCCACGGTCATCACAATCCTTCAGTCGTTCGGTATTGGTATCGAGAAAATAAACACCTCAGTATTCCCGTCCGCACGCAGTATCCACAGAAACTGAATGTGTGGGCAGGAATTCTAGGTAATAACATTATCGGACCGTTCTTTATTGATGGAACTCTTACGGCTGCAAAATATTTGGCGTTACTACAGACGCAGATTGTTCCTGCAATTAGGCAGCTTAGCATTGATCTCGCTAATATTTGGTTCCAACAAGATGGATGCCCGGCGCATAATGCGGCGATCGTACACACTTACCTTGAAAGTGTGTTTGGCCATCGGATTATTGGCGGTAACGGAACAATAAAATGGCCTCCTAGATCACCCGATCTAGCGCCCAATGATTTTTTCTTGTGGGGTTATGTGAAAAGTACTGTTTACACTTTCAATGAGAGAGCAGACAATTTGCATAACCTACAGGTGAAAATCGTTGAAGCGCTCGTGCAAATACAGCCTTCTACCCCCTTGAGAGTTCGTCAGGAGTTTTATAACTGAAATACTGTTCATTGAATGAAGGAGACGTTTTTGAGCCCCAGCTGTGAAGGACCATTTGAAACATTTGTGTTCATTATTGCGTTTTATTTTTGAGAACTTATTTTTTTGTTAGAATATCTTTTTATTTTCGTTACACATTTTTAAGAGTGTACTATTTTTTGTTAGAGTGGGTATCTTCTTATTTTTGTTATGAGACGCAACCTTTATTGCTGCAAAACCAATTATCCATTCATAAAAATAAGTAGAGTGATTTAGGTGATTTCGTGAAATCTCGAAATCACCGAAATCGGTTCACAGGACGTTCAATCGAACTGGTGCGTAATGCGCGCATCTACTGTACTTCTTCTATCGACTCAACGCATACTGAAATTTGCAGCAGACCGCAGACCTGTATCACGAATGAGAATAATAGGCAGATACGCTGTGTTGCCAATTTGAGTAGAGCTTCCCGAATTGTGGGGAATTTAGAGTTAAGTGTTGATTCATTCAAGCTTTTAATCAGCATGGCCTAGACGTTAGAACTTCATAAAGATAACATTGAAGCTGAATGCTGCTGGAGTATAGTGTTTCGAATATTCAAAGCGGAGCGGGACACTATCCTCGTTCAATGGGTCATCAAGCCACAGTCTTTTCAACAAAGAAAATGCGTTATATTTTTACGATTTTGTCGTCACCAAATCTCTGTTTCTCAAAATGTACGTCTATTGTAGAATTTTCAGCAAACTAAGCAAGAAACGTGATCTAGTATTTACTCAACATGACGGATTTCTCGAAATACATTAAAAAATGTGACCTAGATACCTAACTGTCCCAAGCTCTTTAAATATAACACCTTAAACCAGGCTTACCAGGTGCTCAGTCACGTTGATTGTCATGTTGTACTGCGCAAGTCAGCAAACAATCTGGCGTAATAAACGTTAGGAATCATCAGGTATTGCCAGATTCCCGAATACCGGGCACCATAGTACCCGTTGTAGTTGTCCTTCGAAGTTGTCAAATCGCCCCTATGGCGCAAATTCGCCACACCAGGCAACTGTGCTATAAACAAACCCTGTTTATCACTACTATTTGATAGTCATATGGTAGTTGTAGCCCTATCTAGCGGTCCATGATTTTCATCAATACTGTTGTATCTCTACTGGCAACAAGAATAGGGATTACAAAATCATTTATACAACAATATACAAACATGAAAAATATGATTTGAACCATGAAACATTAATACAATTTTAATAGATTGAACTTTTTTCATTTTTGGAATACTCTTATGTGGAATCCGCAGCTATTTTTCCCGAAATTTGGGTAGACTTAGATTTCTTAGAAATATGACATATTGGTATCGGCAACTCTGCGAATGCGAGAAACAAATCGCATTTGTTGAGCGCATCCGTCTAAGCAGCAGGCGCCAGCGCCCGTTCTGCCATCTCTCTCTTTTATCACCCTTCTACTTTACCCCGTTGTCCGTCACACTCCGACGCTGCCAGATAGGATCCTACAATCGAGTGTCTTTCACGCACCTACATACTTTTGTATATTTCCATCTCTCTTCCTCATCATAATGTATAATAATGTTTTTTTCCCAAGGTGTATAAGAAAAATGTAAAAATCTTTATCAAGACATAGTTTATTTCAAGTCGACCATAACACTTTCTTCTGCAGGCATGAACATGATGGGCAACATGCCGCCGAACATCCCTCTGGGCGTGCCGCCTCCGAACGTGCCCGGAGCGACGGCCGCCGCCGCGATGATGCTCGGGCTGAGCAACCCGTTCCAGACGTTGCCGCCTCAGTTACCGCCCCCGACGATCGACACCACGGCCAAACCGCCCCCAGTCGCCGGAGCGCCGCCTCCCGGCGACCTGAAGTCGCTCAGCGAGAGCCTGATGAACATAACGCAGGGCTTCGGGAACACGAGCGTGCCGCCTCCGAGCGTCCCTGCAGGCGGAAACATGGTGCCGCCGCCGCAGATGAACGAGGACGCAATGGATGTCGAGATGGAGGATGCTGATAATAGGTAATGTGAAATTTGGTATTCACTGCGACTTGAGGGTGGATTTCACCAGGATTGTCAAATTAACAGTCCGTTATTTTACACCTATAGGGTGACAGTCCGTTAAATATAGCCAGTCAGCTTTGAGATCCATTCGACAAATTTTAGCAAATATAAACAAGATATTGTCAGAGTATGAGATGCCAGCTTGTCATCGAAACATCACCAGCTTATCGACTATATTAACGAGTGATCTTTTGTTTATGGTAGGATCTAGATTTCGAGATCGGGATCGGAGCGGTTGACGTCGACGCGGTTTTTCCGGTTTTTTTCCCGGTTCGCGAAACGTTCGGAAGGAAAACGATACCGTTTCGGAAACTAGAAACTCGGCGCTTTACGGACGAGTGAGAAACGCGATCGAAAACGGCCGGTAAAGTCGAAAAAACGGTAGATTTTCGTGCTGTTCGACGTTCACTTTCGATCTCCTCCGAAGATAAAGGAGCTACGAACCTGACGATTTTTGGATCAACTCTAACATATCGAGGATGCTTCGTCACAAGAGATCTTTGTGGCAACGGTTTAGGAGGAGTGGCCATTCACAAGATTACGTGTCTCATCGATCCTTTTCTAACCTCCTATCTAGAACGTTACATAATGCCAAACATTCTTATGAACGAAAACTCGTTACCTCCAATAAGAAGAAGCTGTTTCTGTATCTAAGAACAAACCTGAATTCCAAAGTTTCATCACCTCAGATCCGCGACATTGACGGTCACATGGATGCCACCGAATCTGCCAACTTACTGGCAGAGTCCTTTAGTGATGACTTCGTCGATGAGCCTAATGGAGACCTTCTACCGACCACCATCTGCCATAGGTGTCCCAACAGCCTTTGCGAAGTTGAGTTCCTGCCTGAAGATGTATTAATGCACCTGCGAAATCTGAAGACCTCTTCCTCCCCTGGTAAAGATGGGATGACGGCTGCTGTACTTAAAAACTGCGCTTCAGCACTGGCCCTACCATTAAGCTTGATATTCACATCGTCTTTTAGATCTCATACCCTACCCTCATGCTGGCTTAGTGCTTCTGTTACCCCTGTATTCAAAAAGGGCGACAAATCCTCCGCTAAAAATTATCGACCAATAAGTCTCGTTCCTATCGCCGCCAAAATAGCTGAAAGAATCATATTAGATAAGCTGCTGTCATTTGCTTTAGAAAATGACCTTATCCCTAAGAATCATCATGGATTTCTCCCTGGTCGATCAATAATGACCAACCTTCTCCACTCTCTCAACGATTGGACTCAGTATCTGGACACAAAGACTCCTGTTGATATAATCTACTTAGATTTTTCTAGGGCTTTCGATCGCGTACCACATAGAAGGCTTCTGTTTAAGTTGGAATGTATGGGAATAAGAGGCGAGTTGTTACTGTGGATTAAGACTTTTCTCACCTGGAGGACTTTCTCTGTGCGCGTCAGTGATAGCCAGTCTCACCTTCATCATGTAGCAAGTGGAGTTCCTCAAGGCTCTGTCTTGGGGCCAGTGCTGTTCCTTCTGTATACAAGTGACCTGCCCGCATTGATTTCCTCCACATGTTCAGCTTATGCCGACGACACCAAGATTTACAATACTGTCGTAAATTCTGCTATGCTTCAACGAGATCTTGATATTGTTTGTCAATGGTCAGTCAGTTGGCTTTTACCCTTAAATCTAACTAAGTGTTGTGTCCTTCACCTCGGGAAGACAAATCCGCGATTTACATACAAGATCTCTGACCACAACATCGAAGCAGTTTCCAGCCACACTGATCTGGGCGTTGTAGTCAACGATCGTCTTTCCTGGTCAGAGCATATTCACCACGTTACATCAAAAGCCAAGAAACTTCTATACATGCTGGAGAGGTCTTTCAAAGGATCCGATGTCAACACTTGCGCCTACATTTACAAGGCATTCGTGAGGCCAATTCTTGAATTCGCTGTCCCGGTATGGGACACTGTGCTTCTGCGCGATAGAAATCTCGTCGAATCAGTACAGCGTCGAGCTACTCGTATCCCTTTTGGAGCACGAAGACGAAGCTATGAAGATCGCCTTGAATTATTCAACCTGACCTCATTCTCTGAGCGAAGACTTCGTGGCGATCTTATAGTTACGTTCAGGATACTTCATGGTTTGATGGGCACCAACCTCATGCATCTATACCGTCTGTCGCGCAGCAATCTACGCGGACACAGCTTCAAACTGCATAAGGACCCATTTAAAACAACAGCCCGACAGTGGTTTCTTCCCAACCGCATATTCAACACCTGGAATAGTTTACCTGAAAGTGTGGTTGGTGCTACTTCAGTTAATAGCTTCAAAGTGCAGTATGATAGCTGGAGCAGTGTACAAATTTTATAGCTATGAACTGTCTTTTTTTATTTTTTTCTATTTGATGTATTTGTGTTACGTGTCCGTACACTATATTTACTGCATGAGCTTATAGTACTGTGTACTCTGCTCATCTCAATTATCATAATAATAATAATAATAATAATAAAGCCCGGACATCGGACTCAAAGATAGCGTCTTTTTTTTTCTTTATCCCTTTTCGTTCGAAAGTTTCGATTTTTTAAAATTGCTCGACTATATGCGTGAAAAAGACTTTGTTTTCCGGCTCTGTCCTCGCCTATTACTACTATACGTAAGCGAGTAAAAATTATATAGCTATCGAAAAATAAAGATATTGAGCTTAGGAAACGATTCTGACCGTTAGAAGTCCCGTCAAATTTCGAAAAAGTAAACTCTGAGCGCCTCAAAAGTACCGATCACAGCCGTTTTTCCGCGTACTTTGTCTTCTTCGATACAGACCTTCGTTACGGATCGAGATAGCTACGATTTTTTTTTTCGCAAAACGAAAGACCAAAGTCTTCTGATTAATCCGATATACGACACGTTATCCGATCGCATCTTTTAAACCGGCAGATTAGAAAATTTCAAGATATGCAGATATTTTGAGTTTGACATTTTTATTTTGATTTTCGCTCGAGATTCGCGATTCCTGTTAGGCGGGGTATTGTAGGTACGATAATATTACAAAAGCGAGCGCGTGCTAGCAAAACGTGCCATTTTCGGCTTCATGACGATGTCTTTATCCAATATTGGATCATACCGAATAGCATTTTCCTTTTTTACGCGTGAAAATAAACACTTTTCAATAGATTCAGAATTTCTATATTCTATAGTTCAAACGGTACCGGACTATAACTATAATCATAATTACAAACTAGTTGAATATTAAGAAATGACATATAATTCAGTCGAAATTTAAAAAAGTGTTTTTTAATAAAATTAAGGTTTTTTTTATTATTTTTGATTGTTTATTCATGTTTATATTATTTTCTTCAAATGATATGGGATTTTACTGATTTTACATCACCTACCGTGTATTTTTTCCTATAAACCTCTTGCAGATAAACAACTCTACCAACAATTTCATAGATATTGTTCGTTTCCAAACATTCATTCATTTAGTTGCCGTTCATCAGTACCATTATGGCACCTTAGATTGATATTCGCACAAAACTATTCAGGATTATTGATATCCATACATCCATAACGTTGACTATTTTTCGTTGTTCAAGAAGTGAACAAACATCCACACTATATTTACAGTGATTGAGAAAATACCCAAATATATATCCTAAAGCTACCACCTCAAAAAAAAACTAAAATTTGCAATAATTTTCTCTTTTCACTGAGTACACATTCTAGGTTATATTTGATATTATTTGAATAACAGCTGATTATCTCCTGATATTTCAAAACTCCCTATATCGACAAGTAACACATAATTCTGTGGGATCCGTCAACGCTTGGTCCCAGTCCTATGCGCAGTGGAATTTTTCTCAAAATCGTTGCACAACACTTGAAAAATGCAAATGAAAATTCTAAAATTATTTCCATGACGCCCCAAATGGCTCCGTCGGTACCCCGGGTTATAGAGAGCCGTGAGCAAAGGAGAAAGAAGCCCAACATTTACTAAATGATAAAATTGTAATTTTCATCGCGTACAGTGATAAACCGCTAAAGTATTGCTTTCATTATTTCACCTTGATAAAAAAGGGAATTGCGAGCTACATAAATTGTATTACGACAGATCGGTGAATAATGCTGATCCCAGAACCAACTCGATCAGCGGCAGGAACAACAGAGACGATGAGAGACGAGATCGCAGCAGAGATGACAGAGATAAAAAGGACGATAGAGACAGGCGAGGAGGAGACGATAGGGACGCCAGGGGTAGACGTGACAGGAGCAGGGAAAGAGACCGCAATAAAGACACTAGACGGGACAGCAGAGACAGAGACAGGAGAGACAGAGGTAAGTCGCTTAACATGTGGAAATTGATGTACTGACAACATTTATGTAACACACTAGCTTATATTTATATATCACTGACAGGTTGGTGACCTTGACCGTTCCATATACAGCAGACGCTCGATAATGTAAACTAATTTAATCCAAGTGTCGAAATGTTTACATTAGCGAACGTGATTTATATAATATTTGATTTATTAAAAGAAACGTTTAATACATACTATTTATAACAAAATAAACAAATATTCTAACAGCGATAAGTATTTTTTTAGTTAGAAGAAAAATAATTAACAATTTTTGTCTGCGTAAATTTGCGCTTAGCATTGTCTTCCAATGACTGCGCCCGTAATTTACGAAGAACTAAAATATCCGTGTATGAAACTTCTTTTCTTTCAGCCCAATCTATAGCTTGGTTAAAAACTTGTATAGCTTGCGCGTCAGTCACTACACTTCTGACTTCAATGGGATCGTTCTCATCATCCTCACTGTCCATATCCTCCTCCTTATCAGCATCATTCGTCTGCTTATCTTCGTTCCATAAATTAATATCAGCAGGAGTACAAACAATGTTGGGATTCACTGTTTTCAATAAATCAACAACATCCAATGACACACTAATAACATTATCATTATTGGATCGCAAACGTTCTCTAATTACGCTTAAGGGGACATCGTCTTCTTCATCATCTTCATTATTGGTACAAAAGAGATTGTTCCAACATTTTTGAATAGTTTGCTGGTTAAGTTCATTCCAGGCCATATGTAAATCTAAAACAGCTTCTCGTAATGTTACTTTTTTTAAAGCCTCAGATAAGTTTACAGGATTCTTTGATAAGACAGACGAAAGTAGAAACTTCCTATAGTATAGTTTGGTGAGTCTTATTATATTCTGGTCCATCGGTTGAATTAACGGTGTTACGTTGGGCGGCAATGTACATGACGAAAATTGACGCATCCCTGCTCCTCAGTTGTTGCTCGGGAGGATGACTTGGTGCATTATCCAATAGTAACAACGCTTTTAGTGGAAGCTTCTGTTGTTTTAGGAAACCTTTTACCTACAAATTGAAAACACATCTTCAAATTATGAATAGAGCATTTGTGATAATTGATTGTCATACCTGAGGGACAAAGCACTTGTGGAACCATTTCAGGAATATACTGCTAGTCATCCAAGCGGTTTTTGAACAGTCATAATCAACAGGGATATTAACATTTTTAAATGAGCGCGGATTTTTTGCTTTCCCAATTACCAGTGGCTTTATTTTGTGTGAACCATTATCATTAGTGCATGCTAGAAACGTTATTCGTTGTTTCTCCGGCTTTCTTCCCGGTGTAGATTTTTCAAATGATGCAGCATAGGTTTTCCCTGGTAACATTTTCCAATAAAGGCCACTTTCATCTGCGTTGTAAATTTGTTCCATTCTTAAATCTAGCTCGGTAATTGTTTTCATCAATTTTTCTTTGAATGGTTGCACTAATTGTGGTTGTGCTGATAAGTACTTCGCCACTAACTGGGACATGATTTTCCCGTTGTTTTAAAAACCACTTATACAGGGAATTTTCCATTTTAGGTGCCTTCGCATTTTTTAAAGTTTTTCTTTTTCCCGTACCTCCAAATGTATTGCACGTTCTTTGTAAAATTTGAGTTTTCATACGCTTAATTTTACAGATTGTTGCTTTCGATACTCCATATTTTTTTGCTAACTGTGTCACTCCCGCACCTAGTGCAACTTCGTCTATGATTTTCACTTTCTCACTCAACTTTAAACACTTTCTTTTATAGGATGTGGATGCCATAGTCGTAAAATATATTAACGCGTGCAATGTATTCAATTAAGTTCAAAAATGAAATACATACGTATAAACGTATCCTAAACGATCATACGACTGACCGAGTTTGTCGTATTTTATCGCAGAGGTGAATCCCCTACACTCTACATCATAAATCGGTGATTCCCCGACGCCCGACATAAATCATCGAGGCTTCAGCATTTTACCGTCGCGCTGTTTCCGTGCGCCGAGAGTTGTTTACGTTATCGAGCGTTCCGTTTGATCCTACGGAACGAAGTTTTCATTATCCCGTGTTTACGTTATCGAGCGTCTGCTGTATTTTGATAATGTGACGACGTAAATTATATTCCAGGACGTGATAGAGACAGAGATACAGGTCGCGACAGAGACGCCGGGCGAGATAGAGACATGGGTCGAGACAGAGATGCCGGACGCGATAGAGACAGGCGTGGCGATAGAAATGACCGTAGAGACAGGAGCGGAGATAGAGGCAACCGCTGGGGAGGGGATAGAGACAGGCGTGATGCAGGCGGTAAGGACGACAGACGGGATCGTGAGAAGAACCTGAACGATAGGCTGCGCGAGATGGCAGGAGGTTATGATGATGGCAGAAACAGAGACAAGTCGGCCGACAGGCGACCAGGAGGGTATCCGGATGACGTGAGAGGAGGACCACCGCGAGGTGGAGCTGCATCTCAATCCTCCAGGTAAGACAAAATAAAAAGCAAACAGGAATTTCGCATGTTGGTAGTTTCACGGAGATTGACATTATGTTCTTTCGTCATGGGGAGATGATGACGGTGATATATTTTACAGGCGTGATTACCCTGATTTCAAGCAGCCTCCACCGGACACGCCTAAGAAAGAGCTCGCAAAGCCAGACCCTCGCGGCAAAGAAGATGAGCTCGAACGCAAAGCAGAATGCGTCAAAAAAGACGACGAAGAAGCGATTCAGGCAGAGCGGCGCGAAGACGTCGTTTCACAGAACATGGATATGATGTTTAGAGGCGCCGATATGATCATGGATGGACGACATCCAGATCCTTTGATGACAGGTAAGGTGACATATTTCATATTTGCTTACTAGACTGCACTTTATGAACGATATCAACTAGAAGAGGTCAAAGTATAGTCATTCGGATCCTTCCCGACCACTTTTTGGTACTTTTTTTCAACCACCTCGTTTCTTAGGTAATTACACAGTTTTTTTTTGGCTTTGACTATTTTTTTCTGTTTTCTCGAGTCTTTCTAAATTAGAAAAGTCTTCAGTGACTTTTCTCTAAAGTTGGTCGTTTTCGAGCTATAGGCCATTTAATGTCTGAAAAACGCTAAAAATGGCCATTTTGAATGATTAAAAACTCCGTTAAAAATGATTAATTTTGAGATTGCCAAGTATCTAAATTAAAGCTAAAACCTTTTCCTACAGGATCCTGAAGAGTATTTCAAGATTAATTTATTTTAAAGCGATTTTTAAGGCAATAATTGGTATTACGTTTGATTTTCGCAGACTGTGCGTACCACTTCCACTAAAGTGAAGCTGAAACCAATGTTGTTTATAGCAAAGTGTATAGGCATTTTTCTTACAGGGCGTCCCAAAAGTGAAGAAAAGGTAGTAATAGGGGGTCATTCCAAAATGCCTTTTCTTTTTTTTCAGAAAATTTTTTGTAGGGGTTCAAATTCTGGGATTGAGGTTTGTGGGAGGTACTATGAATGTTTGTTTTTGGCGACAAACCTTGTGTGTTTATTGCTGATTGTACAAGGTTTGGCCGGAAAATACGGATAAAAGTGAAATAACTTTATTTTACAATTGTTCGGGTATTGCAATATGGTCTCCTTCAAAGTACTCTTCCTGAAACAAGTTGCGCTTCTGTCAACGCCGTGTCCACTGTTGATACGATGCTGAAAGTCTTCAATTGTGAGGCTCTTTATTTGCCGTGTCGTTTCTGCCTTAATGGCTTGTACATCCCCCAAGTGCGCCCCCGAAGTACCATTTTGCATTTTGGGAACAGGAAGAAGTCGCAAGGAGATAAATCGGGTGTTCTGTCAGGGTGATTGAGCTTCGGGTCAAAAACTCACGCACAACAAGAGAGCAGGCGTGATTAAGGATCCAAATGCCTCCTTGTGCCAAATCCGATCGAACTCGGGCCGCTCGAGCTCCGAGAGGACGTAAAACTTCAGTGTAGAAATTTCCATATTCTGTCTGGCCGAGAGGGACAAATGCCTGCTGAACAATTCCCCGAGAATCAAAGAAAACGATCGACATTGTTTTCACATTGGACCTTGAATTTTTGTTCTCGGTTCCTCTTCCACATCGAATTCGTAGAACCAAGACTCGTCTCCAGTGATGACTTGTTTGAAAGATTCGCGCACAATTTTTTCATTTCAAGTTTTTCTGTCGGAATTTCGTGGACGATTGTTTTGGAGACTGACAGTTCCTCAGCTGTCATTATAACTGTCCCATGATTTACTCCCCTGTGGCACCCGTACTGATATATTTTGAACACTTGACATAATATTTCCAACTTTAGTTTTTTGACTTCTATTTACTAAATAATTTTGTAAAATGTGTAATACCGATCCTTTGAAGCCAAAATGTCGCAATTTATTTAACAATTCTTCCCTATCTATAGTCTCAAATGCCCTTTTGAAGTCTAAAAATATATTCTTTCTCATCTCTACTTCTTCTCCAGTCTTCCACCACCATTTGGATTGCCGTTTCTGCGGAATATTTTTTTCTATATCCAGCTTGATTTCATCAAAATTTTGGTTTCTTCAATGAATTCTGATTTGTTCGTATTTACGATCACGCTAATCGTTATTTGCAGAACCGCCCCCAGGCGACTTGATGCGCCCGCGAGAACGTCCGCCGTTCGACGATTTGCCGCCGCCGAGGAACGAGATTGGTTTGCTGGGTCGACCGCCACCGGACGGTTTCATGGGGGGCGTAGAGGGAGAGCCGCCGTTGTTGCCTCCGCCGCCGCACATGCGCTTCAATCCGCCGCCTACGGCGATGTTCGATGGCAGGCCGCCGCCCCCGCTGTTCGACGGGCCTCCGATGATGGGCGACGACATGCCGATGATGATGCCACCCGATATGATGGACGGTGAGTCGATCAGTTTTATCTCAAACTCGATATTTATTCAAATATTACCCAACAAACATTTTATTTATATTTATTTATCAACGAGCGACTGCCCAATTAAAGTACAGGATAGAAAATCTAATGTAAACCTAACCCTACTTTGACTTAGATATTTAACACTTAGAACAATCATAAACTCTTTACAGCCCAGATCATTTCTAAATTCGAACGAATTTAATTAAAATTAAATATATGGGGAAATCTAATATTGAATATTATAGACAGGAATCTAATTGAATTTTGACTGTTTTCTGACTTTTGAAGAAATCCAACTTATTAGAATACTGGTTTGCTAACCTTGAAGATCTAGACAGGAAGGGATTACTAGCATAATTAGTATGAAATGATCTCGCATGTAATGGTTGATTCAGTCTTGTTTGACGAGAAGGCACATGGTGATTAATATTTTTCAAAAGTTCTGGTGCAAAAAAAGTGGAAAATATTATCAGTGTCAGGTCGCTCTGATTCCGTCTTACCGGAGAGAGCTTTCAATGACGGAATAGATAATATCTTCAACCATAATGTTTTGTTTGAATGAAATGAATCTTAAGAATTTATGCTGCACTCTCTCAATTGCCTGAATATGAACATTATAGTTGGGTCACCAAACACAAGAGCAATACTCCAAATGGCGCCTCACCAAAGAACAACGTTTTAAATGACTGAATATTATGAAAATCCTTAGCACATCGTTTTATAAATCCCAACAGTTGAAGAGATTTAGAAACTTTCATATTTATATGGGTAATAAATAATAATTTGGGTCCAGAATTACCCCTAAATCCCTAACTTGGGATGCACTCTTTAGGGGACAACCTTTCATGGTATAAGTATGATCAATGGGACTGAATACCATTAAATGACATTTTTCCACGTTAAGTTCCATTCTATTCATTTGACACCAGAGACTCAATGAATTCAAATCATTTTGGATATTTAAACAATCATTATTATATTTGATTTTTAAGAATAATTTCAAATCATCTGCAAACATTAGAAAACTAACAGACTTAAAGCAGTATATAATATCATTCACGTATATATTGAAAAGAAGTGGACCCAGATGGGAACCTTGAGGTACTCCATATGGCAGATTAATCTCATTTGATTGACAGCTTTGTATACGCACTATTTGTTTTCGGTCAGTGATGTAAGACTTCAGCCATGATAAAAGATCCCCGCAAATTCCTAGACAATGTAACTTATTAATCAAGATCTCATGGTTGACCTTATCGAATGCTTTAGAAAAATCTGTATAGACTACCTGAACAGAATAAGCTTCCTCCAAGGATTCCAAAACATAGTTTGTGAGTGTTAAAAGATTTAACTCTGTGGAGCATTTTGAAAGAAATCTAAACTGTTGGCTTATAAAATTACTTTGCAAATTTGCGGATAAAAATTCACACACTAAGCTCTCAAATACCATTCCTATGCAGCTCAGTTTACTGATAGGTCGATAATATTTTACTTGTGAATAAAAAAATTCGATTTCACCTCGTAAAAAGCGTGTTGATTTTTCAAATAGAAAATAAAGTAATAGATGACGCACCCATTACAGCTATCATTTTTTTTTCTTGACAGATCGAGATTTTCTGACAGCTCCTCATCATAAAAGACCCAACTTTGTTTTGAGCCTTGGTCGGCACATCGTAATAATAGAGTCAACTCTCGGCACCTAGTCGTACGACGACTTTTACGTCAGACTATGCGGTACCCAGAGAGAAAGTTTCCTTACGTGTAAATGCTCATGCAGAATTGAATAAATTGCTAGTGCAAGGTGTAAGGTCTCCTCTATCTGTTGGTATGTCACTCTCCGTTCTTCGTCAACCATTTTCCTCACAGCAGTAATCTTTTCCTCTGATACTCACTTTAACGGCCTTCCTTCCCTCTCTGCGTCTTCCAGAAATTGCCCCTTTGGAATTCTCTGTATCTCCTGAATATAGTCGTACGATGAGGACAATCGTCTTTAATGCAAACGTCATTTCTTCTAAGCACTCGTCTATGCTTAAACTGTAAAACTGCTCATATCTGACTACGTGACCACGATGCCATAGTCCGCATTTTAGACTGTCAATACGAATGAACAACAGACGTACTCCTGCCGGCTACTACGCACTCATGGACATATTTCAACATGCAGTAACATGCAGCCTCGTGCGTCCGTTAAGTCGTATTGCAAAACTTTTATAGTGCCCTTTCATTTGGTGTCAGTGAAAGACCTTCTTTTATTAAAGATCTGCTGATCTGAGTGATACTATACACCTGTCAGACTTAATAGTCACACATATCTGCCCTGGAAACAAAAATCCGATAGATTTGCATATAGTTTGATATGCAGAGATCGATGATCGTAACTAAGGGTACCTACCTGATCACAATTCAATTTCTCCTTTTGAAACGATTTGGCTCATCCATTCGAAACCGCCAACGAAGGCGTAGGAAGTATAGAGTCAATCTACTCTACGCCATTTTTTTTCTAGAAGGTGAAACAAAAAAGTTAAAGGTGGTCAATTTATAGCGCGACTCGCCGCACATGCACTATAGTTGTAGTCACTGTTCTTGGCAGCTCAAAGTAAGACTACCAGTATCCCTTTATATATCTCCATCTCCCTCTTACATACACATGCAAACTACCCCTGCGTGTGAACGTTTGTTGTTTTTTAGTTGTGTGCCTCCTCACATTTGTCAGAGTGACAACATCGGCGCGCAATTTTTGAGTTGTCCTGTTATCAATCTTCGATATACAATGCCCGGAAATACGATCGATGGAGAAGGCCGACAGCTCGTGCTAAATTTATTATTCCACGAAGAGAACGTAAACAGCGGTCCCCTGTTACCCATTTCATGCGTACTGGAGGGAGTAGCAGATGCCCATGGTACAGAGACTCGATCTGTTTACTTATTTCATTTATTTATTTATTTCCAACAGGTGAAACCCAATTACAGGAAATGCTGAAAAAATAACAATTAAAGAGACATGGTTCTTGGACTTAAATCTATAATATCACACATTCTAAATAAGATTGGATGATCTATAGCAGTTAATAATCGATGCACAACTGTCACTGTAAATATCACACGATTCAGTAACACTGTTCATGGCGCAGCACATGAGATTAATTGGCGATTTTGTCATAACATTTGTACGGCCAGCTTGATAACAGAATGCCGTTTGTTGTCGACTCCCTAGCCTTGCACGCGGAAACATATTTTTTCAAGTAAATTTTGACAGTCAATTTTATTGTGAATGAGGCAATACAAAAACGACAAAGCAAATATGTTTCGTTTGTTGACAGTGAATCCAAATTGAAAAACTCTAATAGGGCACTATGGTCACAACCTCTTTCTGGATCAGAACCTGTGCATTTAAGGTGAAAATACTTTAAAGCTTTACGTTGAATGGCTTCAAAGATCACGACAGAATTTTGGTATATAGGAGACCTGATCAGAGTCGCATACTCCAACTTGCTCCTGACAAAAGTAAAAAATAAAGTCATTAATGTATCAACATTGGAGAAACCCTTCCAGTTTCTGATACAGAAACCAAGTAGTCGAGTGGCAGCCGACGAGATATTGAGTATATGCTCAGTAAACGTTAGCTTGGTATCAAAAGTGACTCCAAGGTCTCTATAAGAGGTGCATCTGTCTATAACCTGACCATTGATGTTATAATTATCATAAATCAAATAGTTAACCTTTCTTGTATAAGTCATAACTTTACATTTCGAAACATTCAGACTGAGACAGTTTCGTGAACACCATGACGAAATTAGAGCTAAGTCATCTTGCAACATGACGCAATCCTCGACTGTCTTGACTGACGTGCAGATTTTAATGTCATCAGCGAAAAACAAATGGAAACACTTCAGTTCAAAAGACAAGTCATTGATAAATATCAAAAACAATAATGGACCTAGATTTGACCCTTGAGATACCCCGGACGTGGCCCGATAGTAACTCGACCTATGACCACCATATTCGACAAATAACCTTCTATCCCTCAAATATGAATTCATGAGCGACAGCATTGCATCAGACATACCCACTGTTTTATGCTTATCCAGAAGTGCATAATGATCGACTTGATCAAACGCCTTCTGAATATCTGTGTAGATGACATCAACTTGTCCTTGACCGTCCAGTACTTCAGAAATGTACTGAGTAATTAGAGCCAAGTTGGTGACCGTAGATCTGCCTCTCATAAACCCATGCTGATTAATAAAGACTGCACCCCTGACCGAGTAAACTGTTTCATAAGCGATGATCTCAAACAACTTGCTGAAATTGCACAGGATTGATATTTGGCGATAGTTGGAAATATCAGAGATATCTCCACTTTTGTGAATAGGACATATTTTAGAGGTCTTCCAGATATTTGGATATGTCTCTGATTTTAGAATTAGGTTGAATATGGAAGCCAGCGGTTTCGCTAGTTCATACGGCATTGATGACGTAACTGCCAAGAAGCGTGACTACAACTATACCCGTCTAAGTGCTTGTTCGTTTGCAGGTCCCCCAGACATGCACATGCCACCGCGCATGCCGTTCGGCAGAGGCGGCTGGCGTGGTCGCGGAGGCGGCGATTTCGGACCGAGAGGGCCACCGCCGGACTTCTTTCCGCCAGTAGGCGGGAGGGACGAGTTTGAAGATGATTTCAGGGGTGAATTCGACGGTCCGCCGTCGCTGATGCGGGGCGGATTCAGGCCGCCGAGAGGGATGCGCGGAGGGCCGCCGGGCAGATTCAACGGCCCCCCGCCTCTGATGAGGGGCGGCCGAGGCGGTAGAGGAGGTAAGCGCTAACATACAGGAACTAAGCTTAACAGCTAATTGAGCCAAAAGTTGTCAGTTTGATTAAAATTATTCTTTTTTTTACCCATGCGCACTTTTTTCTCAGGTCACTTCAGAGATGGGCCCAACTTCAACCCGCGTTTCGAGTTTGAGGGTCCCCCACCGGAATTCTTTCGCGGTATGGGACCTGGGCCCAGAATGAGGGAGCCGCCAATGTTTGAGGATGGCCCGCCTGGCATGAGACACCGCGGAGGACCCAGATTTGAAAATGATAGACGACCACCCAGGCACGAATTTGAAGATGAAGAACCAAGGTATTTCATTAAATAAATTTGTACACCTGGAAAATGCCTTAGGCCAAAGTAGAACAATATACAGCCTTGGCCAAAAGTATTGAGCACCCTCGATATCTTTCAATTTTAGGGGACTATTATATTGGAATAAATTGACAGAATTTTTTATAGTCATAAATGTCTTATTATGAGAAGAAAATCAATATTTTGTGGGACCTCCTTTCACCTTAAGTACAGCAGAAATTCTTCTAGGTAAAGATCGTGCAAGTTTATTACATTCTTCGTAAGTTAAAGCGTTCCATTCTTCACGTAGGCGGCGCTTTAACTCTTCTTCTGTGTTGATTGTGTGACGCCTGATCATGCGTTTTAATAAGTTACACAAATGTTCAATCGGACTCAGGTCTTGTGACTGGGCAGGCCAACCCAGAAGCTCGATACAGTTTTCTCTGAACCAAGCCTTTTTGTCCGTGCAGCTTTGTGGCAAGGCGCATTATCTTGCTGGAATTTGACACCATTCATGTTGGTATCACCATAAAGTGCGGTAAACGACGGCAAAAGAGCACATGCAAGTACGTTTATGTACTTTGTGGAATCCATGCGACCCTCACACACGGACATTTTTCCGACTCATGCAGCCCCAGACCATTACGCTGCCGCCACCATGTTTCAAAGTAGGCACCACACACTCCTGATTGAATTCTTCTCCTACTCGACGACGAACAAATGTCACACTAGGTGTAGCAAAAATCTGAAAAATTAAGAAATATTAAGTAGTTGGTTAGTTGAATAATTTATTGATACAATTTGTTTCAAAAATTATTGTTACATTTCGTTACTGCATCAAATCAACTAACGTACCTCAAAGTTTGATTCGTCTGACCATACAATATTTGACCAATCCTCTTCAGTGAAGTTTTTGTATTTTAAAGCCGAGCCTTCTTGTTTTTGTCTGAGAGCCATGGCTTCTTTCCGGCTTTGCGGCCATTTAGACCAGCTTCTTGAAGCTTTCTGCGAGTAGTTCGGGTAGAAATTGGTCTATTAGTCTGCGCTGATAGCTCGGCAGCGAGGACAATAGAAGTTTTTTTCCTCTTTTTCAAAGACTCTCTGGTCAATACTCTGTCTTCAAGATCTGTGGCGATGCGTTTGCGGCCTCTTCTAGGTCTATCGTTAAGTGAACCGGTCCGAGCGAATCGCTGAATAGTGTATTGTACACATCGATGCGAACACTTCACTGTTTTCGCAATGTCTACTTGGGACTTGTTCATGAAGAACCTGTATTTTCACACGTTTTTCAATGCTCACTTCATTCTTGTTTGCCATATTGCGAGAGTATTAGTTAAATTCTCGAAATAAAATTATCAAAGTCTCACTAAATCACTGAATTGATCACAACGAACGATAGAAGCGAAATGATACATTCGCACTGAAAAGGTAAAACTGAGTAATCTCTAAAAAACTAGACGTCTTAGCGATAGTAAGCAGATATGGTATTGTTTACAAACCGGTCTGGATACCTACAAATATTTTTGTAACCTTCAGTTTTTCTTTTCATCTATCATTATAGCGTCCTTACAATATTTTTAGGGTGCTCAATACTTCTGGCCAAGGCTGTATGTGATTTCCTAGATGGACTGTAGCTGAAAAGATGATTTTTAGTAGCAAGAAGTCAATTGAAGGCATGTCAGGATCAATAATCTTCACACTTACAGGACAATAATACATAAGCATAAAATTAAACCAAATTAAATGAAAAAAATATACTCTTCCTTCTGGTTAAACTATGATACAATTTTGAATACTTCTAAAACAAAATGTATGCTAATAGGGAAATACCTAAATGAAAATACTATCACAGTTAGGATAAATGGAGAAATAATTAAAAATGTTGAATCAATTAAATATTTAGGTATATATATATATAACTTGAGACGTGGTCATTGACTAGACCAGTTAGGTGAAAAATTAAAGCTTCCGCTTTTTGTTGGGTACTTCGACAAAATTTAAGCAAAGAGGACTCTTTATACTTTTTTTAATTCTCTCTAGCTTTCAATGGACTTTGCCATCATCATCAGGAGATGCAATTATACGTACAATGATAACAGTAGCAACAAAAGTGTAAAATGAATTTAAATTGAATCAAATTACAGTAGTATGTGAGGATGCTGCTAATTGTTGTTTTCGTATAGGATGAGGGAAACGTCCAGTAACATGGTGAGAGCTGGATACATGGTACAATGGTTAAAATTATATAAAATATGACAAGACAAGTTAATGACAGATTAAAAATTATTTAGAAAACATTAGAGCATTACGTCGTGAAGCCACTTGATGATTGCACAAAATGGTGGTCATGGAATAATGAGTGAGATGAACCTTTCAACACAGACATTGACAACCTTCGGCCTTCTGTAATTTAAAGATATTTAAAAGAAAATTAAAGGAATGTTTCATGGACAATGAAAATTGCTAGAGATGCAAATTTCTTTTTTTTTTTTCTAAATACGTGTACGTTATATAATTGTTTAGTATTTTAGCAATCATGCTAAATAAATCTTAGACAACAAACAAACAGAGCTCGATGCTTAATTTTCAAATCGTCATCAAAAATAAGTTTGTTACAATTGAGTGTACAACAAGAATATCGACATGTACGAGGGTTGTTTCAAAAATAGGATTTCCAAAGCCGTGCGTGATGCTAGGCGAAATCTGGCAACACCGTCGTGTTTTTCGGCTCCCCCACCTTCGATCCCAACAAGAAGCGTCTAGTGGCGACGCTCAGTACCGGCAAGACAGCCATGCGCAATGGAGTCCTTCCTTTTGCACGCAATAACGTCACCACCCATAGAAATTCATCGCCAGTTGAGTGAAGTATATCGGAAACGTGTATGAGCGTTCAACATGCCCTCAAATGATGAAGATAGTTGTTTGACGGCCGTCGATCTCCGAGAAAGTTATGGCGAAGATTGAGAAAATCGGCGGATCACGTACCGGGAACAGGCGATTGAAATTCGTGAGGCTTTTGAAAAAGCTGAGACGGGCAATCCAAAATCGTTGTAGGAGAAAACTCTGCACAACCTCAATGCGCGTCCTCATGCCTCACAACAAACGAAGGACTGAATCGAGCGATTTGGCTGGGAATTGATCGAGATCCAACCCACTGCTCAACAGCCCGAAAGACCTAAATGAGAAAAGATTCCTTGTGCCTGAAAAAAATTTGGGAACCTTATTTTTGAGACAACCCTCGTACCGGTCTGGAAACGGATGATACATATGCATTTTTCACAAATGATTGGTTCTTTTCGACGGTTGCAAATTTTCTCTTTGTTTTCATAGGGAGAGGTTCAGAGATCGTAGAAGTCGTTGGGGTTCGCACTCTCCCGGCCAGATGGACGAACCACCCCACCATATGGGCGCTGATGAACCGTTCAGAGATCCAGGGTCGCATCATGAACCTCCTGGTGACGAACCTCAACGTGACGACCAACCACCGGCGATGGGCATCAGTGATGATCAAAGACCATTCGAGAGCGTTGGTCAAGATCCAGGTATAATATGCAAACACATTTTTTCTATGTCGACAACAAAGGATATACAGCGGTCACCGGTTTTGTCAAAGAACGTAACAGAGACACCGGGAAGATCCGCGATTTTTAGAGAAAATTTACACGACTTACACGAGTATCATATCAGACGAAAATACCCCTGGTAATATACAGTGAAAGCTCCCATAAGCGGACACTCACGGTTCCGTAACTTTTGTCCGCTTATGGGAGGTGTCCGTTTAAAAGAGAGTATGTAAGTATAGAGTATAAATAACGGGGTATATAATCATGAGGAAATGAGGTATTATAATCATGAGAAAAATAAAACAGAAACTCGCCACATTTTTAAAGTATGTATTTATGCTATATATCTATATAATATATGTACATATACGCATACAAAAACATAAATGCTTCAATACATGGTACGAGAATTTAAAAAAACATTATTCTTTAGCTTGTTGAAAAAAGTTTAAAATGTTTGTCTGACGAAATTTCACCGTCTTTTGCTGAAGGAGACAATTTTCGTAATAACTTTCTAAATTTTTCAAATGTTGAAATGCAGTGAAATCATCTTTAGCAAATTTTTTCAATATAGAAATATGATTTAGAGCTTCCCCATATGAATTTATCGTTTTTGAACCGCTTAGTGAGTCCACCAGTTCCACTTCTTCTTCTGAGTCGTTTGGACTACCATATTCAAGTTGGCCTGGGCTTTCTACATCCAAATTTGAAAAGTTGCCAATGGCATTTTCTTCTGTTGTTATGTTATTGTCTATGGCCAGGAAATCATCTACTTTCTGGGGATCTGCTACTCCTAAATGTTTGGCATGTCGCAGTAACTGAGCAAGTGTCGCTAAGGGCAGATCGTCTTCAGCATCGCAATAATTTTGCTCAGCAAATTCTGAGCTACATTCACTTTTTCTGAATCCAGCTTTGCCAAAACAGTTTTTAATTGTAGAGGAATTTACTTTATTCCATGCTGTTTTTATAAAACACAAAGCTTCTAACACATTGATAGACTTTGTAAGCTCAGATAAGCTTTGACCATCGTCAATTTTTGTTAAAATATGTTTTAAAATCAAGTGCCGATAATAAAATTTAAAGTTCTGTATGACACCTTGATCCATGGGCTGACAAACAGAAGTTGTGTTTGGCGGTAAAAATATAATTTTCACATTTTTCATTTTCATATCACGAGGATGAGAGCATGCATTGTCTAAAAATAAAAGAACTTGCCTTTTTTGGATTCTCATTTTCCGGTCGAATTCGACTAACCACTCAGACATGATTTCTCGGGTCATCCATGCCTTTTTGTTGGATTTCCAAGTCGCTGGTAGATCCTTAATAGCAACGTTTTTTAAAGCAGGGGGACGAGCCGCTTTCCCGATCACAATCAAATCGCATTTTTCACCGGCCATATTTGCACAGAATAAAATGGTTAGTCTATCTTTAGACAACTTTCCACCCACACATGTTTCTCCTTTAAAGGACAGAGTTTTGTCGGGCAATGCGCGAAAAAAAGTCCACTCTCATCTGCGTTGTACACATCTTCTGGTTTGTAGCCAAGCAACATGGACGGAAGTTTCTCCAAAAATTGTGACACATCAACTTGATCTACTGCAGCAGCTTCGCCAGATATGCATTTGAAACTCACACTATGTCTCTTGCGCCACTTTTGCAGCCACCCGTCGGACGCACTGAAATTATTATAGCCCAAAGTAGTGGCGATTTCTTTAGCTTTCATTTTCACTAACGGCCCTGAGATTGGAATGTTCTGACTTCTAGCTTTCACAAACCACTCAAAACATGTTTTGTCTATAGCAAAACCGTCCTTTTTTAAAAAATCCTTCTTTTGATTTATATTCGTTCCTGATTGCCATTTACTCCTGATATCTTCCTTATTTTTGGCAATTTCAGCTGCTTGCGTTTTCCCAATATTAAACCTCTTTGCCAAATGACGAACTGAAACACTTTCTCTGTCTAATACGTTAACAACTTCCATCTTTTCCTTTAACGAGAGCATCCTTTTTTTTGGTGCCATTTTATAGTTACAATAATAAAATACGTAACTCAATCAACTACGAATTTGCCTGAACTGAAGACACGCCACAAGATTACATACAGGCTACCCAACGAAATGCGTAAATGGGGAATCACCTAATATAAATCGGGGAATTACCGAATTTTATGTATGTGGATATGTGCATTGCAATAAGCGGAACTAAAAAATCGTCCGGGTATTAGAGTTTCGCGTCCGCTTATGGGAGATTTTTTGATCACATTCAGGAAAATCTAGTGTCCGCGTCCGTTTATAAGAGCGTCCGTTTATCGGAATGCATTTAACATTGAAAATTGATGGCTGAAATTCGGTTCCAGAAACTTTGTCCGGTTAAAAGAGATGTCCGCTTATAGGAGCTGTGCGCAAGGAGAGCTTTCACTGTACAAAATCCACATTTGATGATACAAGATAGATCACAGTATTGGAAGCGGCAGGATTATTACTTAAAAGACCTATATAACGTAAAGAAAGTCGGTCATCGGTTTAAAAGTTGACACATTTTACTTCCTACTTAGCGAAGAAGTATTGCAATCGCGAGAAAACGAGATATGGTTTTTGGACTGCCCCTTTAACTTTTTTATGACCTTTCCAGGCAACACAACTCCAGTGAGGGACGAGTGCATGGATCAAGGTGCCGATTATGTACAACAGAGCCATGACGGTGATGCTGCAGGTGGTGAACATTTTGGTGATAATGGGCAGCAAGGGCAAACTGAAGATTATGGAGATCGCGGACAAGAACAAAATGAAGATTTTAGAGATCATGAACAGCAAGGAGAGACTGAAGAGTTTGGTGATCACGGACAGAAAGGACATACGGAAGAATTTGGCCATGGTGATCAGCAAGTCGGTGAAGATTATGGTCGTGAACCAGAGCAGTGCGGTGGCGACTATGGTCAACAAGATCAAGGTGGAGGGAACAATGAGCAAGAGTGTGGAGCTTTGGAGCAAATCGAACAGGCTCCTGAACCAGAAGCAGCTGCCTGTGCCGAAAATGAAGCAGCAGAAGAAGTAGCTCAACCAAATGCATAGTAGTTTTGCTGTCTAGTAAAATAGTATAATTTGATTATATGGATGGCAACTGATGTTTGTTAGGTAACCTACTTACCTAACACAGAAACGTATTGTGGTTATGGGTATGTCAGTTGCCTGTTTTAATTTTCTATGCAATTCAAGAAGATAAAATTTAACTTTATGATATTCAATAATTTGTCGTAGTAAATAAAGTATTGCTACCGATGCGTTTATTTATTTCTAGGTCATGCTATCCTTTTTGCGTGATAGTGTTGTCAGAAATTTCGACAGGCCGAACAGATTCTTCTCAGAGCTCTGCCATCCAAAGAAACAGGGTGTACGCTTTGTATTTAAAATTAGTGTGTCAAGAGTCTAGTTAAAGTAAACGAAGTGTCGTCCACGTTCAATTGGCTTAACCAAAAAGGAAAATAAGGTCTTTCAATGTCTGTATTTGCATATACGAGGGTGGTCTCAAAAATATGGTTCCAATACCTTTTTCAGGCACAAGTAATTTTGTATTTGAAAAAACGAATTCACCATTGGAAACGTTGATCTTTAAGCTATTTTTCTCCATAGTAGCCATTTTTTTAGACGTAAAATCTACTTTTGCAAATTTGGAGGAGTGTGTGGTGGTTTTCCGCACGAAGTGTTCAAAATATATCGGTAAGGGTACCACAGGGGTGTAAATTAGGGCCGTTACTATTTATTATTTATATAAATGATATATCTGACATTTTAGAACACTGCAAAATTCAAATATTTGTCGACAATACACTTTATATACAGGGTGACTTTAACAGTGAGTAGATCTGATCAAAAGAAATGTTTTTTTCCTTTACTATTTTTCTGGTAAAATTAAAGTAACAAAGTTATAGCCCTTTGGAAGTTTGAGTACCGCCCTGTCTCAATAATAATATTATGTGCTCGTGTTTGGCCACAACGGATATACTCCGCCTTATCGGTTCATCGCATCGGAAACAAAAAAGCGAAAGAATTTGAAACGCTTATCACGATGTTTTTATTCAGTCAATGTGTCAGTCGGTAACGCGTGAGTGAATAGTGGTGTCTGTTGCGTGGCTCAAACGAAATCAAAAATGGCACATGTTTACGAAAATGCTGAATTTGTGGGTAGATAACCGACGATAATAAGTACTAAACTCATCCAGTCTCATGGTGAGGCTCATGTCGTTGCTCTTGACATCACGAAAGCGTTCGATCAGCTGTGGCACGCTGCTCTATTAAGCAAACATCCATCCTACGACCTCCCAGAAAAGCTTTGCAGATGGGTGGCTGACTTTATCTCTGGCCGCAAGATATCCGTCGTAATTGACGGATTCTCCTCTTCATCCCACAACGTCAACGCGGGTGTTCCCCAGGGATCGGTCTTGGCTCCAACACTGTTTCTCTTACATATCAACGACCTCCTTTCCTGCACGATCAACCCAATCCACAGCTTCGCTGATGACAGCACTCTACATGCAGGAATTCAGAGTGACAAGCCGATATCTGCCGCTGAGCTGGAAAAAAGAAGACTAGCGACGACTTCTTCTCTGACAAGAGACCTGGAGGCTATCACTGCTTGGGGACGCAACAATCTTGTACAGTTCAACGCTTCCAAAACACAGTACTGTACTTTGACGAACAAAAAGTGTCCTAGCGCTCATACAGTTTCGATGGACGGTCGAGTTCTACCAAAAAGCCATTCATTTCGGCTGGTCGGAGTCCAGATCACCGAGGACCTGATCTGGCAGGAACACATCTCTTCAATAGCTGCAGCTGCTGGGAAAAAGCTAGGCTATTTGTTTAGGGCTAAGAAGTACTTTTCTCCGCATGACCTTCTCACTCTATACAAGGCCCAGATAAGGCCTAGCCTCGAGTATTGCTCACACATTTGGGGTGCTGCCGCCCCGACTACATTGTCCATGCTCGATGCTGTCCAGAGGAGGGCGGTCCGACTGATCGATGACTCTTCTCTAACAGACAGTCTCGGGACTCTTTCGCACCGCCGGGCCGTCGGCGATCCAGCTCTTTTCTATCGCTACACCAACGGGCTTTGCTCCTCAGAGCTCTCTTCCATGATGCCGCCGCGCGATGTGCCTGCCAGACAGACCCGCCTGACTTCGGCGTCCCATCCTAACCGTGTCAAACTTCGTACATCCAGAACTGGCCGATACGACCGCTCCTTTGTCCCGAGGGTGTCTAGATTGTGGAACAATCTACGGGAGGAAGCTTTTCCCAGTTCTACTAACCTTAGGCAGTTCAAAGGTCGTATTAACAAAATTTCTTTGGGATCATCATAGCAGCCGCGGTGTTCCGGCATTTAGGCTTCTGCCTGCGCGGCTGTTTCGATATAAAAAAAAAAAAAAATGCTGACCTACCAATAACTTATAGAGACAAGAATCAAACTGAATATACTTAATCAAAGTGAATATCCTTGAGGTCCTCTCCTAGATACGGCTAGGCGCAGCCGAGATGTCCTCAGCTCACACGTTGAACCCTATTTTTGAAACAACCCTCGTATTTTGATAGCGGGTAAATAAAAAACATGGAATCTTACAATGTACAATTTATTCACACAAAACAAGTTTTTTTTGAAAATACGCATACCTATAATTAACGAAAAAAATGCAGTCAACTTTTCAATACATTATTCGGTACTGTTTTTGCAGCCCTGAAAAAAAATAGACCAATTGAATTAGCGAATAAATAAATGAATAACGTATGGCTATTTTTACACTCTCAAAACAAAACAATTTTCTTCAAAACCACAGACACTCATCTTGTTGACAGTTATATTTTCAGTTTTACCTGCTGAACTGACATAAAGGATCTGCCAACCTTGAATGGTGATCAATGTAAGTGAAATCTCATTTATGTGGTTCATGAGCTTCTAATCGAACTCAACCTAGATCACAACTTACCCATATTTAAGGCAATCATTGTGCGTCTTGTACTCCATGGTGTATGTAAGTGGTATGTTGAGCAAACGTTTCAGAGCATCCCGTATACGACTTGTGGTCGCTGTATCTGAGGCAGTTCTGTTCCAAATACTTAAAAGGTACTCCTGATATCGAGTCGACACTACTACTCCACATATTTCATTCCCTGTCTGGAATTTTAAAGTGGCACATTAGTACTAGTCGCCAATTATCTGCCGAATACACGTATTTGTCTAAATTTTTCCAATATGTGTGGCTATCAGTTCGTGAAAACATATTGACTACATGAATCTACAATGAAATATTGTCAAACACCATACAAGGTGATTCACAAGTCGTGGCCAGAAATGAAACGCCACTGTTTTTTATTTCGAAACGCGCAATTTTTCAAATTCTCAATTTGCTATCAATAATTACTCCTACGTTTTTTCCTAGAGTGCACTGTTTTCGTAAAAATAAACCAAACTAGATCATTCATCAAGAGCTGGGATCCAATTAGTTTCAAAATAAAATAGAAGGCCTTGATACGGGTGATGTCTTTTAAGTTTTGCATATGGAAATAAAACTTCACAGTAGGTAGTTTTAAATGACTATTGTTTTTCGAAGTATTCTCCACGAAGATTAATACACATCTGCATGCGCTCAAACCATTTTTCGAAACACTTATTCCACTCGTTTGCTGGCAGATCCAAAACGGCACTGCTTCTTCTGGTGACTGGAACCTTTGACCACGCAGCCTGTTTTTAATTTTCGGGAAAGTAAAGAAATCGTTAGGACTTAGATCGAGACTATATGCATGATGTTTCATTTTTGGCCATGACATGTGAATCACCCTGTATATGAAGTTATGTTAGGATATCTTAATTTACATGAACCCTAGACGTTTTTTACTCTCCTAGTCTAAAGCAAGGAAGCATAACAGCAAAAAAAAAATTAAGATTGTATGTTTTCATTTTTTCTTTGTCTTCAGGTACAAATTTTTTTGGAAAAAAGTTGTCTCATTCCATTTGCTTACCACAAATTGTTCCCCCAGCATCGCCATGCATAAATTTTCCCAAGCTCTGGCTGCTTGTTCTTTCCGAAGTCTTATCACCTGAAAAAAATGAAACACACTAAGCACGCTCTTATCAGGTATTTTACAGATTTGATTGTTATCATTTAAGTCATTGAACTTATCCTTATCTACAAGTTATTACTCACCCATTTACCACCCTTTTTATTTGCTGGATCTTCCCACATAGGTTTAATACCCTTTTTGAAAAGGTGTATATCTCTATGGGCTGGTATGTCATGTAATCTAACAATATGTGAATATAATGCCCACCACTGCTCTACTGTCCCAACCTGACCAACTAACCTCAAGGCCTGACTGTATCCCTAAAAATAAAACAGTTTGGAAACCACCTACTAGTGCTTTTGGAATCTTTTTTTTTTACATAATTTCCTTTCGTGCATAGTTTCTTTTCTATATAAGAATATAATGTATTGTAACACAATCTAAAATATAGCAGTTTATTATTATTTGGAGCAACCCTTTACAGTGTGTACAACGACTAGCTTACACAGACCTGTTGACCTGCTTATCACATGCATAATTTCCACTATGAAAATATTACAACAAATAACAGATGCCTAGGAAGTTTGAAGACACTAGTAATATAGCTTTCGTTGATCTGACTGTAGGTGGTCAACTATGGACAGCTGTTTTGTGCTATTTGGCAACTCAGCATGATGTAGGCTTGGTGGATACAAAACCTGTACAACTCTATTTAGAGTATGAGGTTTGTGGAAATAAGACAGTACAAAAGGCCATCTATTACCAGTAATCAGATCTGGTAATAGATGGCATCTTTAAGCTCTGATGTTCCTATATTACTTATATTACCAGTTACCAAAAACAATAAACTGTTTGAAGATAAATGAATATCTAAATGAAATCAACTAATTTAGATACAGATAGGGAATAAATCAAAGCTAGGTTTGACACAAAAAAGTATAATATGATTCTGCAAATTTATGGAATTAGGGTCAATCATTGCTTTGCCAAAACTCTAGTAGTGAAAATCATATAACTCATGATCTAGCTTGTATTCTTACCTGAGAGCCTTGGTTTTGTGAGGGTCTCCTAGAAAACCATAAACAATAGGGATGTTGTAACCTGTGTTCACCTGGCGGGTATTCCACAGGGCCCAAGTCTGTGATACTGGGACCTATTTCTTCATCGCCACTGGCGTCGTCCTCATTGTCTCTGTCCGTATGGTAATGTTTCAGGCTAAAAAGTTCAACTTGCAGATGAATGCTCTCAAGCAGAATGGGCTGTTTCTAGCTTACGTTTCAAACTTGTTAGACATATCTATTCGGCAATAATTATAAACTTTGAATACGAAAAATACTTTTATCACAGTTTTTATTTATATACTTCGAATGGCTGCTCAGCTGTAACTTTTATATCCTTTTATTTTATATCCTTTGTATTATGTAGGTTAGAAATAAAAATGTTGACCACAGCTGTCAGATTTGACAAGTTGATCATGACGTTCACGTGGCGTTGACGTTTGATGTTCATTACGGCGTTGTCGTGCCTTCTAGTTTTGGCCAAAATAAGGATAAGGCTAGATTAAGTTCAGTAATCACACAATCTTACATCAAGCATTTGTTTGCAACTCCTACTTATATAAAATAAAAAACTAGAAAAAAAAACACGTTTGTTTATAACAAATGTCACGTGATACATCGTTGAAGTAGTAGAAAAAGATGCTATTAGATACAGTGTAGTCCTTTCTTTAAATGTTTTGCCCGTTAAAAACACCATCATATAGTGCAAAAGTAGTACCATTGGTTTTTTGACATTTCTTAAAATAATGTCAGACAAAAATAAAAACGATTTGGCCAAATTTTAGTTTTTGCAAACAAGTAGATGAGTATGCAAGGCCTACTTACTTTGCTGCACATGTATCCCTCAGAAGAGTTGGAAGTAGACCTAATTTTCACTTTGGAAACACTTGACACCCACGTCACAACACTAAAACACCACTGAGAGACAATCAAAAACCCTATAGTGAACATCACTACTGAAAAAAAGTAGCTAAACCGAATAGAGCTCTGCATGGAGATGTGACCGCGTAGACATTCCGCCGCGCCGAAGGCTGCCGAGAGACTGAAGCGTGTGTGTGTGTGTGTGCTGTTGATGATGTTTACGTTCACCGGGAGCAGACGCGTGGAGTGGGAGATGCAAAGGGGCGTAGCTGTACTACTCGGCCGTACCATAACGAGAAGACAGACCACGCCACGCCCTTTCCAGCTCGACGCAGTGACTCGATGTTTACGTTGACCGGGAGCAGACGCGCGGACTGGAGGAAAGGGGCGTGGGTGTACTAGCCGGCCGTACCGTATCGCTGCAGCGAGGTACAGCACTCACATCAATCTCTCGGCAATCGGCATCCGCCGGCGCAGCGAAATGTCTGCGCCCCTTTCCATCTCCCACTCCGTGCGTCTGCTCCCGGTCAACGTAAACATCATCAACAGCACACACACGCTTCAGTCTCTCGGCAACCGTCTTCGCGGCGGAATGTCTACGCGTTGACAGCTTCATGCAGAGTTCTATTCCGTTCAGATACTTTTTCTTAGTAGTTGTGTTCACTATAGGGTTCTCGATTGACTCTCAGTGGTGCTTTAGTGTTGTCACGTGGGTGTCAAGTGTCTCCAAAGTGGAAATTAGGTCTACTTCCAACTCTTCTGAGGGAAACAGGATACCTGTGCAGCAGCAAATTAGGTGAGCCCTGCATACTCATCTACTTGTGTGTTAGGGTTGACATTCTGTGTTTTTTTTTACATAAATTGCATACACTGACAGATTAGTCATATACTGAGGTATTTGGGAAAAATTAAAACTTGGCCAAATCGTTTTTATTCTTGTCTGTCTTTATTTTGAGAAATGTCAAAAAACTAATGCAACTACATGATGGTGTTTTTGAAAAAGTACTACCCTGTATATAATAGCATCTTTTTCTACGACTTCAACAATGTATCATGTTACATTTGTTTTTTAGTTATACTACTTTTTCATTTTATTTAAGTAGGCGACGTTAGTAGCTACGCTGACGTTACTGTTACGTTGCAAACAAATGCTTGATTTAAGATGTTGTGTTTACTGAATTTAACCTAATCTGATCCTTATCTTGGCCAACCTATTATACATTTATAAAAACGTGTACTAATCTAACGTTCTTGCAAGTATTCTCTCTCATTTCTGAAAAATCTCAAAACTATTAGCAACGCCTCGAACAAAAGACCATTTTTAGTCCAAAGTCAATAATTTACAGTATTTCACATCGTGCTTTGACACTGAGCCCATGAAAATCGTACTTTTCCTATTAATGATCATGTAATTTTAGCGACGGAGTTTGCAAATCTTCATTTGCACTGTGCAACGATTTCGAGAAAAAGTTCGCTACGGATAGTCTTCTAGAGTCTAGTACTAGAGTATATTCCAATAGTTGTCTTGCGTGGCCATGTTATCTTTACTCGGGCCTCAACTTCAACAACACAATTCACTCGTAATTAGGAAACATTTCAGAGGAACAACAAACATATTTTTTGAAAATGTTAAATGCTATCAAAATATGTAAATCAACGTTTGATCGTTACTGATTTCTACAGATTTTGGGCTCCCTTCTGCTTCGGCAACATTGCCCTATAGTAAGCTGGCATTCTGCCGTCATATGGCTGTCATTGGTCTGTTATCTGTGTATGATGGCTGTAAAATAGAAATAATAGAAAAACATCCCGTCTTCTATAAACCTATAAACCTTGCACGTATTTCTGAATCTTAGGGATAAACAGCAACCTATGCGAACGAGGTGATAAAAATTTAATAACCAAATCATGGTAAGCTGCTTTGCAATTGTGGTTATGTATACGTGTTTGTGGTGTTTACGCTGAACTTTGCTTATTGTAGGACGCCACCCTTCAGCCGCAGGGCTTACTACCACCGCCAGGCATAGGTACACCCCCAATGATGCCCCAGATGCCGGTGCCCCCAATAAGTGGATTTCCGCCCATGATACCTCCTTTCAGTGTACCGCCACCCGGCTTTCCGAACTTTCCCCCTGGGGCTGCGCCCCCGACCTCAGCCCCTTCTACCCCAGGAGTGACTGCTTCGGTTACTGGTGCAGCCAGTGAATGGAGTGAACACAAAGCCCCAGATGGAAGAACCTACTATTATAACTCTGTTACTAAACAGAGTTCATGGCAGAAACCTGATGCTCTAAAAACCCCTGCAGAGGTAAAATATCTATCGTAAAGATCATTTTAGATTGAAACCTCCTCTAGAAAATTTATTTAATTCCAAGAACAAGATCTTGAATTCAAATATTGGTTGGTATCTAAAGGCCGTCTATACAAGTTGTTGTCATGAAATTGTTTTCAACCCTGATCTGACATATGTTTGTTCATCAGTAAGACCTGAATTCTCTAACTTGCTCTTGAACTTCAAAGCAGTTATTCACTGACATTGATTTTAGCTCATGTATCACTGGTGACACGCATAACAGCCTGATCAAGATAAAAAATAGAAATCACAAACTAAGATCAAGCTCTACTTGCTGAAATTCAGCCTAAGGCTCTGAATATATATTGATTCTTAAATAATTCTTTTGTAAGGGGTAACATCACCCTAACAACCTAAAAAAAAAACAGTTTTACATCATTTTTTTTAGAAGAATTATGTAATAAAACAGTAGTGTCAGAGTAAGTTATTGAGCATATAGTTAACAAGTAAAACTAACATAAGGGATATCAAAAAATGATGACACAGCAGCCTTTTTTGTTAAGCATATAAAATTTGAGGCACTCTGCAGAACCCAGTGTAACTGCTGCAAATTTGGATCTAGAAAAACAAAATAAAAAACCTAATTTAATCTACATGTTTATAGCTAAAGAAAATTGTAGGAGAATATTGATTTTTGTGTGGCTGGTGAGTATTTGAATCAAACATTTTTCACAATTAAAGGTAATACAGTGGACCTCCGGTAATCCGACAAACATTATGCAGCACAGTGTTGGACTATCTAATTTGTCGGATTATAGAGCACTGCCTAAGAGCCCCCTATTTTTTTTTTGTGGAGCAGTTGCAATGACGTCGTCGTTATTTTACTGATTCTTTGTTGTATAATTAGAAAACTCTTTTATAATCTTTTCGTCAGACATTTCATGAAAAACATTTTCCTCTTTATCCATTCCATGGGACCAGATTTCCAAATCTTCCGGACTTATCTGTGTTTCAGTAGCGACTTGTTCTATAACTTCCGAAGTAACACTGATTTGTAGAACGTTGCTAGGAGTGATGACTATTTCTGGCCATAACTTTTTCCAAGACGATTTGATAGTTGATGACGGTAACGCATTCCATGACTGACAAAGAGCAAAAACCAAGTCTTTCATATTAAATTCTTTTAAAGTTTTTTCTATTGGTTGGTCTTTTGATACGGCTCTCAGAAGTAAGTTTTTCTTATAGTCTTGCTTGACAAACTGAATAATATTCTGGGCCATTGGTTGAATCAGAGCAGTGCAATTTGGCGGAAGAAACATCGCAGTGATGCATTTATCCTCAGTTGAGAAAGGACAGTTTTGTTAGGCTTCACACGCCAAAAAAGCCCTGATTCGTCTGCATTGTACACCTGTTACGGGCCAAGATTTAAATCGTTCACCTTTTGCAAAAATCTTAATCTAAAGGGCATCGTTAGAAAGTTTCTCTCCTGTAATAGTCAATAAACGTATGCCATGACGACTTTTAAAACGTTCTAGCCATCCTTTGCTGGCCACAAAATCATCTTTTTTTGTTATTTCCTTATAAAAAAACTTAGCTTTCATGGCCAACATGGGTCCTGAAATTGATGCATGCCTATTTCTTTCCTGAAGAAACCACATGTACAAAGCTTCTTCCACTTCTGGATGTTCAGCTTTCTTGAGTGTCTGTCTCTTGTCTGGCCCGCAGTCAGTAGTGGACACGAACATCTTGATCTTCTCATGGTTTCTTTTAATGTCATAAATTGTAGATCGGCCTACGCCGTATTCACTTGCTAAACTACTGAAAGTTTCATTGCGATTTAAGCGGTCTAAAATATCACATTTTTCCTTAATTGTCAATGTTTTGTGCTTTCGCTTCTGAGTTTGTGATGACATTACTAGGTACTATACTTAATACACAATGAATAAATAGTAAACAATGAACGCACGCTAGGCCGTTCCGCTATCACCAGTAGTCAAATTCAAACTAAGTAAAACAGTGCTTACGCGTCGAGCACGATCGCGGTGCCGCGTACAAGTTGTAACCTGTTCAAACCTGCGTGATCTACATTAGCGAAGATTGTCAAATACGTATTTATGTAATACATATTCAGAGATATGTCGGATTACAGGGGGCGCCGGATTAGACAGTTGCCGGATTATCGTGGGTCCACTGTAATTTGTTAATAACTAATGATTGAAGCAACCTGCGATATTGTTATTTTATTACCATTTCTTCCACCATACAAACAAAAAAGAAAAATAAAAAGCTTTTTAGGCTGTTCAGTGGTGTTATTTATCCCTTGTCAGAATGTGAGAAGTACTGTTTACCTACCCTGTTTTTCAATTCAAGTTCAAAATTAACTGTACTAACAAATAATTCTTATCAAAAATTAAAATAATTTTGTTTATCAACCAGCTTTATGAGATTGGGTGAAACTTTATGTGGGATTTCCCAAAATATTTGTTTTTTTACTCTTTTAGTTATTACATGGTATTCTTGATTTTTTTGCAGCTGTTGCTATCTCAATGTCCTTGGAAGGAATATACTGCAGACAATGGAAAAATATATTATCATAACGTTAATACAAAGGAATCTCGTTGGATTATTCCACCAGAACTAGAAGAAATAAAACAGAAGATTGCATCAGAAGAGTATGTTTATTTTCTATTTGATTCTATAAATGTTTATGCCATTGAAGGGAAGTGATGTGATTTGTATCACCAATGTTTCAATCAAGACAGAAAAAGTCACATTCAAGTTGCTTCATTTCTTCTTAATGAGCATGTATACCAATAAGTTGCATTTATCATTCTGTAGACCAATATTTCTCTAGTCCGCACCAGTAAAGCAAAAATGTAACTAAGTGGTCTAAAAATTTTTTTTTAATCACTGAAACTGCATAAAATAAAATAATTTTTCAGTAAAGAAAAATTAAATCTGACTGATGAGAAATAGATTTTCAACTATTGGTTACAATTTAACTAGAACTGCTCTTGAAGGTTGATATTAAATAACGATTTAAACATTGATACCATTCCATTTCCGGAATTTTTGGCGACTTCAGTACTTCCTCGCCAGTAAGCGTCGGACGTAAAAGATGTTAATCTAATTTACAGGTTGAATCAAACATCCGCTCCCGTGACTCCCAGAGAGGTAACATCTCCATTGCAAATTCAACCTTCAACAGCGTCTTCCACAGGTCCAAACTCGCCCAGCATCGGCTCAGCAAGTATGTAATCAATGTTTATATAGTTTTCCGTTGCTAAATCTTCTTTTTTCCAGCTGCTAGCCCAGGCGGAAGAAGCAGTGCTCTTGAGGCTGCAATGGCTGCAACTTTGGCTGCTATTTCTCTACCAAATCCACCATCTACTAAAGGTAAGGAGAGTTCATATGCTTGAGGTACAATTTAAAACATTCGGATAGAGAATAACTTACCGTGTTGTGAGTGGCGCTTAGATACAATCTACCCATTGAATAAACTAAAGCCATAACTTGTTTGTGTCAGATGAGGATTCCAATTCTGCAAGTGCTACTGAAGCTCCTAAAGAAGTTAAAACACCTGTTATAGAACCGATTGTTTACAAAGATAAAAAAGAAGCAATGGATGCTTTCAAGGAATTGTTGAAGGATAAGAATGTTCCTTCTAATGCTTCGTGGGACCAGTGTGTGAAGATTGTATCAAATGATCCTAGGTAATAATTCTTAAAGTTTTTTACATGCTGTCAAGAATGTTGTACAACTTTGTTTCCCCCATCCTGACAATAAAATTACAGAAGTAAGATTATATTCTATCATTCAGGTTTGAGTCCTTCAAGAAACTGAACGAGAAGAAGCAAGTTTTCAACGCTTATAAAACTCAAAAGCAGAAGGATGAAAAAGAAGAGCAACGTTTGAAAGCGAAAAAATCGAAAGAGCAGTTAGAAGAATTTCTTTTAACTTCGGATTTGATAACGTCTGCGACGAAGTATTATAGGTTAGATGAAATGTTCGGACATTTGGAGGTGAGGATGTTTGTTAATTTTTAGTTATTTTTATGTACAAAAATATAGGTCTACACAATTAATGATGTTTGTTTTGAAAGGTATGGCAGAATGTAATAGACCCTGATAGGAGGGATATCTATGAAGACGTCATGTTCACACTATCAAAAAGAGAAAAGGAAGAGGCAAAGGTACTAAAGAAAAGGAATATGAAGAAACTTGCTGAGGTCTTGGAGTGCATGACAAAAATCAATTATGATACTACATGGAGTGAAGCACAGGTATTTGGAATTTTTTTTCAATTTATAGGTTCCCGAATCTATTTAGGACAAACTCTGATCAACCTATTTGCATATCATCATATGAATATTTATCTTGAGGTTTCCGTTTCGTATTTTCAGTTTTTTATTTCTTCTGTTTCTGCGGTTCTTATACTTACGAGACAATTTTTAAGGTTTTGCTTTTGGAGAACAACGCATTCAAAAACGACGTCAATCTTTTGGCCATGGACAAAGAGGATGCGCTCATAGTATTTGAAGAGCATATTAGAGTATTAGAAAAAGAATATACCGAAGAGCGGGAACGAGAGAAACGAAGGATAAAGCGGCAATGCAGAAAAAATAGAGATCAATTCTTGGCTTTGCTTGATCACTTGCATGAAGAAGGCAAACTGACGTCTATGTCTTTGTGGGTGGAATTATATCCGATCATATCGGCAGACATACGGTTTTCAGCAATGTTAGGTATGTTTGAAATATTGACGTTTATTTGGGTTTCATCTATCATCGTCCCCGGACTACTTGTGATATGTGCAGTGTTTGTTTGTTCTATGTCTGACCTTTGTTTCGAGTATTGAATCCGAACAAACATAATACAATGCCATATTTCAATAAATGTTACAAAAACTACGCACCCTAAGAATTAAAAGTTTTAAACAAAAGTTGTAGGATTTTTAGGGGAAAAAATGATGGTGACCTTGTTATGACCTTCAAAGCCATTTCAAGTTCAAATGAAGACATTGAAAACAATTTGATCAAAAATGTTTGACAGCACAGTTGTGGGGTTTTTGGGGTCATCCATGCATTGACCTTCAAGGTCAAGCAATTTTTCCCTTATTTTTGTAGGGGAATTGGAATGAAGCGGGGACTTGACGTTTGAATGTGACCTCACAAATAACAGTTCAGCTTGGCGTGACCTTGACTACAAGGTCAAGGTCACATTAGGACGTAAAATTTTCTTTTTTTTCAATTTTAGTATAATGATGAAAATACGAACATTTTGATTTGACCTTGCAGGTCATGGTCAAGGTCATATTTGGCTGACTTTCAACTGTACTGTCGACCATTTTTGCAATGGCAAATACTTGTCAATGTCTTGATTTGACATTGAAACGGCATTCAAGGTCAAGTTCAAGGTCATACCAGGACGTGAAATTTCCCCGTCTTTGTTCTTATTAAGGTCAAGGTGATGGTCAAGGTCACCATTATTTTGCCTCAAAACCCTACAAATTTAGAATTTCTTCTAGGAAGCGTTGTTTTCGGAATATTTAGGTGGGGCAATTAGAATGGGACACTCTGAACCCGAACGACTTCATTTTAGGTCAGAATGGTTCTACACCTTTAGACCTTTTCAAATTCTACGTCGAGGATCTGAAATCGAGGTTTCACGACGAGAAGAAAATTATCAAAGAGATACTAAAAGAAAAAGAATTTGAAGTGAGGATTGATACTACGTTTGACCAGTTTGCAACGGTTATATGTGAAGACAAGAGGTCTGCTACTCTGGATGCGGGAAATGTCAAGTTGACGTTTAATTCTCTATTAGAAAAGGTGTGATATTTTTTGATCATATAGAAATACGGGTAGTGTTTAAAAATTTCTACCAATTCGTCATAAAAATCAGTGATTACAAAAGTGGCTTTTTTTAATCCTTTGTGTTCTAGTTTTCTAAGAATAGTTTACTTATTTTAGGCTGAAGCTAGGGAAAAAGAAAGGTTAAAAGAAGAATGTAAGAGGATGAAAAAAATAGAGAGCAGTTTCAAGAATTTGCTGAGAGAAATGAATATCGATTTCGAGTTGCCATGGGACGAAATTCGAGGGAAGATCGAAAAAGAAGATGAATTTCTCGCATTTGACTCAGAATCTGACAGAACTAGAGTGTACAAGGTGAGTTCTGATTTAAATTGGTATCGGTTTCTTTGTTTTCGTGGTATTTTGGTCAGTTGGTTACATTTTACAATTTTCTTACATTTTCTTTGACGATTCTGTTTATTTCACACTGATCCAATTTCAGAAATTTAATGATCTGTCATAAAAATGACGGTTTTTCTTTGTAGGTCGTGGCCAAGGTCATCATCAAGGCCACATTCGGGTGATCTCCACAAAGCTCACAACTGTACTGTCTAACATTTCTGATAGAACAAATTGTTCTCGATATCTTGATTTGACCTTGAACTGACCTTGAAGACAATCGTCAAGGTCATGGCCAAAATAATGTCCGCTTGTAAACTTTGCTCCTCAGTTCTGATGCGAAAATATATTCTTGACTTTGAAATGACTTTTGAAAGGTCGTAGTCAAGGTCATTGTCAAGGTCACCCTCGAAATCTTAGATCTTCTCTATTCCCGACAAAGCTCACAATTGTCCGGTCGAACATTTCTGTTAGAACAAATTGTTTTCGATGGCTTGGTTCGACCTTGAAACGATCTGGAAGGCAATCATCGTCAAGGTCATGGCCAAAATAATGTACGGATGTAAATTTTGCTACTCGTGGCATTTTGGTCAGTCGGTTAGATTTTACAATTTTCTTACATTTTCTTTGACGATTCTGTTTATTTCACACTGATCCAATTTCAGAAATTTAATGATCTGTCATAAAAATGACGGTTTTTCTTTGTAGGTCGTGGCCAAGGTCATCATCAAGGCCACATTCGGGTGATCTCCACAAAGCTCACAACTGTACTGTCTAACATTTCTGATAGAACAAATTGTTCTCGATATCTTGATTTGACCTTGAACTGACCTTGAAGACAATGGTCAAGGTCATGGCCAAAATAATGTCCGCTTGTAAACTTTGCTCCTCAGTTCTGATGCAAAAATATATTCTTGACTTTGAAATGACTTTTGAAAGGTCGTAGTCAAGGTCATTGTCAAGGTCACCATCGAAATCTTAGATCTTCTCTATTCCCCACAAAGCTCTCAATTGTTCGGTCGAACATTTCTGTTAGAACAAATTGTTTTCGATGTCTTGGTTTGACCTTGAAACGACCTGGAAGGCAATCATCGTCAAGGTCATGGCCAAAATAATGTACGGATGTAAATTTTGCTACTCGTGGCATTTTGGTCAGTCGGTTAGATTTTACAATTTTTTTACATTTTCTTTGACATTTCTGTTAGAACAAATTGTTTTCGATGTCTTGGTTTGACCTTGAAACGACCTGGAAGGCAATCATCGTCAAGGTCATGGCCAAAATAATGTACGGATGTAAATTTTGCTACTCGTGGCATTTTGGTCAGTCGGTTAGATTTTACAATTTTCTTACATTTTCTTTGACGATTCTGTTTATTTCACACTAATCCAATTTCAGAAATTTAATGATCTGTCATAAAAATGACGGTTTTTCTTTGTAGGTCGTGGCCAAGGTCATCATCAAGGCCACATTCGGGTGATCTCCACAAAGCTCACAACTGTACTGTCTAACATTTCTGATAGAACAAATTGTTCTCGATATCTTGATTTGACCTTGAACTGACCTTGAAGACAATCGTCAAGGTCATGGCCAAAATAATGTCCGCTTGTAAACTTTGCTCCTCAGTTCTGATGCGAAAATATATTCTTGACTTTGAAATGACTTTTGAAAGGTCGTAGTCAAGGTCATTGTCAAGGTCACCCTCGAAATCTTAGATCTTCTCTATTCCCGACATAGCTCACAATTGTCCGGTCGAACATTTCTGTTAGAACAAATTGTTTTCGATGTCTTGGTTTGACCTTGAAACGACCTGGAAGGCAATCATCGTCAAGGTCATGGCCAAAATAATGTACGGATGTAAATTTTGCTACTCGTGGCATTTTGGTCAGTCGGTTAGATTTTACAATTTTCTTACATTTTCTTTGACGATTCTGTTTATTTCACACTATCCAATTTCAGAAATTTAATGATCTGTCATAAAAATGACGGTTTTTCTTTGTAGGTCGTGGTCAAGGTCATCATCAAGGCCACATTCGGGTGATCTTCATAAAGCTCACAACTGTACTGTCTAACATTTCGGATAGAACAAATTGATCCCGATATCTTGATTTGACCTTGAACTGACCTTGAAGACAATGGTCAAGGTCATGGCCAAAATAATGTCCGCTTGTAAACTTTGCTCCTCAGTTCTGATGCAAAAATATATTCTTGCCTTTGAAATGACTTTTGAAAGGTCGTAGTCAAGGTCATTGTCAAGGTCACCATCGAAATCTTAGATCTTCTCTATTCCCCACAAAGCTCTCAATTGTTCGGTCGAACATTTCTGTTAGAACAAATTGTTTTCGATGTCTTGGTTTGACCTTGAAACGACCTGGAAGGCAATCATCGTCAAGGTCATGGCCAAAATAATGTACGGATGTAAATTTTGCTACTCGTGGCATTTTGGTCAGTCGGTTAGATTTTACAATTTTCTTACATTTTCTTTGACGATTCTGTTTATTTCACACTAATCCAATTTCAGAAATTTAATGATCTATCATAAAAATGACGGTTCTTCTTTGTAGGTCGTGCTCAAGGTCATCATCAAGGCCACATTCGGGTGATCTTCATAAAGCTCACAACTGTACTGTCTAACATTTCGGATAGAACAAATTGATCCCGATATCTTGATTTGACCTTGAACTGACCTTGAAGACAATGGTCAAGGTCATGGCCAAAATAATGTCCGCTTGTGAACGTTGCTTCTCAGTTCTGATGCAAAAATATATTCTTGACTTTGAAATGACTTTTGAAAGGTCGTAGTCAAGGTCATTTCAAGGTCACCCTCGAAATCTTAGATCTTCTCTTGTCCCCACAAAGCTCACAATTGTTCGGTCGAACATTTCTGTTAGAACAAATTGTTTTCGATGTCTTGGTTCGACCTTGAAACGACCTGGAAGGCAATCATCGTCAAGGTCATGGCCAAAATAATGTACGGATGTAAATTTTGCTGAAAGGGGGGATTCTATTTGAAAATATCTTCATGTAATTATTGTATTACTTTGAATATTGCATTTATTTTTCCGAAACAGGGCGTAACTTAATTGATGGCTAAAAATAGAGGATATGATTCCTTAGCTCATTTGAGGAAGAAAAGTTTATATGAACATAAATGTCCTAAATAAAAACCTCTTAATTTTTTAGCCACAGGGTGTTAAAATTTTAAGAAAAAAATCATTTACTGATAACTTTAATACTGTTCTAGATATTTTCACGAAATTTGATATGCACCTACTAAGCTCCAATTGGCATTTTTTGACGTAGAATATTTTTTAATATTTTTACCAGTGGCCGTACGCTTTTTCCGAAAGTAAAAATCATTTTTGAAATCCTCTTTTTTTTGCAACAAATTTGACCTCTCTTTTCGTCCGATGCGCTGTTTTCGCGTAAAAAATAAAAACCATTTTTTACCTAAGTACAGCAGTATACTTCTACTCAAGCGGATCCTCAGGTTTAGGCTATTTTAATATAAGAGCAAAACATAGTCGATTTTGACTTTGTTTGTATTGCTATCAGGAGTTCCAACACGAAATGGAAGAATCCTGCAGCCATCACCATTCAAGGTCCAAAAAATCTAAGAAAAAGAAAAACAAGAAATACAAGTCTTCCAGCAGTGAATCGGAGGGACACAAAAAGACGAAACACAGATCGAGAAGCGCCAGTCCAGCAGTATATTCGGAAGAAAGTGGCGAGGAATACAAGAAAAAGAAGAAGAAAAAGCACAAGAAGAAAAGTCCTTCAGTGAGTTACAGATAATTTTCAGTATTTCGGTAATTTATGTATCTGACATGTCAGTGTAATTGTTAACGTTAATATATCATTTTTATTGCATTCCGTTTTAATATACTTTATTTTTCTCAATGCTCTCAACCGTATTTATGCTGGGCTAATGATTTCTTTTTTGTACAGAGTACACCATCATATAAACAAGAAGATGGAAAGGGTGGTGAAATGAGTGAGACTGAGCTTGAAAAACAGAGGGCACTGTTGCTGGCAAAACTGAACAATGAGAGTGATTGAATTGACGCTTTTGTAGAGAAATCATGAATCAAAATACAGCCGATTTTGCCGCACAGATGACGCAGACATTAAAATATTATAAGAAGGAAATTGTTTTTCTTTTTGCTCCTCTCGAGAAATGATGTCCTATAACCTCAAATTCCCTACCGGTCTTCCATAAGTTTCCCATCTCAGGGCAGGGCTATGACGTCAAAGAAAGGCCAAAATGTCAACTTGCTGCCTTGTTTGCTCGTTAAGAGCGCTGTGAGCGTTATCAAAAGCGTCCATCTATGGAGGAATGACTGAACGACACGGCATGCTTCATGCATTGTTGGTTGCAGAATGCGTGTTAGTCTAATCATATTAGCAAATTTCCCCGGAATGATTTTAAAGTTTGGTTTTATTGGTGCAAGTTGTTCAAGGGGGTATTTGAAACACGGAAAAATGGGTACATCAATTTTTGTGGTGAAACTTTTTATTTTACAACAAAGAATGAGAAAACGTGTTTTTTGGGATTCAATCGAAAGTCAACACTTCGAAAAAACTTTTCATATGAGATTTTTAGGTATTTATGAGACGTATAAAATGAGACCACACGTAAAAAGATCCGACTAATGTTATAGCCGAAAAACGAAGTAAAATCCAGGTTTTGGCACATACTTCTAAATAACAACAACAAAATTGGAGAATATTGGTCAAGTAGTTTTTTGAGAATTTCTAATATTGTTAATCCCAAAACACCTGTTTTCCGGCCATCATTACTAGTTTATCGAGCAATGTACAGGGGTCGTTTAAAGAGCATTTAATAGCAAAATACACGTGTTTACCTAGCCGATATGAATCACAAACCATTCCGAAAGATAAATGTTATTTTTATTCCAAAAACAAAGGTTACGTTTTTTTCTTCTAAACAAATTCAAACATTTCGTATTTGTGAGTAATCGAACAAATGCCCTACGATTTTTAAAAAACACATGTTCCTATACACATTTAAAAATAAAGCGGATGTGTCTATTATCTTTTGTTGCGGAATACTCACAAATACGAAATGTTTGAATGTGTTTAGAAGAAAAAACGTAACCCATCCTTTTTTGCATAAAAATAACACTTATCTTCCGGAATGGTTTGCGATTCATATCGGCAAGGTAAACTAGTGTATTTTGCTATAAAATGCCCTTTGAACTAACCCTGTATATTGCTCTATAAACTAGTAGTGAAGGCCGGAAAACAGGTGATTTGGGATAAACAATTAAAAATTCTCAAAAACTACTTAACCAATATAATCAAATTTTGTTGTGGTTATTAAGAAATACGAATTTGAAGAATTTTAAGTAGGGGGAATCCGGGAGACTTGCCCCTCCGTGATTTATTTACTTTAAAATTGCTCACGATAATCTGAAACGAGAGAAAACGGGACTCCTTCTAGTGCTCCTAGTCGACTTTTCTCAGTCTGTTTTGTATCTGACCCGAGGCATGTGGCTTTTTGCGTTTAAACCAAAAATTAATACTTTTACAAATTTCGTGATTTTGTCGGCAAATTAAAAGGTAAGTTTTTAGATTCTTGTGTGGGTATATTAATTAGATATTGTAGATTTATGCACCATAAATGTTAAACGTGCACTATTCATGATTTTTAAGAAAATTGAACCTAACCCGAAACAGAAAGGTGTGGGAGACTGGCCCATACCTCAGGAGGGAGACTTGCCCAGAGGTGCAACTCTCCCTTTCTGAAGTAATTCTAAATTGGTATTTGTTTTTAATTAATTTTAGTTAAAGTTGCTGCATTTTTTTTATTACAGGTCTGTACAATGCCATTTAAGTACAAAACAAAAGACGGTTCCACTCGCAAAAAACTTGATAAGGATGTTCTTAAAAATGCACTAGATGAACTAGGAATTCTTCGAAAAACTTCTGTAACATATGATATTGATCGGAGGACTTTGAGACGCTACAAAAACAATGAAAATAAACTTGAAGAAATAGAAACTAAAGGCCAGTATAATACTTCACGAATATTCACCATACAAGAAGAGAAGCTTCTGGTTGAATATTTTTTAAATTGCAGCCAAATGCACTACGGACTTACTCGAAAACAAGGAATGAAATTAACTTTTGAGTTTGCAGTTTCGAATTCCAAAAAAATTCCAGAAAGTTGGTCACAAAATAGTATGGCAGGGAAGGATTGGTTTCGCGGTTTGTTATCAAGAAATCCCGAAATTAGTTTAAGAACTCCGGAGGCAACAAGCTTGTCACGATCTACGAGCTTCAATCGGAAGAATGTTCACGATTTTTTTCAAAACTTAAGGATTGTACGAGAAAAATTTAAGTTTGACCCACAAAATATTTATAACTGTGATGAAGTAGGATGTACTACAGTTCAGGATTGTCCTAACATATTGGACAGTAAAGCATCCCACAAACCGGCGCGAAATAATCGCGGCGAAGTATTCGCAACGAAATTCAGAGCGAAATTCGCAATCTGTTTCGCCTGTTTATTCATACCAAAGCGTCTTATTCGCTCCGCGAACGTGAAGGTTTCGACAGGTTGCGTACATTTTATTTTTGCCTTTTGCAATGAGCTCGTCTTCAGAAGAAGAGGAGGCACTTCTATTTCTTGCTTCAGAAGAGGAACAAAATGCACGGTAAGTTATGTTTATTTAACGCCATTTGATAGTTGGGTATGTATTAAGTTTAACGAAGTACATAAAACAAATATTTTCAATTTTGTTTAGGAAACGAAGGAAGTGGGTACATGATATTAACTTGGATCGAAATAAATTTGGGGAATACCATACCTTGATGCCACAACTTCGGCTGGATGAACAGATCTTTTACGTATATTTTAGAATGACTCCAGAGTGTTTCGATGAAATATTAAACTTGGTGAAAGATGAAATACGAAAATCTGACACAAATTATCGTGAAGCTATTTCGCCAGAAGAACGACTTGCTATTACACTCAGGTAAAAAAATTATATGTATTAAAATTAGTAGGCTTATCGAATACGAAAACTTCAGGGATCGTGAAATAAATATTTTATTGTAATAATTGGACTACATGTTGCCACTAGGATTAAATGTTGCTAAATAATTCGAGGCAGAATTTGCCTCCTCTGTTGGGTATATTATTGGAGTAAACCCAGTGCCGCTTGGGAAGGACGACATACTACTATCATACATACTTGCAGAATTCTGGGTAGACGCTGAAGACATTTCTTCAATATGTTCAAATTCTTCGTGCGCTATTAATTCGGCTATTTTTAGTTTTATTCGGGCTTGACGCTTTAAGGGAAGTGTTTTCACAGTCTGTGCATGTGCCAAGAAAAGTGAATCAATGGCCTCGTTCTCTTTTTTAGGTTTTTTACCTTCAAAATAATTAATGAGCTGTTGTACAGACGAAGATGGTGGTTCATAGCGTTTTCTGCTCGTTTTATATTTTGGTGTAGTTGCAGTCTGCGGAAAGGTGTGCCCTGGAGTAGTCACTTCTGTAGTGTTCAATGAAGAAGGTGGTGCTGTCTGTGTTGCCGAGGCGTTCTGTGCATCTTCTGCATCTACATCAGCATTTTCATCTTCTCCATGGCCGCGGTCTTCCAAATTTTCGGTTTCTACATTTCCAGCCCTTTCCTGATATATATTTGAGTTAAATTCGGCAGTCTCATAATGTATGACGTCAATATCTTTCACATTAGACGACGTTTTGGCAAATGCCAAAAAAGGACGGAAAAATTCCATGTAGTCAGCCCACTGCCATTTTTTATGTTGCCCACTGCTTGGCCGGTCTTTGGTTTGGTAGATTTTATATATTTTGCAAATGTGTCTCTGATATTCTTCCACCTTTTTTTTACTTCATCACCTAAAAACGATTTTTTTTATAGATTCCTTGCCGCTGGTGACACCTTCTATACCATTGGGCATAGCTTTCGAGTTGGCTTTACAACAGTGAGTGCAATCGTAACCGAAGTCTGTGAAGCGATTTGCAGACATATGGAACATATATAGTTACCAGAACCAACAGAGAATATATGGAAAAAATGTGCTGAAGAATTTGAAAATAGATGGGGATTTCCCAATTGCATTGGCAGCGTGGACGGTAAACATGTAACAATCAAGAGACCTAACAACAGTGGCTCCAATTACTGGTGCTATTTACATAAATATTCAATAGTACTTACGGCCATTGTTGGCCCGGACTATAAATTTATATGTGTTGATATTGGTGGTTTCGGAAAAAATAGTGATGGGGGTATTTTCGAAACCTCAAACATGGGAAAACGATTTGAACAAAATTTAATGAGTGTCCCTGCACCTAGATTTCTCCCTGAGCAAAATGAAATCTGCTCGGTGACGAAGCATTTGCTTTAAAACCATACCTTATGAGACCATTTCCTTATAAGCAGACTTTAACAGACGTCAGAAAAGAGAAATACAATGTAAGACTTTGTCGAGCTTGAAGGGTCGTGGAAAATGCGTTTGGTATTTTGTCTCAAAAATGGCGAATATTTTACAGGCCATTAGAAACTAAAGTAGATACTACTATTCTAATTGTACGTACGGCATGTGTTTTACACAATTTTTTACGAAGTAAAAGTGGCGATGACAAATATTTTCAATTCTTAGATCCCCCAGAACCCGTGCTTGGAGCTTTTACTGATATAGCAAATGATCCTCGGCGGGCAGCAAGGCTAGCATTTTCTACTCGTGACAAATTCGTAAATTATTTTAATTCTGATATGCCTATGCCCAATATATAGAATGTTCGTTTTCACATTTGTGTAGACTGTAAATTATTTAACAAGTTAATAAAAAATATTAGGTACATACCATTTGTATTTAATTCTTTTCCTATTTCCATCCAAATCTTGCCTTTCTTTCTCACATTCCTGTATTCATCGTTCGACAAATCGTACAAACAAGGATACTTTTTCACTATTTCTATCAATAATTCCGTTTTTGCCATTGCGAATTTTTGAAGAACGGCGTCAAAAACGCGGTCAAAGGCGAACTGAAATACGCCGCGATAAAAACGCTGGAACAATCGCACAAGTCTGAGCCTGTCCGTAAACCGCCGCGTTTTAATCTGATCGCGAATTCATCGCCGCGAAATTTTCGCAGCCTAAGCGAATATTTCGCGCCGGTTTGTGGGATGCTTAAAAAAGCTAAGCAGGTTGGTCAAGTTACTTCATCAGAGAGGGGCACTTCGGTGACAGTTTGTTTTGCAGTCAATGCAATTGGAAGCGTTATTCCACCCTTTTTTATATTCCCTCGTATCAAATATCGAGAAGACTTCGTTTCTGATGGCCCAGAAGGTTCGTACTTTTTTAAAATTATTTTTATTTGGTTTTTGCATTAAACTTATGTTTACTTTGATTTCAAAGATTTAGATTTAGTTTCGTACTTGAGTAAGTAAAGTTTTTGTTTTATTTTTTGAGTTTTTCGAATACAAAAGTTATTATTTACATTTGTTTTTATTTAATAAGGGGGGTGGGCAACTCTCCTTCTGACTATGGGCAAGTCTCCCGCATTTGTGGGAGAGTTGCCATGTTTTCAAAGAAATAAAAAACTATATATTTTTTTCTGACTTATTTTTTTAAGGTTTAAATGATAAAACAAGGTTCCTAAAAATATATGCTACGAAGGCATCTAAAATTTATTGATTTATATAAATTTTATCACCAATAATAAATTGGGAGGGGCAAGTCTCCCGGACTTCCACTATCTGCGAAAAACCATCGTTGCATTACCAACAAGTGCCAGAACCTGCAGTTTGTCTTGATTTTCAGCCACAACTTTTTTGCTATTAGCAGGATTTTTTTACGTATGGTCTCATTTTGTAGGTCAAATAAATACCAAAAAATCTTATCCTGCTACTACTTTCGATTTAATCCCAAAAACACGTTTTCTCTGTGTTGTCGAATAAAAAGCTTTCCCACATAAATCGATGTACCCATTTTAAGGGTTCATGTTTTGAATACCCTCTTGAACAACTTGTAGCAATAAAGGCAGACTAAAATTATTTCTCAAACCAGGGGTATTTTCTTGTAATATGATTAAACTGCATCCCTGATATAATTTTTTTTGGATGCCCCACTGTATAGACTCAGTCCGCGAACTGGAGGCCCAGTTACCACGTGACTATTCTAGCTATGTAGACGAGGTCTACTACCAATTGAATTATTAAGAAAACTTTACCAATGACGTGCTATTAACATTTCCAACATCTTGTCTGACCTTAGTGGACATGAACAACGTAAATCCAAATAGGACACCAAAATTCTGTCACGTACACGTACATGAGAATTTATCGATCAGATGAAAACTCATGTTTCGATTCTAACGTAAACGCTGACCCTTCTTTGCATACAATAAAATTTTACATAAGCTGTTGTAACATTCTATCGACGAACGTCCAGTGTGAGGGTATCGGCACAAAAACTGGAAAAACTAAAATGGGTTCCCAAACGCCGCTGACAGAAATTCAAAATTTTTACAAAAACAAGACCGTTTTTCTTACCGGATGTACAGAGTACGTCGGAAAATTAGTTCTGGAGAAAATTCTGAGAACGACACCTGTGAAACGCGTGTTCGTACTCGTTAGTGGAAAAGACGGGAAGGATGCGGAGGCTAGGTGTGCAGACATTTTTGATTCTTTGGTAAGTCCAATAAAATATGCAAAACTACTAAATATCACGGATGTTAACGAATGCAAAATTCGGGCGGGCATTAATTATATGATGCAAATCGGCTGCCAGTGCCTTGGAAACCAAAAAAATGAGATGGTAGAAATATCAGCCAAGTGCCCTGAGTTCATGCATATTTATGGGGATTTCACGGCATTTTGAATTGATTTGGAGGATTAGATGCTAATTTATTTTTTTGAGGCTTCGTGAAATTCCGGATCTACTGCATCTTGCCACCATTGAAAACTTTTTGGAGAAAATTTTAATCCAGGTAGGTAAATTGAAGGCATATGGTATAACAGGAAGTGTTTTAGATTGGTTTAGAAATTATTTGTCTAAAAGGATGCAAGTTACAAACGTTAATGACACTATTTCATCAAAAATTGAAAACACGTTGGGTGTTCCACAGGGCAGTATCCTGGGACCACTTCTTTTTATTTTATACATAAATGATTTACCTGCCATAGTCAAAAAATGCAAAATTCAGATTTTCGCCGATGACACTATGATTTATATAAGTACTAAAAATATTCAGTCTGGTATCTCTTATATAAATGAAGACTTGAAGCTTGTCTCAAAATGGTTAGCATCTAACAGACTAAAATTAAATGCAAATAAAAGTCTTGTTAATCGGGAAAAAACAATGTATACTTTATCTGAAGTCACTTGAAATAGCATAAAAACCTTTGGTCGGCGCGCGCTTTGTAATTTCATGACGTATCATAGGCGTGCGGTCATTTATTCAGAACGATAATAATAATGTTTTTATATCACAATAAATGGATTTTACTATCTTCTTATTTTTTTGATTTGGGATAAAAAATACTTATATTGGGAGTTTAATTTATGTTGACTGAAAGTTAAGAAATGGAAAATTTACAGAATTCCAACGTTTGACATAGGCAAATATTTACATAGCAGGTAGGTATATAAAAAGGTATATAAAGACTTACATTATAGGTATTTATATATCATCCTCGCCTTCGGAGCTGTCGCTAGAGTCATCTTGTAGAGGAATTACAACGGGATTTACAGGAGGCAAAACACAATATTCATTTTCTTTTTCAATAATATGCCTAGAACACTGCTTCCACAGGTCTGTGGCAGCAATATGAGATACTGCATCTCTTATTGTGGCCAATAGCGATTCACTTAATCGAGGGGTCTGATTATGTTTTCTTACTTTTTTTTTAAAGCAGCCCAGACCAACTCAATCGGGTTAAAAATGCAGTAATAGGGAGGTACACGTAATACTTCATGGCCATTTTGCTGAAGCAGATTGTCAAAAACATACTCTTTTTCAAATTTTTGTCTTTTAATAAGATCCAATAATATGGTTTTAGTTGATTTTTGTGGTATTTCCATTCCCTTATCCTTCATAAAATCAATAATGTCTTGTTTTTTTGTGCCTGTATTCGGAATTTTGTTTTTCTGTCGGGAATGGTATGGCGCATTGTCCATAATAATCACTGAATTTGGGGAAATGTATGGTATTAGCTGCTGCTCTATCCACTTTTCAAATAAGTCGGTGGTCATGTCCTCATGATAGTGGGCACATGATTCTTTGATATTTTTGGCAGATAACAGCAAGGCATTAGGTATAAATCCATTTTCACTGCCAGCATGGAGAATAATGATTCGTTTTCCACGGTTGCATGGTGCATTTAAAATGCACTTGTTGCTGTCGTCAACCCAGCCGTACTGCACAACATCATGGGTATCATACCACGTTTCATCCAGGTAAATCAGATTTCTTTTCTGCTCTCTATAGATTTTAACTTTGTGCAAAAATTCTTGGAGCAATTCAACGATTCGAGACGACTCCATAATCACCATTCTTTTATCTAATTTTTTGTATTGAAAACCACACAGTTTTACAATACAGTGCAGTGAGTCTAAGCATTTGTAATTATACAAATCTTCAGGATAATCTTTTAATTTATCCCGTATCATTTCCAACGTGGGCACCAAATTTTCTTTATAAAATCCGTATATTATACGACGAATATCTTCCTGAAAACCCACGTCTATTCTTTTTAATTTTTGCACTATGCGCTTTCTGTGGAAGGAATGGTTGACTACATCTCCCCTTTTTATAACCCTGTAAATGGTAGACCGACTGATTTTTGTCAGGATACAAATTCTGTTTAAAATTTGATTTTGCGAGGAATCTGGATTTTCGTTTTTCAGACAATCATACATATTTAGGATTACTCTTTGGGTCTGTTCCTCTAAATCTTTATGAAAGAATTCTGCCTGCGCAGGTTCATCAACCATCTCCTCGTGGCTTGGAGCATTTTCCCAAGGTCTCCAAAGAGCCATATTTAGGACACACAAGAACAATCAACACAACAATTAAATCAACAAGTGAACGGAGTATTCAAAAGTCAAAAACACACAAACTAATAAAATCTATGAAAAAACACGGACAGACTAAAGAAAACACGTTTATTCACCGCTACACGACACTGGCTAAACTGTTTCAATTTTCAGTAGCCACCTGCACTTGTTCGGAGCTCTGAAATACACGCTTTCTCATTGGCTATGTCCACGCATAGGCGTGCTTTACTCCACGTGGACCGGTGAAACTGCCTTTGATCTTATACGGGGGATATTTGCTGCGAAAAAATTTGGCGATTTTTGCAGCAACAGAGCGTGTTAAATATAGATATATAAAACGCACCCGGTATCTCACAGTGTTTCAAGTGACTTCAGATAAAGTATACAAATGTTCAACTGAATATTGATGGTGAAGATATTGAATTCGTAGAAAATTTTAAATACCTGGGGGTTTTTGTTGACTCTCGATTAATTTTTGATATGCATTATGAAAAAGTTATAAATAAAATTATCAGTAAAGTGGGATATTTATCGAGAGTTTCTGGATGTCTGAGTTCATATAGCAGAAAAATTATCTATAATACCATCATTCTTCCAAATTTCTTGTACCGTTCGACTATTATATATTTAGCAAATAATTCCATTTTTGAAAGACTGCAAATTTCACAAAATAAGTGCATGAGAATAATACTAAATAAAGATGAATATACTCCAATTAGGCAAATGCTTAGCAAATTAAAATGGCTCAATGTAAAATTTTTTATCAAATATCTTGTAATGATATTCATTTATAAAGTAAAAAATAATATATTTCCATCAAGTCTTAACTAATTTAACATCATCAAATGTCGACCATCATTTACATAATACCAGAAATAAAGATGACTTCCATTTAATGACCAAAATGTATAACATATGCTACAAATCTGTATTCCATCAAGGGTTGATTGAATATAATAAATTATACTCGGAGATAAAAGACCAGAGAACTTTGACAAAATTTAAAGTAAAATTGAGAAATCACTTGTTAAATCTATAATTATAGGTTGCCCAGCATTTACATCATATACCATATGGCTTGAATTTACTAGTTCTAAGTTGTTTACAATTATTCTGTTTATGTAGCCAAATGTGCTAAATAAATCTTTCTACTACTACTACTAGGCGTTTTGTGAGCAGTAAGACGAGCACAAATCTGCTCTAACTGAAGATGGTCACAATTCGTAGAATTGTCTAGAATTTCATATCCTCAAAGGTACGAGGCTGGTCCCAGAAGTACCCGACCCAACGAAGTAAAGACAAATTTTTTGTAAAAAATGTATTTTTCAACATAATCTCCTTTGAGCTCTATACACTTTTCCCAGCGATGTTCAATAAGTTCGATACCCTTTTTATAATAAGAACTGACTTGCTCCTCAAAATAGCCATTAACTGCTGACATCACTTCTTCATCGTTCAATCTTTGAACACTGAGTCATTTTTTTAAGTTTGGAAACAGAAAATAATCCGAGGGGGCGAAATTGGTGAATGAGGTAGCAATTCAAACTTTAGTTCGTTAATTTTGGCCATTGCAATAACGGATTTGTGAGCTGGTGCATTGTCTTGATGAAACAACGCTTTCTTCTTAACCAAATGCGGCCGTTTCTGCTTGATTTCATCGCTCAAACGTTGCAATAAGTTCGCATAATACTCGCCGTTGATAGTTTTACCCTTTTCAAGATAGTCAATGAAAATTATGGCACGCGCATCCCAAAAAACCGACACCATAACCTTGTCTGTAGATGAAACGGTCTTCGCCTTCTTTGGAGCCGATTGTCCCTTTCGAGTCCATTGTTTTTATTGTTCTTTTGTCTCGGGTTTGAAGTGATGGACCCATGTTTCATCCATGGTTATGAAACGACGCTAAAATTCTGCTTTGTTGCTGTGAAACTTCGTTAAACACTCAATTGAAACATCTTCACGACACTGTTTTTGCTCGATTGCGAGCAATCGCGGCACCCATCTTGCACGCAGCTTTCTCATGCCCAAATTTTCAGATAATATGCGACGAACTGCACTTTTTGAAATGCCTACTATGTCTGCTAGCTCGCGCACTTTCAGTCGACGATCTTTCAGTACCGCTTCGTGAATTTTCTTCACCATTTCTGGAGTCGTCACCTCATTTGGTCGAACACTGCGGTGCTCGTCTTGGCAGTTCATACGGCCTCGTTTAAATGCTGCTACCCAATATTTTACTGTTGTAAACGAAGGAGGAGACTCACCCAGAGTAGAAGCTTTTATATTGGTTGGACTGAGGCCTTTGAAATAAAAGTATTGTACCACATAACGATAACCAATTTTCTCCATTTTCACAAATTCACTGAGAACGTTCAGTATTGATGGCTGCCAAACAAATACTAAACAACGTGGCGTCTTCAAACTTGACACATATGCTTTATAGGTTGCATACTTTCTAATACAATGATATTTTCCAAACAAATATCGCCATCTCTAGGTCAGGCCGGGTACTTCTGGGACCACCCTCGTATAATGCACAAAATACCAATTTTCATGCCTAAATCCCGCTTTGCGGAAGCAATTTTGCATTCTTTCTTTGGTTACTTGGTCCCAAGTGTTTTTTTCCAAATAAACTGCATCTAGTGGCTTAATTTTCTTTTTTAACTCAAAAGCTGTACCAGCAGCTTCAAGGTTTACTAGCAGGTGTTTGAGTATTAGACCTCGGTAATAAGTTTTATAATCCCTCGGTCAAGTGGTTGACAAGCTGATGTACAATAGGATAAATGGAGAAATAATTGAAAATGTCGAATCAATTAAATATTTAGGGATATATATATATATATATATATATATATATATAGATAGACTACAGTTTGAGGATCACTGCGAATACATTATTTCAAAAATTGCCAAAGAAACAAATTACTTTTATAGGGCTTCTCATAGTCTTGGTACCTATTCCAAGAACATAGTTTATACAGCAGACGCTCGATAATGTAAACTAATTTAATCAGAGTGTGGTTCACATTATCGAAATGTTTACATTAGCGAACGTGATTTATATAATATTTGATTTATTGAAAGAAACGTTTAATACATACTATTTATAACAAAATAAACAGATATTCTAACAGCGATAAGTATTTTTTTAATTAGAAGAAAAATAATTAACAATTTTTGTCTGCGTAAATTTGCGCTTAGCATTGTCTTCCAATGCCTGCGCCCGTAATTTACGAAGAACTAAAATATCCGTGTATGAAACTTCTTTTCTTTCAGCCCAATCTAAAGCTTGGTTAAAAACTTGTATAGCTTGCGCGTCAGTCACTACACTTCTGACTTCAATGGGATCGTTCTCATCATCCTCACTGTCCATATCCTCCTCCTTATCAGCATCATTCGTCTGCTTATCTTCGTTCCATAAATTAATATTAGCAGGAGTACAAACAATGTTGGGATTCTCTGTTTTCAATAAATCAACAGCATCCAATGACACACTAATAACATTATCATTATTGGATCGCAAACGTTCTCTAATTACGCTTAAGGGGACATCGTCTTCTTCATCATCTTCATTATTGGTACAAAAGAGATTGTTCCAACATTTTTGAATAGTTTGCTGGTTAAGTTCATTCCAGGCCATATGTAAATCTAATTTTTTGCTTTCCCAATTACCAGTGGCTTTATTTTGTGTGAACCATTAGCATTAGTGCAAGCTAGAAACGTTATTCGTTGTTTCTCCGGCTTTCTTCCCGGGGCAGATTTTTCAAATGATGCAGCATAGGTTTTCTCTGGTAACATTTTCCAATAAAGGCCACTTTCATCTGCGTTGTAAATTTGTTCCATTCTTAAATCTAGCTCGGTAATTGTTTTCATCAATTTTTCTTTGAATGGTTGCACTAATTGTGGTTGTGCTGATAATTTTTCACCAGATATAGACAGCAGTCGAATTCCATATCTTGTTTTAAATCAATGTAGCCAGCCATCACTAGCTACGAAATTTTCAGTTTCTTTCAGTTTTTCATTTAACAGTCTCGCTCTCTGTTTAAGTACTTCGCCACTAACTGGGACATGATTTTCCCGTTGTTTTAAAAACCACTTATACAGGGAATTTTCCATTTTAGGTGCCTTCGCATTTTTTAAAGTTTTTCTTTTTCCCGGACCTCCAAATGTATTGCACGTTCTTTGTAAAATTTGAGTTTTCATACGCTTAATTTTACAGATTGTTGCTTTCGATACTCCATATTTTTTTGCTAACTGTGTCACTCCCGCACCTAGTGCAACTTCGTCTATGATTTTCACTTTCTCACTCAACTTTAAACACTTTCTTTTATAGGATGTGGATGCCATAGTCGTAAAATATATTAACGCGTGCAATTAAGTTCAAAAATGAAATACATACGTACGTATAAACGTATCCTAAACGATCATACGACTGACCGAGTTTGTCGTATTTTATCGCAGAGGTGAATCCCCTACACTCTACATCATAAATCGGGGACTCCCCGACGCCCGACATAAATCATCGAGGCTTCAGAATTTTACCGTCGCGCTGTTTCCGTGCGCCGAGAGTTGTTTACGTTATCGCGCGTTCCGTTTGATCCTATAGAACGAAGTTTGTGTTTACATTAGCGCAAGTTTTCATTATCCCGTGTTTACGTTATCGAGCGTCTGCTGTAATACATTCTACCGCATTTACTATATTGTTCAAGTATCTTGTTCACTGCCAATGAAGCTGTATTCTCAAAATTACAAGTCTTGCAAAATAAAGCTATGAGAATAATATTGAATAAAAATAAGTAAACCAAAATAAAATCTGTTACAAGAATTGCAGTGTTTGAATATAAAACGTTTTATATCATATTTGATATGATATGATAGAAAAAATGAACAAAGTATGACCTTACTTGTACATGCAGCTAAAGACCAGAGATGGAAAGGTTCGTTTTTTTAAAATTTAAGGAAAAATTCAATATCTCAAAAATGGTGACACTTTTATATAGGCAAGTTTTCGTTATTTGGGAGGTCAGCCCAAAGCCTACCTTCTCCTTAAGTTTGTCGTGGTACTTATTGGATACCCTGTATACAGGGTGATTCACAAATCGTGACCAAACATGAAACATCATACACAGGACCCCATTTTAAGGCAGGTCTTCAATGTAACATTTTTTTTCTCGAGGGCTTCATTAAGTGTTGAAGTTTAAAAATAAAAAAAATAATATCTTCAAAACCGTCAACTGGAATTGACTAAAATTTGGTATGTGTATTTACCTAAATATTGTTCACATTCAAAAGTCTTTACTTGAAATTAACGTGCACCAGTGGCGGAGATACAGGGGATTAGTGGTATTATTTTTCCAAATAAAAATAGTACGCCACTTTTTTTCCGAAACGAATTTTACCTTCAATTTGCCACAAATAATTACTCCTGCACTTTTGTCCTAGAGTTTGTTTTCGTAAAAATAAAAAAAAGCAAATTCGATAATCGAAGATTCATCTCAATAAAAGTTCAAAACGACCACCATTCTGACGCACACAAGTGCGGCATCTCTTTAATGGAGAAAAACACGTTCGCATGTATTTTCTATTTGTTGCTCGACATTGCAGGCGTTCGGACCGCTCAAAAGACATGACCAAGAATTCTACAAGAAGGTTTCCCTCGTAGAAGGAGACTGCGAAAAGCCAGATTTGGGACTGAAAGAGGTAGACAAAAAAACGATCGTAGACGAAGTCGAATGCATCTTCCATTGCGGTACTACGACAAATGCCGAGCAAGGTCTCAAGCAAGCTGCATTCGTCAACGTCAGATCTACGAAAAAAATATTAGAGATAGCGAAAGAGATGGAAAAGTTAATGGTAGGTATTTGCGTAGCGTGCAACTTTGATAAAAGACAATTCCGGAAATAAAATGTACTGTTGTTTAGATTTGGGACCGACTCAGTCTACTCATGAACCATACAAAATAAAAGCTGCAGCAGCATAGAAGATCACGATCATACTGTTTGGAACTGTTTTAAATACGTTCGCATAGTCATATGTAACTGATATTTTACGTTATCCTCATTGGACCTATTTTCAAAAACTAGCTTGTTCTTATTTGGCATAGTAGTGACCTTGTGTGAAATTTTTATTCAAAACAGAGAGGTACTTCCAAAGTTATAGACAGACATACCGACGGAAATGAGTGACTTGTCATATTTTCGTCATACAACATCCAAAGAAATTCTCCCTGCAGACATTCGTCAGAAAATTTCTGACAAAAGAGCTGCAATTAAGCGAAAAGGTCTTGTCACCCAGATGACCTTCATAGAGCAACGAATCTTGTGAGGAATGCTCTTCATGAATTCCGTAATGAGCAATGGAGCGACTTTCTGTCGGGGATGCTTGACTCAAGTATTCCTCTCTGGAAAGTTGCAAAGTCGCTCAGAAACGGAAAGCGAGAACAACTCCCGCACAACCACGGTCCTAGGGGCATAGTCTGTAGGATAGAGGAAAAGGTCGAGGTTTTCGCCGATGCGATGGAAAGTCAGTCCTCTCCCAACTATGACCTTGATAATGACCTCGACGAGGAGCAACATATTATTGTAAGATCCGTCATGAGATATTTTAGGGCCAACGGCGTCAGTGGCAGTAGTGCCTCCCTTAGTGATTTTTCCTCAGAGGAATCTTCAGAAGATTCCTCAATTGACGAGCTGCACGGCACATCAGCGGAATCTCCTGAGACTCCGCATTGCACACCAGCAGAGCTCCAAGGTCATATTAAGGACCTCAAGGTGCGTAAAGCACCTGGAGAGGATCGAATCACTGATAAGGCGCTTAAGCTTTTCGCGGAAGTCCGTAACTTATCTCGTGGCAATAGTCAATGCCATGCTAAGGACTCAGCAGTGGCAGTAGTGCCTCCCTTAGTGATTTTTCCTCAGAGGAATCTTCAGAAGATTCCTCAATTGAAGAGCTGCACGGCACGTCAGCGGAATCTCCTGAGACTTCGCATTGCACACCAGCAGAGCTCCAAGGTCATATTAAGGACCTCAAGGTGCGTAAAGCACCTGGAGAGGATCGAATCACTAATAAGGCGCTGAAGCTACTTTTGCGGAAGTCCTTAACTTATCTCGTGGCAATAATCAATGCCATGCTAAGGACCCAGCAGTGGCAGTAGTGCCTCCCTTAGTGATTTTTCCTCACAGGAATCTTCAGAAGATTCCTCAATTGAAGAGCTGCACGGCACATCAGCGGAATCTCCTGAGACTCCGCATTGCACACCAGCAGAGCTCCAAGGTCTTATTAAAAACCTCAAGGTACGTAAAGCACCTGGAGAGGATCGAATCACTAATAAGGCGCTGAAGCTACTTTCGCGGAAGTCCTTAACTTGTCTCGTGGCAATAATCAATGCCATGCTAAGGTCCCAGCAGTGGCAGTAGTGCCTCCTTTAGTAATTTTTCCTCAGAGGAATCTTCAGAAGATTCCTCAATTGAAGAGCTGCACGGCACATCAGCGGAATCTCCTGAAACTCCGCATTGCACACCAGCAGAGCTCCAAGGTCATATTAAGGACCTCAAGGTGCGTAAAGCACCTGGAGAGGATCGAATCACTAATAAGGCGCTGAAGCTACTTTCGCGGAAGTCCTTAACTTGTCTCGTGGCAATAATCAATGCCATGCTAAGGACCCAGCAGTGGCAGTAGTGCCTCCCTTGATGATTTTTCCTCAGAGGAATCTCCAGAAGATTCCTCAATTGAAGAGCTGCACGGCACATCAGCGGAATCTAATGAGACTCCGCATTGCACACCAGCAGAGCTCCAAGGTCATATTAAAGACCTCAAGGTGCGTAAAGCACCTGGAGAGGATCGAATCACTAATAAGGCGCTGAAGCTACTTTCGCGGAAGTCCTTAACTTGTCTCGTGGCAATAATCAATGCCATGCTAAGGACCCAGCAGTGGCAGTAGTGCCTCCCTTAGTGATTTTTCCTCAGAGGAATCTTCAGAAGATTCCTCAATTGAAGAGCTGCACGGCACATCAGCGGAATCTCCTGAAACTCCGCATTGCACACCAGCAGAGCTCCAAGGTCATATTAAGGACCTCAAGGTGCGTAAAGCACCTGGAGAGGATCGAATCACTAATAAGGCGCTGAAGCTACTTTCGCGGAAGTCCTTAACTTGTCTCGTGGCAATAATCAATGACATGCTAAGGACCCAGCAGTGGCAGTAGTGCCTCCCTTGATGATTTTTCCTCAGAGGAATCTCCAGAAGATTCCTCAATTGAAGAGCTGCACGGCACATCAGCGGAATCTAATGAGACTCCGCATTGCACACCAGCAGAGCTCCAAGGTCATATTAAAGACCTCAAGGTGCGTAAAGCACCTGGAGAGGATCGAATCACTAATAAGGCGCTGAAGCTACTTTCGCGGAAGTCCTTAACTTGTCTCGTGGCAATAATCAATGCCATGCTAAGGACCCAGCAGTGGCAGTAGTGCCTCCCTTAGTGATTTTTCCTCAGAGGAATCTTCAGAAGATTCCTCAATTGAAGAGCTGCACGGCACATCAGCGGAATCTCCTGAGACTCCGCATTGCACACCAGCAGAGCTCCAAGGTCATATTAAAGACCTCAAGGTGCGTAAAGCACCTGGAGAGGATCGAATCACTGATGAGGCGCTGAAGCTACTTTCGCGGGAGTCCTTAACATATCTCGTGGCAATAATCAATGCCATGCTAAGGACCCAGCACTTCCCAACGGCGTGGAAGACCGCTGATGTCATAATGATTCCAAAGAAGGTGGGTTCGATATTCCCCCAGGATTACCACCCCATTAGTCTACTGTCAGCTCTTTCTAAGCTCGCTGAAAAGGTGATTCTACGTCACCTTGAACATTTCTCGGCAGACCACAATGTGATTCCTGACCTGACGTGCAATTTGGCTTTCGGTCTGAGCATAGTACGGAGCTACAGGCCATAAGGCTTGTTGAACGAGTAACCAGGGGGTTCACCCGTAACGAAAGTACTGGCATTTTGCTACTGGACGTCTCAAAGGCGTTTGACAAGGGCCTTCTCTACAAATTGATCCATAAGGGCTTCCTCTTCTGGCTCATAAAACTTTTGAAATCCATTCTCGGGGGTAGGAAATTTCGGATCAAAATTAATAACGTTCTGTCGACAACGCGGCCCATCAAAGCCGGCGTCCCTCAGGGTTCGGTTCTTGGACCAGTCCTTTATTCACTTTTTATTCATGACGTATCTTGCCCCAGCAGCTGTGAAACCTATCTCTATGCTAATGACACTGCCCTGGTGGCCCAGTCGTGCTCTGGGGATGTAGTTCACGACAGGCTGCAAAGTGCAGTGGACGAGGTATTGGAATGGGCGAATCGGTGGCTGATCAAAATTAACCATTCTCAGACGCAGGCAATCTATTGTACTAAAAAACGTAGCGGCGCCCCGTTTGAGGTTTCTGTGAATGGAGCTCGGGTACCATGGGAAAGCTCTGCTAAGTATCTCGGTGTCACTCTTGACAAGGGGATAACCTGGCAGAAGCACAATGAAGCGTTAAAAACTAAATTCCAAATCTCGTTTCGGCAACTCTACCCTATGCTATGTAGAACATCAAAATTAAGTTTGATCAACAAAGTTCGGCTATGCAAGATGGTTATTAGACCAGCGATCACTTACGCAAGTGCGGCTTGGTGTTTTCTCGCCAAAACGCATTTGCGTAGCCTGCAGGTTTTGCAGAACAGAACCTTGCGTACAATCACTAACGCCCCATGGTATGTTTCCAACGAGACCCTTCACAGAGACCTTGACATCCCTTACCTAAGGGACTACATCAAACAACAAGCGCAACTACTTTATAGTCAAGCGGAATCGCATAACAACCCTTTGTTGCGCGAGTCAGTAGACTACACAGTCGAGCAAGTTCGCAAGCACACAAGGCCACGACTTTAGGCCCAACTAAAATTATAATTTTTCTTCAACAACCAATCCCAAAATTAATTTTAGGATCAATTTAAAATTGCCGAATACTAACTAGCAATGCCAAGGCACCCCTCAAATTGATGCACTTCTTTTTTCTTTCTTCTTCCCTTCTTTCTCCCTGACTTTGTTTGGTGTCTGGGCAACCAGACACCTACTGACTTACAAGACTTCAACCAAGAGCAAAGGTCCTACGGACCGCTCTGACAGACAATGACGAATAGAATCCAAAGAAATGTAGAAATGTTTCGCTATTACGTCAACATATTGATGCACTCCATGTCTAGGGATGTTTGAGCTTTGATTTGAACCGATGAATAGAATGGATACGTCTTAGATTTTCTGGTATAAGGATATAAGATCTGGGACTGAAGAACAAGTACGATCTCGACCTGACATTTCTTTCAGGATTTTATTTCTATTCGATCGGGTACTCGTGGGATGTCAAGCTGCAATCGTTCTTGATCCTCAATTGCGAAACGATTACATTATAAAAAAATGGTTGCCGTACATCAACAAAAGAGTCTTCTTTGAATAACTCCTCGATTGTTGGTGTGACCCAGAAGTCGACGTTAAGCTGGAAATGGTGGTTAGGCTACAGTCCTGTTCGTACAGCTGTCACCAGCCTGTCAGTGATCGTGTCCAAGATCTCGTCACACAAATATTCCGTTTATTCTTCTATACGAGGTTTGTCCAGGCGCGGAACCAGGGGGGGATCATGGAGGTCATGACCCCCCCAGGCGACCACCAATTTTTAAAGTTCCAAATCTCTTAGATTAATCTGTAAAGCACACATATTCAATGGATGCCGTACTGCTATTTTCTACTAAACACTGGCAGCACTGCATCCGTCAATCTTGATTTAACTGTAAGGTCATAGACGATAGCGCAAGACTGGTTGCCTATCCGGTCAGCCTGATTTAGGAAAAACCTCTTCGCGAAGTGTTTACCGACGAATGAGAAGTTTTGGCTTGTTTTCATACCGGCCACACTGGGTCCTCCCTTTAACTCGAGAACACCGACGTAATCGCCTTGAGTGGTGCAGACAACGGTCACTCTGGGATCAGGAATGGAACAGTATTGTCTTTAGTGACGAGTCTCGATTTTGTTTAGGCATGCACGATGGTCGTGCCAGGGTTAGAAGGCGACGTGGTGAAAGGTGGAATCCACAGTTTTTTGTTGAAAGACATGTTCATCACACTGTTGGAGTTCTGGTTTGGGGTGCTATAGCTTATGGTTCCAGGTCACCTTTAATCTTCATCAGAGGTAACATGAACGCGCAGCGTTATATCCACGAAGTTCTACAACCCCATCTTTTACCCTATCTTGGCACCCTGGCAGATCCAACTTTCCAACAAGATAATGCCCGACCACATGTTGCAAGAGTCACAATAGACTTCTTTCAACATAATGATGTCACATTGTTACCATGGCCACCAAGATCTCCCGACTTATCCCCAATTGAGCACGTGTGGGATATGATGGGTAGGAGATTGCTCAATTTGCAACGTCCTCCTCAGACTCTAGAAGCACTTCGAGAGGAGTTGGTGGTTGCCTGGAATGAGATACCACAGGAGGACATTGACCACCTGATCAGAAGCATGCCTAGGCGCGTTGAAGAGTGCGTAGCACATCAGGGTGCATCCACACATTATTAAAGGTCAAAGGGCTTTAAAGCAGTGCAATCATTTTGAAATTTTTATCATTATTTACTTACTATGCTTCATTAAGTACTTATACAAAATTTTATTAAAATAAAACCATTTAAACTGGGTGTTCGGATTTATATGTCACTTAGTATATCTCGAAAAATACGTTTCTCAGAGGAAAATGTAGATCCCAGATCAGAGATTTCAGATTTTTAACGATCCAGCCACTGGTGATTTTGAATGTGAGGTTGATTATGATCAAGGTCATTTAGGTCGACAGTTTTCTTGAATGGAAGCCCTACTTTTGACAATGTAAAGAACAGAATATGTATAAAATTCGCATCCAAAAAATTATTGTGTGATACATTTGTAAGGCTTGAAAAGAAGAAAAAGAAAAGGATTTACAAAATTTTCAACATTCAAAATTTTCAAAATTTCCAAAAATTTCAAAACTTTTGAGATCTTCAAAATTTTCAGAATTTTCAGTTATCCAATCTCTCATATTTCTCAAAAATTGCAGTTTTTTCGGGACTTTAGACGGTAACATAAATACCATTGCCCTCAGTTTCAGATAATATTTTGAACAATTAGTAAATTTCGATAATTTACTCAAAATGTTCATGAATTTGTAACAAAATTGCCAAAATTTCCAAAATTTTCAAAGTTTCTAGAATTTCCAAATTTTTTCAAAATTTAAAGAACTATATAAAATTCGCTTCCAAAAAATTATTGTGCGATAAAGTTGTAAGGCTTGAAAAGAATAATCCAATAGTGGCCGAGAACGTGACCTTGCTGCTTTGAAGGTGAAGACACTTTTCTTAATTGAAAACCCATAGTCTGGTAATTTTATAATATACTAAGTGACATATAAATTCGAACACCCAGTTTAAATGGTTTTATTTTAATAAAATTTTGTATAAGTACTTAATGAAGCATAATAAGTAAATGATAAAAATTTCAAAATGATTGCACTGCTTTAAAGCCCTTTGACCTTTAATAATGTGTGGATGCACCCTGATGTGCTACGCATTCTCCAAAGCGCCTAGGCATGCTTCTGATCAGGTGGTCAATGTCCTCCTGTGGTATCTCATTCCAGGCAAGGTGACATGGAACCATAAGCTATAGCACCCCAAACCATAACTCCAACAGTGTGATGAACATGTCTTTCAACAAAAAACTGTGGATTCCTCCTTTCACCACGTCGCCTTCTAACCATGGCACGACCATCGTGCATGCCTAAACAATATCGAGACTCGTCACTAAAGACAATACTGTTCCATTCCTGATCCCAGAGTGACCGTTGTCTGCACCACTCAAGGCGATTACGTCGGTGTTCTCGAGTTAAAGGGAGGACCCAGTGTGGCCGGTATGAAAACAAGCCAAAACTTCTCATTCGTCGGTAAACACTTCGCATGCCAATAGGTCTTCCGTGTTCTGCAAACCATTTATTTGCAGTGGACCTGGTAGTGGAGAAACGGTCCCTTAAGGCCAATAATCTTAGGCGGCGATCTTCACGGTCTGTTGTTCTACGGCGGCGTCCAGGGCCCCTTGCTCTTTGCGTACGGCCTTCTCGAAGCCATGCCTGACAACACCTAACCACAGTGTCTTCACTTCTTTGCACTCTAACTGCAATTGCCCGAAAAGAAAGTCCAGCTTCCCGAAGTCCCACTATACGGTCCCTATCAAACTCACTAAGTTGACGAAATCGTACAGGTCTCCGTACTCTAGGCATCGTAACCGATCGTAAAGGATGTCAAGAACCAACATCCGCCAACGTTGATTCTTTACTGCGGCTGAAATATTCATTTTTAGAGCGTTAGTGAATTAAAAAAAAAGCAGTATAAAAACCGGAATGTCCAACTGATAAGGCTGAACATTTTTTCACTTGTTATTTACAGTAAGATAAATACATTCACCAACTTTTATTAAAATAAAACCATTTAAACTGGGTGTTCGGATATATATCCAGTATTTCCAAAATTTTTCAAAATTTAAAAAACTATATAAAATTCACTTCCAAAAAATTATTGTGTGATAAAGTTGTAAGGCTTGAAAAGAATAATCCAATAGTGACCGAGAACGTGACCTTGCTGATTTGAAGGTGAAGACACTTTTCTTAATTGAAAACCCATAGTCTGGTAAATTTATAATAAATTGACTATCCATTATCATTAAAGAAACTTTATTATCCACTAACAAGAAACCCTAGTAAATCGAATGCTATTGTCTTTAGTCCACATAATTTTCCAGTTAATGTTGTTGATCTAATCCAACTGTCTGTGAATCATACTGTCATACCCTTAGTTAACGAAGCAAAAAACCTGGGCGTTATTTTGGATAATGACCTCCGTTTTAATCAGCACGTGAATGCCACCCTTAAATCCACATATATATCGTTAAAATTATTATATTCAAACCGGCACATTCTTAATTTCAAAACGCGGAAAAAACTTGTTGAGAGTCTTGTTATGTCTAAAATATTTTATTCGCTGGTTCTTTATTATCCTTGTATTGATTATAACACTAAATATAGACTGCAGAAAATCCAAAACAGTTGTTGTCGGTTCGTATATGGCCTCAGAAAGTATGATCACGTATCGTCTAAGATAAAAGAGCTAAAATGGCTAAAACTTGATAAACACTATACTTTCTCTTTGGGTGTATTTGTCCATAAATTGATTTCCACAAGGTCACCCATTTATCTTATGGACAAACTTGTACCTCGTGGTCAAGTCATTTCTAGAGCCCTACGACATAACCATCTCTTCGGTATGCCATTCCACAGAACATGTATATTCCGAAGATGTTTTACGTACAATGCTATCAGGACTTACAACTCTGTCAACCAGGTACTCAAGTCCAAAAGCTTACCTGTTTTTAAAATCAAATACAAATCTGCTCTTTTTGAATTGCCTTTTTAAAAATCCCTGATGATTAGCCGACTGATTTTGTAGCTTTTGTAAATTTTCCATGCTTTATACATTCTGTAATTGTTCATTGTTTTCTTTTTATTTTTCTGTACTGTACTATTGTCCTTATTATTATTATTTTTTCACTTCGTTTTTGAGGTTAAGTGGTAGATAGCCATGTGGCTAAACTTCGCCTCAATTCGAAGGTTTCAATAAAGACATTTATTATTATTATTAATATATACCCTGAAAAGCAATAATATTGATAATAGACACTGTCACCGATAACTATCATGACTCTATCCCCCGTTTCCAGCTTGACGTCGACTTCTGAGAGGCTTATTTTATACATGGGTGACTGTTTCAGAGTTTCGTATTCCTTTCGTCGGCGTATTCCAACTTCACACTCTATGAAATCCACGAAGAATTCTATGAGCCGCCTGTCCACTATAACAAACTGATAGCACTTTGCGAGGGCGAGGAGGATTTAATCAAAAAGTGCGAAGAAACGTAGGGAATAGTATGTTTTAAATTAACATCGTTTAACCGAATTTAATTCTAGATGGCTACAAGACTGGCCTAATGCAGCTGTGTACACGTTGAGTATAGCAGAAACTTTGTTAAAAAACGAAGGCAAAGGATTGCCTATAAGCATCATAAGGCCATCGCATAGTAAGTTCAAGGAATCAGTCTAAGCAATATTGGATGTGAGATTTGACTTAGTTAACACATTTTCTTAAGACTGAGTAAAATTTATATGATCACATAACGTGCTGTAATAGCAGCCAAAAGGAAAGTGTGACAAATTAGCCCTTTAATAGGGCCATTAAACCCCACTTAACGATATAATACGGAAGATTCTGCAGTTCTAATTCTCCAATTATTAAATAATGCTTTTGTTTCAATTTCAAATTTATGGACAATGCAGTAGTCGGAAGGATGGGGATACAGGTTGGACTATAAAATGAATAATAGCATATTTTTCCATCGAATTGAGACTATTTTTAAACCTTGTTGAACAACTTGTTTCTTGAACCGCGATTGCACTTGAATGTAAAACTACGAGGGATGTCTTTTAAGTTTTGCATATGGAAATAAAACAACACGGTAGGTAGTTTTGAATGACTTTATTGTTTTTCGAAGTATTCTCCACGAAGATTAATACACATCCGCATACGCTCGAACCAATTTTCGAAGCACTTATTCCACTCGCACAGCATCGACGTTTTCCTGGGTGACTGCCGTTTTTGGTGCATTCACCCTGGGATCGTTGCTAAGACCACCCGTCCACGTTTGAATTCTCCTTACCAACGGGAAATTGTCGACTGATCTGGCGCTTCGTTGCCGAAAACAGACAGTAACTTAGCAAGGCCATTATTGTCTCTGAAAGTTGTAATAAATTATGGCGCGAAAATGTTCTCGGTTGAGTTCCATTTTTCTAATGACACTTAAAAATTCACTGTAGCGAGAACACTGCACGTATTGTTGTGAAACTGTGAATTTAAGTTTACTAAAGAGTGAGGTTAAGATTCGGTACTGACGTTCGATCCGCGCGGCCTACTATGTTTCTATATGCGAAACTTAAAAGACATCCCTCGTATACGCGCATTCGCGATCACTTCGCCATTTAGGGATTTGCAAACTGCAGGCCCGTGGATCTACAAGACGGGCACATTGAGCAAAATCGCAGGGAAACAATATTCTTCCGAAACACGCGTGTGAGACAAAGATAGCTAAACCAACCAACCAGATCACAACTGATTATTCTGTTTTTGTGTGCTCTATGACTACACTGATCAACAGCCAAAAAATATCCTAAATAAAATCAACAAAATATTACTATTTTTAATGTGCTAAAACCGGAATGAAACTTATTTTTTCAATATTAGTTCAAGTTTTAGAGATACGGTAATTATATGTGTTCCTGCTGTGACAGTGTTAATATACTGTAATTCACAAGAATGCACGTGCTACATTTTTATATTCGGCAAGGAAAGATGATGTAATCGGCATGATTGTGTTACGTTATACATACGTGTACATTATATTGTTTTATATTAGCTATTTTTTCCTCAGTTGGCTGACAGCGTTCATGCAAGATGTCTCGAAAGTGTGTAAACAATCCAGATCAGTTTTGCTACGTGTGTGGTGATGTGACTTTTGCGTCTCAGAGACGGTCTATTACTCCACTAATAACAAAGGCATATCAGCTTTATTTCGGTTGTAAACTAGGTGATCAAGACAAACAGTGGGCACCCCACATCTGCTGTAATACATGTGCTTCAAGTCTGAGGAGCTGGTTAAATGGCAAAAAACGGTCTATGCGCTTTGCTGTCCCAATGGTTTGGAGAGAGCCTACAAATCATATTAATGATTGTTACTTTTGCATGGTACCTTGTGTTGGACAAGCCACAGGTATGTCCAAGAAAAAAAAATCGGTTATTAACTACCCAAACATACCATCTACGATGATACCTGTGCCTCACAGTGACGAAAATCCTATTCCAAAACCCCCAGAATCCTACACTTGCGAATCAGAAAACGAATCAGATCATGGCGATCGAGTGATTCGTCAGGAAGAAGATATGCCATCAACGTCAAGAGATCCTGATTTTATACCGAGCACGTCATGCTACCAACCGCACAAAATAACACAGTCAGAATTAAATGATCTTGTAAGAGATTTAGAACTTCCAAAATGTAAGGCAGAGTTAATTGGATCAAGACTGCAGCAGTGGAACTTGTTAGAAGACGATGTTTCGATATGTGTTTTTCGTAAACGCCACAAAGACTTAGAACCATTTTTCAATATGGAGAATAACTTGGTTTTCTGCAGTAACACTAACGGCTTACTGGCGGCTTTAAATATAAACTATAACCCAGAAGAATGGAGATTGTTTATAGACAGTTCAACATTGAGTTTAAAGGCAGTGTTATTGCATATTGGAAATGTTTTACCATCTCTTCCTGTAGGATATGCAGTTCACATGAAAGAATCATATGACAATATGAAGTACCTATTGACATGCATAAAATACGATGAGCACCAATGGCATATTTGTGGCGATTTGAAAGTTGTTGCACTTTTACTTGGGCTGCAGCTCGGCTACACAAAGTTTTGCTGTTTTTTTGTGTGAATGGGACAGTCGGGCAAAGGCATTACACCAGACAAAACTGGCCTGTTCGTCAATTCCTAGAGCCAGGTCAAAAAAATGTACAGAATATGCCATTAGTAGATTCGAAAAAAAATTTATTACCACCACTGCATATCAAGTTGGGCCTAATGAAAAAATAAGGCATTAGATAGAGATGGGTCAGCTTTTCAATACCTGCGTCAGAAATTTCCAAGACTAAGTGAGGCAAAGGTTAAAAAAGGTATTTTTGTTGGGCCACAGATTCGAAATATTTTGAAAGATACACAGTTTGAAAACACTTTAACAGGTATTGAAAAAACTGCTTGGAATGATTTCCGTCTGGTGGTCACTAATTTCTTGGGAAATAGAAAAGCTGACAACTATAAAACCCTTGTCAAAAATATGCTGTCATCGTATCAAAAGATGGGCTGTAATATGTCTCTTAAGATGCATTTCCTACACTCACACCTGGACTTTTTTCCTGACAATTGCGGAGCCGTAAGTGATGAGCACGGCGAACGTTTTCATCAGGATATTTCAACAATGGAAAAAAGGTACCAGGGAAAGTGGAATCCTTCCATGCTTGCAGACTACTGTTGGTCTCTTGGTAGAGATGCTCCAGAAACGATCCATAAAAGAACAGCAAAAAGACAGCGCATATAGTGATTCTTATAAGTATATGAATCTTGTTACTTTTTTTAATATATCCTTAAAAATAAAAAGTTTTTTTTCTAAACCGCAACTAATTTTTTTATTTCATTGTCATTTTTAGATTCAGCGCCCCAAAATTAACAAAGAAGTGCACTTTTCCCACAAGATACAATAAAAAAAACTAAAATTTGTTGTCCAGTGCTATCGATGCTTGTCTCCTAACCTACAATTGACATAAAGGTGTAGAGAGACACCAGCATTGATGTTTTGTGGAGATGGGTGCGACATGGAGAAGAAGAAGAAGAAAAATATCCAACGATTTAATTTTATCCCCCAAAAATTCTTTAAGCGACGTACCAATCTCCCGTATTTAGGGGAAAATCCCCCAATATGGCAACCCTGTCATCCACATATGACATAAGACGTTCTCCGCTCCATCACTGTCAACGTGCTGAGTATACCAACCGCAGACAGCGCTGTCGTCCGTCTACTCCTAAGACCTACACCGCACTGACGAGCTGCTAACGAGCGCGAAACAGCACTGTCTGCGGTTGGTCGTGATTAAAGGAGACGGAAAGAGAAACATGCCTTTTTCGTGATGTTTTAGTATTACCATCAATGGAAGATCCGATAACGGGATATGTAGAAGATGGATCTGGACTGACGTCTTATGCTGTGAATCACGCAATGGGAGTAAACAGGGTGTTCTATTACAATAAAGGCGCTTTGGATGTAGTTCCTGTCGATTATGTTGTTAATATGATTATTGCATCAGGGTGGTACGTCGGTTTACAAACGTAGGTATCGTTTCTTCTTGAAAAGTGATCTATCGTTGCAAGTCAGCTTTCTTATCCTTTGTATGATGTTCATTGTACAAAGTATCCGATAGTGGAAAATAACGTCTTAGATAATGTAACACTTTATCCTTAAAGAATTCTTGACCTCTAAGACCATTCTAGAGGTGATAGCTTACCTAATATTAGCTTAAAATATCCCCTATGTTAGATATTTTTTTAGTAAGCAAAACTTTTATCTTTTTTGTGACCAATAAAAAGTTCTTGTAAGTTTGCAACATAGATTGGTGAAAACAGAGTTAATATGGATGCTACTACTTCTATATAAACTAGTAATACAGGGTGTAATTTGATTGACGGCAAAAAATACAGGATAGGACTCCTTAGGTCATTTTAGAAAGAAAAGTTTATGTGAACATATGTCCTAAACCTCTTAACTTTGAAGCTACAGGGTGTTCAAATTTTAAGAAAAAAATCGTTCTCTTATAATTTTAATACTCTTCTAGATTTACGTTTATCCTAGTGGTAAAACTCTTGTAGTGATCATTGATTCACTACTGTTTTTTTTTTTAGGTTGAGACTCAAAAGGGGCGATATCACATCCATAGATACACAAATTTATCATTGTGTCAGTTCTCAAGAAAAACCAATTACAACAGGCAAGTACTGATTACCAGTTTAAAGAAGAACATTACCTGTTACACTAATGAGTAGTCATTAAATTCTTGAAAGATAACTTGGTGAAATTCCATCCAAAATGACCACTACAGTATATTCAGATAAGAGATAGACCGGATGTAAACAAAAGGTTCGGGTGATTTTCACGCTAACGCCGCCGTCTCGACGTAAAACAGGAGCCCTCATTGGTCAATTCGCAATTAAATGCCTATGCCGAGCGGCAGAGCAGTCGTATCAAGGCAGAGTCACATTCAGGTTCAGACGTGTTACGTATGTCGTGTGCATCATTGCAATTTGATATTTCTTTGGACGTTTTCGTTTGTTATCTTATTAAGTTGTTGAGTTTGTCGTTGTTATTGTTATACCTTGTTATTGATTGTTATTGTTATCAACTGCTTGCGCAAAATGCCCAGTAGTACAGATACTGCCGATGAAGTTGTAAACTCCTGTAGTCCACCTAGGAAACGACCTAAAAAAAGACACCTGAGTGCAGAAATGAAAGAGGTCATTTTGAATATATATAAGATCGAGCGCGAGGAGAACGAGGCATCAACCATCAAAGAAATTGTTGTGAAGGTTTCTCACAAAGTTGGGGTGTGTCGCGCATCAGTGTTTAATGTGTTAAGACAATACAAAAAAAATCACACCTTTTCTGAGCCAATGACCAGTAAACATCGCAAAAGTATTGTTAAATCATTGGATGAAGCTGATAAGCATGCGATTAGGAGGAAAGTGCACGAATTCTTCTTTAGGAATGAAATACCTACTATAGATAAAGTACTGCAGGAGGTAAATGGAGATACAACGTTGCCAAATTTCAAACGATCAACTTTCCATGCGTTACTGAAGCATTTAAATTTCAAATGGAAAAACGGGGTCGTAATAGTTTACTACTGGATAGAGAAGAAATTGTGCTATGGAGGAGGGATTATTTAACAAAAATTGGGAAATATAGAAATCAAAATAGGAAGATTTATTACCTTTATGAAACATGGGTAAACGCAGGACACACTACAAGTAAAGTATGGGTTGATGATTCTGTAACTTCATCCAGGAGGGCCTTTCTAGATGGACTGTCCACCGGATTAAAAAATCCAGCAGGTAAATACGAGTAATAGACAACAATCGGATGTTTTTCAAACCTTGGGAACAAGGTTCTAAACATTAATTCCAGGGAGCAGATAAAACATATTACAAGTAACAACACTTTTATAACTTTCGATAAAATGCGTGGATGTTTTATTGTCATTTTCATTTGTTAGAACTTTTTTAACCAAACATCAGACGGCATCCGAAGCTGGAAATCGAAGCGAAAATTTTGAAACCCTTACGTATATTTACATCATTATATATTTCTTACCCCATCCCCACATGATCCTATATCCATCACCAATCGTATACACATCGAATTGTGCTAATTTACTACAAAGTTACGCAAAGCAGCATCTACTATCTAAAATATGTACTGCGTGACTCTTAATACGTCCCTGCCGAATGTTACAGCGTTCGATGATCACGTGGTCTTGTTTATGTCCGGTCTATCTCTTATCTGAATATACTGTAGAAACGTATTGCTGACTATCTTTTATAATCTTTTAAATATCTGTTAAATGTGTTTCGTTAACATTAGGCAACATTTCAAAGGATCCCTTGGATTATTCTCAAACTACTTTATCCTTTAGACTTCTGATGTAGATAGAAATCAAATTCTTTATTAGTACTCATTTAATTTAAAGCTTCTTAATCTTCAAACTGTCAAAGTAACTTCCTGCTAAAATCAGCTGCGTTTTTACCCCAGTGCCAAAAGGGCCGAGGCTAGAGTTATTGGTTTAAACAACTTCACTGGAAAACTGAATAATTGTATGATATAACTCAATTAGAAACGATCCTGGTGAAACTGATATGATTTGACGGTCTATGGAAAGATCGGCACGGGTATCACGTATCTTGAAAAGTGACATTATGCTGTTTTTTTTTGACATTATGTAGGTTATTCTGCAAAATGTTAACTTAGCACTTAGTTGTACGTGTTGCCTAAGCGTCATGAGGCTTATTAATGACGCAGATGAAATAAATTCACGTTTCTCAAATATTCCGATCATAACCAAGACACAAAAGCAATCGGAACTACTGAACAAATATCAAAACAATAAGTTTCCCAAGTCATTCTGTTTCCAAAAGGTCGCCAAAGAATCTGTTGCGAAGAGTTTCTTATTTATTAAAACTAATGCTGTAGGGGCTGATGGAATCTCACTCATTATGATAAAATACATTTTCACTTTGCTCTTAGACTATATTAAATTTATAATTAATCACGCAATATCAACATCCTGTTTCCCTGATGCTTGGAAGCGGGTTATCATCATACCTATTCCTAAAGTAGCGATTGCCACGTCTGTAACGCAACTTAGACCAGTCAGCTTACTTCCCGCATTTCCGAAGCTTTTGGAACGGGAAATGAAGATACAAATATCTCAGTATATTTTCAGTAATGAAATAGTTCCATCAATGCAGTCTGGATTCAGGGAAAACCATAGTACAACAACTGCTCTAGCCAATGTCACTGATGATGTTATAAGAGGCCTTGATCAAGGAAATATCACTTGTTTAGTTCTGCTGGATTACACAAAAGCTGACCCTGAAATTCTGCTACTCAAGCTGTCTTACTATGCTTTTACTGATGCTGCAGTCAATTTGATAAGCTGCTATTTGTCAAATAGAAATCAAAAGGTCTTAACAGCTTCGAAAATGACATAGTCAACTGCTATAAGTTTTCGTGTTCCTCAAGGTTCCATACTGGGACCTTCACTTTTCTCTCTACATATATCGGATTTTCATCAATATGTCCATAATTGCGCAATCCATCACTACGCTGATGATACTCAAATTTATTTTAGTTTTCAACACAAAGATTTTAAAATAGCAGAAGCATTGCTCAACGAAGACTTAACAAGGCTAGTAGACATCTCGTGCTCGCATAACCTAAAAATGAATCCATCTAAATCTTCAGTTATGGTTTTCGGCTCAAAAAACAAAAGAACATTGATCGAAACGGAAATTAACCTTAAAATCTATGATTGCCGGCTTCCTATAATGAATGAGTGTAAAAACCTGGGACAAAAAACACGTAAATTCGTTATGCAGTGCATCATACTGCATTTTGAAACAGTTTTATCCACATAGGCAAATAATATCTACTTCAGTAAAGTTGAAACTGTGTGAAACATTAACTATATCAAAGATCAGTTATTGTGACAGTATATATGGCGCAGCTCTATCATATAGTGAACAAAGCAAATTACAGCGTATTCAGAATTCGTGAGTCAGATTTTCTTGCGGAATACGAAAGTTTGATCATATTTCTTATAAATTTAAGGAACTTGGTATTCTGCAGATTAAAGGCATGCAAAAGCTTCACTTATTGACACTCACACATAAGGTATTAGCTACCAAACAACCGCAATATTTGCATAATAAGTTAACACGATGTAGTGACATAAATCAACTGAATACAAGGAATAGGAATATGTCAGTGATACCCCTACATTCTAAGGCTGTCTACAAAACATCATTCAGGTACAATGCTAGGGGTTAGATGGTAGAATAGATATATAATCTAAATATCGCCTCCTGTAAGAATATTACAAATAAAAGACGTTAATTATTATTATTATTAAATTATATAATGATCTGCCTGTTACATTCCAAAACTATACGTTATTTAATTTTAAAAAGAGGCTTAAACTAAAACTACAAGTCGAGGTCTGATGATGAATACAAAATGCCAGAAATATGGACTATTCTTGTAATTGTTCTGTTTTTTTGTGTGTTGTTAATTATTTAGTAATTATTGAGAATTATGGATACATTTTTGTTGGTGGAATTTTTATTATAGGTATATATATATATATTTTTTTTTTTTCGAGACGTGGTCATTGTCGTCTAGACCAGTTAGGTGAAAAATTAAAGCTTCCGCCTTTTGTTGGGTACTTCGACAAAATTTAAGCAAAAAGGACTCTTTATACTTTTTTTTTAATTCTCTCTAGCTTTCAATGGACTTTGCCATCATCATCAGGACCTGAATTACAAAGATAACAGTAGCAACAATAGTGTAAAATGAATTTAAATTGACTCAACTTACAGTAGTATGTGAGGATGTTGCTAATTGTTGTTTACGTATAGGATGAGGGAAACGTCCAGTAACATGGTGAGAGGTGGATAGATGGTACAATGGTCAAAATTATATAAAATATGACAAGAACAAGTTAAAAACAGATTAAAAATTATTTAAAAAACATTAAAGCATTACATCGTGAAGCCACTTGATGATTGCACAAAATGGTGGTCATGGAATAATGAGTGAGATGAACCCTTTGACAGAAGGCCGAAGGTTGTCAATGTCTGTGTTGAAAGATGGAACGAATTGTGGGCGTGTGCCAACGTTGCCAAATCACTTCAGATGATGTGATTTTCAGAATGTTATGTAAGAAATTGTTAAACCGACCAGAGGCAGTTGAATAAACTATATTTTAATTAATGGGAAATTAAATTAACAATTATTATTAAATCGTGAGAAGAGAAATATTAGATTTTGAGTGGAATGAAATTTACTGGTGGAATCGGCTAAGATACAGATTCTATTTATGGTTGTGAAGAGTCAAAATTTGGGGAGATATGTAAGTTCTCCAATTTTTCGCAGTTTAGCAAATATGAGTAAATGACACTCAGTTGTTTAACATCTGTCTTTTTGTTGATACAGTTGTTATTCATGAAAATGTGGGACATTTCCAGGAATAAACGTTTAAACTGCCCTATATCAAGGAACTGACCCTCAAGCTGATCAGATTGTGCAGTCCTTTGAACTTTCGAATTGCTTGCAAATCCGTCCTCACTATAAACTGCATTTTTTCAGAAATGAAAGACAAAGTCCCGTTGCTTGGCTTAACCAACACAGTCTACTCCATCAATTGCAACAACTGCAACCAAATATACATAGGTCAGACCTCCAGATCTCTTAAAGGAAGGATTACATCACACAAAAGTGATTCTAGGCTTCATCCTGAAAGATGCGCCCTAGCATTTCATGTTAACACAACAGGGCATTCTATGAATTACACAAGTATCAAAGTTCTTGATAAAGAAAAACACCTTTCCAAACGTTTATTCCTGGAAATGTCCCACATGTCCCAAACAACTGAGTGTCATTTACTCATATTTGCTAAACTCCGAAAAATTGGAGAACTTACATATCTCCCCAAATTTTGACTCTTCACAACCATAAATAGAATCTGTATCTTGGCCGATTCGACCTGTAAATTTCATTCCATTCAAAATCTAATAATTCTCTTCTCTTAATAATAATTGTTAATTTAATTTCCCATTAATTAAAATATAGTTTATTCAACTGCCTGTGGTCGGTTTAACAATTTCTTACATAACATTCTGAAAATCACATCATCTGAAGTGATTTGGCAACGTTGGCACACGCCCACAATTCGTTTCATCTTTCAACACAGACATTGACAACCTTCGGCCTTCTGTTAAAGGGTTCATCTCACTCATTATTCCATGACCAACATCTTGTGCAATCATCAAGTGGCTTCACGATGTAATGCTTTAATGTTTTTTAAATAATTTTTAATCTGTTTTTAACTTATTCTTGTCATGTTTTATATAATTTTGACCATTGCACTATCTATCCAGCTCTCACCATGTTACTGGACGTTTCCCTCATCCTATACGTAAACAACAATTAGCAACATCCTCACATACTATTGTAAGTTGAGTCAATTTAAATTCATTTTACACTATTGTTGCTACTGTTATCATTGTAATTGCAGCTCCTGATGATGATGGCAAAGTCCATTGAAAGCTAGAGAGAATTAAAAAAGTATAAAGAGTCCTCATTGCTTAAATTTTGTCGAAGTACCCAACAAAAGGCGGAAGCTTTAATTTTTCACCTATATATATATATTTGTTAAGGTTAAGGTTAAGTTGAAAAACGCTAACCTTAGCGACCCTTCGCCTTTTTTGTATTTTTACTTAGGTATGAAATAAAGCCCATTTATTATTTATTATTATTATTATCAATCTGGCTCTGATCTGATGTAAAATCTGCTTCTGAGATGGCATTACTGGAAATCTAAGCGTAATTAATAATTTATAACCTTCAACATAACCTCTCTTTAGAAAGCACAACATATAAATAACCCGTCATATTCAGTAATGATTTTCTCATACAGCAAATATCACTGATTTTATACACATGCAGACCAATACACATAATGATCCAGATGCTATCTTGCTATCCAACCAATATTCTTCTCAGAGATAAAAACTACACACCCGGATCACTCAGCCTCACAAAACTATGCAACCAATAATGCGCAGTTTAGTCGAGTGATTCCTCCATAGATGGACGTTCACAACGATCCTAGTGAGCAAACGTGGAATGACTGTTTGCGCCCTAAAAACTGCGCCCTATAGTCTGCAAGTTGACATCTGATAGGTTTTTTTTGATGTTTTATAGGTTTTTACATGATACCCGTGCGGGCTCCTCTTCGCAGAAGGCAGACAGTTTCAACAGTCTTTTTGGATTTGAGAGGCTTCACATCAGCTTTCTGATAATCAAAAATAACCTTCACCTACTTTCACAACCCGACAAAAGACAGTATAGCCTTAAAACATCTCAAGCAATCCCCATGAGCTTATGCCCCAATTTATGGAAAGATACTGTATGTTGTGGTTTTTGATATTGCTTTTCTAATTTTTAGAGGAATTCTTCGGAACAATCCATTCAGTTTTCCGCGAAGTGCCCACCAACAGGATGATACAAATACCATTCGCTTTTCATACGGCTTGTTACTACAATTACAAGTTATTGATACTATTCTTCCATTACTTCATGGGCTTCCTCTGTGATACAGGACTAAAACTTGCAGGGAAACAACCAGTGTAAGTACATCGTGGTGAACAGTACTTCTAAATGCATACAGTAGTTTAAAACTGGGGAACGAAAAGTTTTTCACGAAGAATGTTATAATATAGTGCCTATTGGCAACCATGAACATGGTCTAGGTCTGTTGTCTAGGAAGGAGAACTAACGAAACCAGGGCAAAATATACGCGGTCGGAGATATAAGGTTTATTCAGTCAGACTAGCTTAGGTCGCATATATATTGACCTCGGCAATAATGGTACCTCAATACTCTAGTTATCACTTATCAGATTGGCAGATGTGCTACTTATCAAGTTATTTGTAGTTTTGAGATAAAATTCCAAATACTGAGAATAGAGAAGAATTTCTGTCTTTGCTTTCATTTGCTGCAAATGCTTTTACATTAAGGCGGCTCCGACGCAGTGAGTTTCAAGCCATTTACAAGGGTTCAGCTGCTTCAAAACTGATACTCCATTTTTCAATATTTTTGAAATTCATACAGTATGTTGAGAAGATAATTGCCCAGGGTGCTATAGGAGCACTTTTTGAAATTTTGTTTTTGCACAAGTTTTATAATGGGTTGAAGTGCGTACTCTTTCTGTTCAACTTCGGGATTTTTTTAAAAAGAACCTAGTGAAATAAATGAAAAAGTGACTCTATAGCACCCTGTGGGGTTTTGTTTTCAGCACTCTGTGAAAATTTCACCCAAAAATATCAAAAAATAAAGCGTAAATTTCGAAGCGCGCAAACGTCTACAAATCGTATTTTGGACGAATTTTGTCTACTGTTTCGTGCTGCCAATCCAAGCGTTGCGGCGCAATGTACGGACTAAGAAAGGACGTATTCAGATAATTTGGTGGCCCTATTTCATATACTAAGTGACATATAAATCCGAACACCCAGTTTAAATGGTTTTATTTTAATAAAATTTTGTATAAGTACTTAAGGAAGCATAATAAGTAAATGATAAACATTTCAAAATGATTGCACTGCTTTAAAGCCCTTTGACCTTTAATAATATGTTGGATGCACCCTGATGTGCTACGCATTCTCAGGTGGTCAATGTCCTCCTGTGGTATCTTATTCCAGGCAACCACCAACTCCTCTCGAAGTGCTTCTAGAGTCTGAGGAGGACGTTGCAAATCGAGCAATCTCCTACCCATCATATCCCACACGTGCTCAATTGGGGATAAGTCGGGAGATCTTAGTGGCCATGGTAACAATGTGACATCATTATGTTGAAAGAAGTCTATTGTGACTCTTGCAACATGTGGTCGGGCATTATCTTGTTGGAAAGTTGGATCTGCCAGGGTGTCAAGATAGGGTAAAAGATAGGGTTCTAGAACTTCGTGGATATAACGCTGCGCGTTCATGTTACCTCTGATGAAGATTAAAGGTGACCTGGAACCATAAGCTATAGCACCCCAAACCATAACTCCAACAGTGTGATGAACATGTCTTTCAACAAAAAACTGCGGATTCCTCCTTTCACCACCTCGCCTTCTAACCCTGGCACGACCATCGTGCATGTCTAAACAAAATCGAGACTCGTCACTAAAGACAATACTGTTCCATTCCTGATCCCAGAGTGACCGTTGTCTGCACCACTCAAGGCGATTACGTCGGTGTTCTCGAGTTAAAGGGAGGACCCAGTGTGGCCGGTATGAAAACAAGCCAAAACTTCTCATTCGTCGGTAAACACTTCGCATGCCAATAGGTCTTCCATGTTCTTCAAACCATTCATTTGCAATGGACCTGGTAGTGGAGAAACGGTCCCTTAAGGCCAATAATCTTGGGCGGCGATCTTCACGGTCTGTTGTTCTACGGCGGCGTCCAGTGCCCCTTGCTCTTTACGTACGGCCTTCTCGAAGCCATGCCTGACAACACCTAACCACAGTGTCTACACTTCTTTGCACTCTAACTGCAATTGCCCGAAAAGAAAGTCCAGCTTCCCGAAGTCCCACTATACGGCCCCTATCAAACTCACTAAGTTGACGAAATCGTACAGGTCTCCGTACTCTAGGCATCGTAACCGATCGTAAAGGATGTCAAGAACCAAAATCCGCCAACGTTGATTCTTTACTGCGGCTGAAATATTCATTTTTAGAGCGTTAGTGAATTAAAAAAAGCAGTATAGAAACCGGAATGTCCAACTGATAAGGCTGAAAATTTTTGCACTTGTTATTTACAGTAAGATAAATACATTCACCAACTTTTATTAAAATAAAACCATTTAAACTGGGTGTTCGGATTTATATGTGACTTAGGCCCGTATCGTCCCCCCCCCCTACAATTGTAGGGACTGAAATTAGTATATTTGTCGAACAAGAATTAGATTTTGAAATCCATACATGGTTTCCCTATCAACTTTCAAATTCAAGGTTTGACCGAAAATTAGAGGATATACGTTTGAAAAAAGGAACTTTTTTGGGACACCCTTATATCTATCCGTTTTACACACTGATCTTACCGGTTCCTTTTTTTCACAGAGTGGTGAATATGTATCACAAGATCCATCGCGCGCAAGAGCTGATGAGTCCGTTCCTCCTGAAACAATGGTACTTCTCCAACGATAATGCCCAGAAACTGCTAAAAAGGATGTCGTTCGCGGACAGGGCAATCTACCCGTTCGATATCCTGAACATCAACTGGCAGAACTACTTCGTGACTTTGGCTAGGGGCGTGAGGGTTTATTTGCTGAACGACCCTATGTCGACGTTGACGGAGAGCAAAAAACGGCAGCAATGGAAGCAGATCGTTCAGATGATCTGGGGAGTCGTGTTGGTTGTGATTTTGTATCTAATCGCCAAGATTTTGGTGTTCAAGATCATATTTAGATGAAGCGACTTAAGCTATTGAAATCAACATAGTTTTTATTTGTCCAATGTACAAAAACTGTATGTCAACGTTTCTAAGTTGTTAATAAATGGTACTGAAGCTAGATTTATTTCTTAACTGTATTACCTATTACCTATTTCCGTAACGTTTACAGCCTGTATGCGTGAAAATACTGTAAAGGCTACTGTAAAAAATGTGTCTGTTGAATTATCACATAGTCGTTTAATATTTTGGCGCCTTGGACGCGTCATGTTTGAAAAATAGTAGATAAACACCTTCATGATAATTGCGTTGGAACTTGAAAACAAACAGGACATTACATAAACGTATTCGAGTCTTCTGAACCTTCAACTATACTATACTTTGTGGAGTTTGGAATGATACACCATGCTTGAACGGTAAGTAAACTCAGGTGCTAGACGTTTCTATACCAATTGCCAAAAATGAAATATTTCGCTGTAGAAATTATACTAAGTGACATATAAATCCGAACACCCAGTTTAAATGGTTTTATTTTAATAAAAGTTGGTGAATGTATTTATCTTACTGTAAATAACAAGTGAAAAAATTTTCAGCCTTATCAGTTGGACATTCCGGTTTTTATACTGCTTTTTTTTAATTCACTAACGCTCTAAAAATGAATATTTCAGCCGCAGTAAAGAATCAACGTTGGCGGATTTTGGTTCTTGACATCCTTTACGATCGGTTACGATGCCTAGAGTACGGAGACCTGTACGATTTCGTCAACTTAGTGAGTTTGATAGGGGTCGTATAGTGGGACTCCGGGAAGCTGGACTTTCTTTTCGGGCAATTGCAGTTAGAGTGCAAAGAAGTGTAGACACTGTGGTTAGGTGTTGTCAGGCATGGCTTCGAGAAGGCCGTACGCAAAGAGCAAGGGGCACTGGACGCCGCCGTAGAACAACAGACCGTGAAGATCGCCGCCTTGGCCTTACGGGACCGTTTCTCCACTACCAAGTCCATTGCAAATGAATGGTTTGCAGAACACGGAAGACCTATTGGCATGCGAAGTGTTTACCGACGAATGAGAAGTTTTGGCTTGTTTTCATACCGGCCACACTGGGTCCTCCCTTTAACTCGAGAACACCGACGTAATCGCCTTGAGTGGTGCAGACAACAGTCACTCTGGGATCAGGAATGGAACAGTATTGTCTTTAGTGACGAGTCTCGATTTTGTTTAGGCATGCACGATGGTCGTGCCAGGGTTAGAAGGCGACGTGGTGAAAGGAGGAATCCACAGTTTTGTTGAAAGACATGTTCATCACACTGTTGGAGTTATGGTTTGGGGTGCTATAGCTTATGGTTCCAGGTCACCTTTAATCTTCATCAGAGGTAACATGAACGCGCAGCGTTATATCCACGAAGTTCTAGAACCCCATCTTTTACCCTATCTTGATACCCTGGCAGATGCAACAAGATAATGCCCGACCACATGTTGCAAGAGTCACAATAGACTTCTTTCAACATAATGATGTCACATTGTTACCATGGCCACCAAGATCTCCCGACTTATCCCCAATTGAGCACGTGTGGGATATGATGGGTAGGAGATTGCTCAATTTGCAACGTCCTCCTCAGACTCTAGAAGCACTTCGAGAGGAGTTGGTGGTTGCCTGGAATGAGATACCACAGGAGGACATTGACCACCTGATCAGAAGCATGCCTAGGTGCGTTGGAGAATGCGTAGCACATCAGGGTGCATCCACACATTATTAAAGGTCAAAGGGCTTTAAAGCAGTGCAATCATTATGCTTCATTGAGTATTTATACAAAATTTTATTAAAATAAAACCATTTAAACTGGGTGTTCGGATTTATATGTCACTTAGTATACTTATTTGGCCTTTCTTCTACGGGAACCAGAAACAGTATCTATTACAACTCAGCACCTCCTTATTGCCTTATTTTTAATATTTCATAGCCTAACCTGAAAAATTCTTAGACCCGTCAGGATTCTTTCACCGGTACTCCAAAGTGTGAGACTTTTTTCGAAAATGCAACACCGACTAGGAGCGTTGTAATTTTGACAATACTTTTACAAGTCTTAGGTATAAATAGAAAGTGATTAAAATTTTAACTCGAAATTTGACAAAATCGCTGAGATATCCCGCCTTAATGTTAATAATGTCTTGAAGCTCCTATGTTCGCTACTCGTTCGTTAAGTCGTCGCGGCATTGATTGGATTAGATGATTGATGTTTTAGGCCCGTATCGTCAGTCATCCCTACAATTGTAATAGTAATTATGATCTTCACATACACACATTATATACTAAGTGACATATAAATCCGAATACCCAGTTTAAATGGTTTTATTTTAATAAAAGTTGGTGAATGTATTTATCTTACTGTAAATAACAAGTGAAAAAATTTTCAGTCTTACCAGTTGGACATTCCGGTTTTTATACTGCTTTTTTTTAATTCACCAGCGCTCTAAAAATGGATATTTCAGCCGCAGTAAAGAATCAACGTTGGAGGATTTTGGTTCTTGACATCCTTTACGATCGGTTACGATGCCTAGAGTACCGAGACCTATTGGCATGCGGAGTGTTTACCGACGAATGAGAAGTTTTGGCTTGTTTTCATACCGGTCACACTGGGTCCTCCCTTTAACTCGAGAACACCGACGTAATCGCCTTGAGTGGTGCAGACAACGGTCACTCTGGGATCAGGAATGGAACAGTATTGTCTTTAGTGACGAGTCTCGATTTTGTTTAGGCATGCACGATGGTCGTGCCAGGGTTAGAAGGCGACGTGGTGAAAGGATGGATCCACAGTTTTTTGTTGAAAGACATGTTCATCACACTGTTGGAGTTATGGTTTGGGGTGCTATAGCTTATGGTTCCAGGTCACCTTTAATCTTCATCAGAGGTAACATGAACGCGCAGCGTTATATCCACGAAGTTCTAGAACCCCATCTTTTACCCTATCTTGACACCCTGGCAGATCCAACTTTCCAACAAGATAATGCCCGACCACATGTTGCAAGAGTCACAATAGACTTCTTTCAACATAATGATGTCACATTGTTACCATGGCCTCCAAGATCTCCCGACTTATCCCCAATTGAGCACGTGTGGGATATGATGGGTAGGAGATTGCTCAATTTGCAACGTCCTCCGCAGACTCTAGAAGCACTTCGAGAGGAGTTGGTGGTTGCCTGGAATGAGATACCACAGGAGGACATTGACCACCTGATCAGAAGCATGCCTAGGCGCGTTGGAGAATGCGTAGCACATCAGGGTGCATCCACACATTATTAAAGGTCAAAGGGCTTTAAAGCAGTGCAATCATTTTGAAATTTTTATCATTTACTTATTATGCTTCATTAAGTACTTATACAAAATTTTATTCAAATAAAACCATTTAAACTGGGTGTTCGGATTTATATGTCATCAAGAGAATAGCTTGGTTGTAAGCTTCTGGACTTTCATACACACAAATATAATATTATAATATAATATATCCATGTGCATTAATTTTCCTAACTCAACAATTTCTTGAAGATACCACAGGTTGTGGAATTTGTTCAATGTAGCGAGGTATTTTTGAGTGATCGACATTATTTGCAAGAAAATTAAAAATTATGGTTCTGCTTCCCATCGAACGTCAAAACAACAACATAAACTCAAGCCAGAACTGTCAGTATGTCGGAAATCAATAGCAGGACATACATGTACGTTAACGAAGAAGACGTAATTTCTCTCCCTATTCCATACCAATTGTTGCCGACGATGCTTTGGCGTCAGAGGTAGTACAAGATGGGGACAGTATGAAAATAGTCCAAAAGACCTTATTCGGTGGTAAACTGTCCTGTTTGTTATTGCCGTTCAGACAGTATCAAACCACTGGTTTGCAACCGCGCTTGTGGGAAATCGATCTCTATATGCTAGTTTATAAAATAATTCTGGGTGCTGCATTTTATATGTCATTTAGTACAGGGCGACTTCGAAGTTGAGTCATTTATTTTAACAGTGAGTAGATCTGATCAAAAGAAATGTTTTTTCCTTTACCATTTTTCTGGAAAAATTAAAGTAACAAAGTTATAGCCCTTTGGAAGTTTGAGTATCGCCCTGTCTCAATAATAATATTATATGCTCGTGTTTGGCAACAACGGATATAATCCGCCTTATCGGTTCATCGCATCGAAAAGCGAAAGAATTTGGAACGATGTTTTTACAATTATTTTATTCAGTTGTATACAGTCAGTGTCAGTCGGTAACGCGTGAGTGAATAGTGGTGTCTGTTGCGTGGCTCAAACGAAATCAAAAATGGCACATGTTTATGCGGATCGGTTTCCCAATCGAGTGCAACCAACCCCTCGTGCCTTTGTTAATGTAGTACAATGGGCTCGTGAATCAGGTGACTTAAGACCTCACAGGGAAGGGCATGCCGGTGCTCCAAGACCTCACGATCAAATACAGGTCCGCACTGAAATACTTGTCGGGAGGATACTTTATAAAACAAGGTAAAATTTTTTTTTATTTGTATAACTGCTCCTTTATTTACCTTATTCTTTATTTCATATAATTAAGGATACTCGTACAGAAAGTACTTCATCGTAACACCGTCTAGCCACTTATTGCACTTGCTTTTTCTCCAAAATTAACTTAACATATCACTTATCATTAAGCGAATTATCTTTACAAAGCTCTACGTCCTACCAATATATCCGAATTAACTAAAATTTTACGTTGGTATATGAAAAATGCTGCATCAAATGAAATTTTAGTATACTTACTGAAAGCTCAAATGAATAGTTCTGAGTAATATACAGGGTGTTTCAGTTTATTGTTGCATAACTTTAAGATTCGATAGAACTTTTAAAATTAATGCATAAAGTCTATATAAACATGGGTCGAAAAATGCGTGGCTTCCGAAATACGTGGTGTTCAAATTTACTTTCTAAAATAGTTTTTTTTAAATATTCCGAACAATATTCGATGTATAACAGTGAAAATTGGTATACAAGGGTTTTTTGGTACGACAAAACGAACCATGGGCATAGTTTTACTGTAGCCGCTAGAGGGCGCTCTCTACTGTACCTGTAGTGTATTAAAATGACCGACAATTTTTTCTTAGTGCAATTTT